TAGAACAGTGGTCTAATTAAACAGATCTGGTCTTTGAAAAAAATACACTTCTTGCATTTGTAATAAAAAATAATTTCCTGCAATGTCGCGATCTAGTATTCACATTTCAATTGAGGATTATTTAACAAAGTACAAAAGTAATATGGGCTTGCGTTTTAATATTCGTGTCCTGCCAAAGTGGCGCAATTATTTGCAAACCGGTAGCAGTGTTTGCACAACGTTCAAACAAATTTTCATATCTGGTCGCATACCGAAAAGAAGATAGTAATGAAACATAAAAAAAAAAGAATGCAGTAAGAACTTTTCGTTATTATGAACAATTGTAGTAAATTCTAATGAATGTCAGTACAAATTGAATATTAAAGAAGAAGAAAAAAAGCATCATTTGTGTGCAACTTAAAAAAAAAAAAAGAAATATTAACGACTCGTATTTTTGGCAATACAATTTTAAATAACAATTAAATTAGCGTAGTAGTAGTTAGAACGTTAGTAAAACAAATTTTGTTTTAAGATTTTCTCGATGACTGAAAGTTTATACGTACATATGTATGTGAATATATGTATATGAATAATAACGATGACGATGATGATGACGATACGATAATAATTATCTCATGGCGTAATTTGTAGAACGAATGTTCATTATTGCTTCTTATGCTATTATTAGGTAGTGGATTATAAAAATGAATATTGTAAATCAATAAAATTGATCATTTGAAAAATAAATTATATTGATAACTTGTGTATCATGAGTTAATTAAGTAACTTTTATTTAAATAAAATACATTCAAAATATCACCGCGTACATGTACCGCGTACGTCAAATTAATAGCAATAAGATATTTCGATTATTACATAAACAACGAAATACAAGGAAGCAATACGGAATATAATTAAATTTTCAAGTAGCTACCACATATCGCTTTTTAATAGTATTTTTCAGCTTTATCGTTAGAAAATTTTAGTTCAATTTCTTGCTTGAATAAGCTAACCTCACTTTTCAACAAAACATTATTCCATTGTGGTTTAAAGAAATTGGCATGTGATTACATATATAATATTACGTCTGTAAGTACTGTCTCAAAACTTTCCGATTGGACTAGGTATAACTTATTTATTTCTTTGTTAATCTACATATATAAAAACAAAGGATCTGCGACAATTACTTATATCTAATCCATCATTTACATATATCGAAATATTAATTGATCTCTAAAGTACAATGTTTTTTTTTATGTAATACTTTAATAATATCGATATATTACAAGCATTATTACTGTTAATCTTTTTGGATCATAGACGCTTAATTAATCGATCGCATGCGACAAACGCCTATGGGCGTTCAACATAGCTTCCACACACAGCGAATGTCTTTACCAAAATTGTCCGCGATCAAAGGATTAATTAATATTTACTATGACCTTGTTACTTGCTATATAGATATAGTTTTATACCGTGAAGGAATGTTCCGCGTTCTTTCAATATTAACAAAAGTAACAATATTTGTTCGAATCGAGCTTTATTATTTATGTACTGGTAAATGCAAGCAAACTACGTATCAAACAACATAATCTAAATTAAATCTAAATTATCAATGTTTGCTTTATAATATAATTTTACTTTTCAGCATTGTTCATTTGCGTAACATTTATATATATATAGATAGATAGATATGTACATAAAGCGATAAGGCATCTTTGTTTCTATTGAAATTGTAAGAAAAAATATGAATCGCGCTTCCAAGAATTATCGTCGAGTAAATTTACTGAATAAGGTGCGTCACCTTATTTTAATAATTGTAAACTTGTCAATTCTGCAACAAATACGTTTATTCGTCAAAAGCTGACTAATCGGAAAGCATGTTACGAAATAACAACCAATCCTATGATGTGTATCTGATCACAGTGCTGTCGCCTATCTTCCACAGGACCAAACTGCGTTTCTGTAAAAACACTAACCGACATCAGTTGCCATCGTTAAACCACACGTCGAACAGAGCAGATTGCCGTAGAGAGCGATTCTATTCTAAAGCTATCGAGCATCAGGTACGTTTACGTGTTATTTCGTAATCGAATAAATGTGAAACATCCTAATTTTCGCGTTCGCTTATATCGATTATAAATAACACGTTCGAAGAAAGTTACAATGGCTTTCATGGTTACAAGATTCTTATGCACATCGACTTTACATGCACGCCGTCCACCATTTTGTTTATTGTGTCCGCTTTTGGAGGGAAACTGGAACTCATTTTGCGCGAATTCTGTTTACTAGTTTCCCATAATTTCTTACAAATTTCTGTTTCCAAACTGAGAGAGTATATTTTTAAATATATTTTACGATTAATTGAAAAATAGCAGTGTCTTCTTTTTTTTTCTTGAAATGTTTGCTCTGTTTTGTTGATGTTCATCCTAATTGGAAATTTTCGATATTATATTTGTAGTAATCAATCTTTATAGACATGGCACGTACCAAGCAAACTGCTCGCAAGTCAACGGGAGGTAAAGCTCCCAGGAAACAACTTGCCACCAAAGCTGCACGAAAAAGTGCTCCATCAACAGGAGGAGTGAAAAAACCCCATCGTTACAGGTAAAACTATATTAAATTTAGGTTTAGAGAAGTGTATTGACTTTAATGATTTTATTTATTTGGCAGGCCTGGTACCGTAGCCCTCAGAGAAATCAGAAGATACCAGAAATCAACTGAATTGCTGATTAGAAAATTACCGTTTCAACGTTTAGTTCGTGAAATTGCACAGGATTTCAAAACCGACTTGCGTTTCCAAAGTGCCGCAATTGGCGCATTACAAGAAGCTTCCGAAGCTTACCTGGTCGGGTTGTTCGAAGACACAAATTTGTGCGCTATTCACGCCAAACGTGTTACAATAATGCCTAAAGATATTCAATTAGCGAGACGAATTCGTGGTGAACGTGCTTAAATATTTCATATCTTAAAGCCTTTAAATTTTCTTTTTCAAATTCATGTTATTGTCATATTCTTGAACGTTTTCTGAAATGATCGACATCATTACAGTTGAGTTTGTTTCGCGAATCATTACCGTAATTGACACTGCCAAGCCCTTTGGAAGATAAGATGCAGGAGTTAGAGTATATCTATTAATCATATATATATATATATATATTATATATTAGTACGGTCGATTAAATTTATGATTTAACGATGGGAGTATACACAAACAGCACAAAGCGGAGTACGTAGCTCGTATTACATAGTATCATCACTTCGCGTAATTAATACTTCATTATTAGGTAAAGTAACCGAGGTAGAAGCAACGTAATACGTAGATATAATATTTTTGCAGAAAGAACTAGTTGCACTCACCATGTTTATTTTATTATTAACCCACTTTCTTGTTACTATCAAGTTATATGTTAGCGTAGGTCGAATTTACGATATAAAATAAAATAAGCTGCATAAATTGGAAACGTTATTAAATTATGTACCAGGAGTGATGTAGATTTACGTTACTAGTTGTATTAGCATTATAAAATTATCAAGATTAGTATGCATTTATGTTTCATGTTTGTAAATTCATTCAAATTAACTCATTTGTAACCACGCAATTACACCTCATTCTTTATTAATTTCTTAATTTAATAGTTGTAATGTTAAAGATAAGAAAGAATTCGCAAGTTTTTAAATTAATGTAAATTATAGAAATTTCTAATAAACATGTATTATGATAAAAATTGCTCACTGTTCTTTTCGATATTTTTATTCCACACAGTTCATAAAGTTAGCCAATTATTCGATTATGCGTATAAAATTAGAACGCAAACTTGTAATTCATAATTATTCTTCTTTCGTTAGAATCGATTAAGGTAAACTAAGTATCGCAATAGTAACAATACGGACATTTTATTTTTAATTTAACAATCAAAGATTTGTATACAATAAAAGTAACAAAAAATGTCATTTATTAACTGATAAGTTATATAACAAAAATAATTATGCATACTGAAAATAAAACAATTTTTCAACTGCCCGTTTAATCATTTGTTTAGGTATCGTCATCGCTATTTATTCATATTGGATAGATCGCATCAATTATAAGTATTACGCCCACAACGGAAATTTATTCAGTCGTGGGTTTTAAGTATTAAGTAGAAATTACAAGTTCAAGCACAGTTCTAGGTCCATTCTACCAACATTCGATACAGTATGTACAATATGCAACCGATCGATGAATGTTATCAATATAAAACGCTACTTTATATCGTAAATACCAATTTTTACATCACCGATAATGACTTGTAACAGTGTGCGTTCATGTTTACAGAACTTTCCTCTCGAATTGCATTTCAATTCCGATCAAAATTAATTACCGGCATTTATTGTAAATTGTAGAATTATCTACAATTACTATTACTATTGAGTCGCTTCGTAAAAATTCGACTAACAAAAGCTCGGAAATTCGATAAATTTTACTGATCAAACATCGATACAATATCGTTTACGTTTAGGTATACGCAATGGCGTCTACTTTTTCCAGGCGGAAAACGTACGAGAGTGTTTAGTCCTTGAAATAATAGTTTGGCATCGATTCGTGGCAGAGTGTTGTCGACGAATGTTGATACAATTGCAATCCCGTTAGCTACGAAAAACCAGAATGACGTGTTTCGCTTTTTTACGCGAAGGTTCGCATATATATCGCGTATTCTTTTCTGGAAGTTTCCACGATGAAACCGATTTCATTGTACACTGAATTTTACGAACAAAGTCACGGATGTCCGTGCATAGGGGTATATTATATTTAGACGTAAATTCGAGCGTCGAGTATGGCAGGAATTCCTATCGATACCCACGAGCTCTGAAACCGAAACGTCGGTTAAATTGAACGGTTATCGATCGAGGCATTTTCGACGACAATGGGACGGCAATTATTGCAAGTAAAACGAGGTTGCTGAGAGTAGTATCATGTATATTACAATTGACAGGGTTCTTCTCGGTTCGCACTCTAGGCGTAGGAGGCTGAGCCAATCGCATGTCCCACGCTGCGAGGCTCAGCTGCTATCCGGCATCCGATTGGATATACCGCACCGCGGGCTTACGTGCCTCTCGCGATTTAATTTCTAGGGGGTAGGGACAAGGGAGTCGTGACTTGGGAGAGCGTCCACTGCCATCGAAGTACAAGGAAACGGATAGTGTTGGCTCTCGCTTCTCGTAGAATTTTTCCTTTGGGAGGTACGTAAAATCGTCGAAATTTTGTATCATTTATGGTCACGTGCGATTATCAATGTCAATGGATACGCGGCAAGTGTGGTGTGCTACCGGGAAAATGAAAAGTGCTGGAAAATCCGAGTTTTCACGTCCGAACGCGACGTATTGTCGTGTTGCCTCCATTTTGCAATTGACGTTCGTGGAGGGAATCGTTCACGAGCCTCTCGTGCGACCGACGCTCGCTGCTTCGTTCGCGGCGATTGTCATTCGTTCGATTCCGTCTCTCGCTTACTAACGATCTTGTTGTCAATGGAGCGATCGGAGAGGGTGAAAATTCGTGCGAATTGGAACGCTACATTTTTCTCGTTGGTGTGCATTTTTTTTCGCATCGATGCAAGAGGAACGAAAGTTTGTGCATTGCGCAATGCGCAGCGTTCCTCGGTGCGCGGTTTCTCCGTATGAACAGCAACGGATCGTGCCCCCACTCTTGTCGACCCCCACTCTCTTTCCTCTCCCACTCCCGAACTTCGTTTACTTCGAATATCGACGTACACCAGGGTTCGGCACTGTAGAGCAGGGTTCGGCACGCTTCTCCCCCTCTGCCTCCTACTTCTCCCTGACATGGTGTTGTGGCTTCCCTCACTCTCTCTCCCTCTCTTTCTCTCTCTCTCTCTAAGGCTTCACGAAATTGTCGCAGTCAGTGGCCGAAGTGGTGGGGGAAGCGAGTGAACGTACACTCTTCGAAACAGTTTTTCCCGCGTTCCTAACATCGTTCTGTTTGTATTAGCTTGTTCTGTATCAGTAATGCGGCTTTTTTCGGTATACACTGGCGACAAGATCCATCCTTTATATAAAAATCCTAGAAACAGTTTCTCGTGAATATTGAATTTTTAAACATTCTTACCCTAACACAGTTTTCACTGCTTTAGGTTAAATCATGGCACGTACAAAGCAGACCGCCCGTAAGTCGACCGGAGGTAAAGCACCTCGTAAACAGCTAGCCACTAAGGCAGCTCGTAAGAGTGCACCGTCCACGGGCGGTGTAAAAAAGCCACATCGGTACAGGTAAGCAATATAAAAAATATCCCATAATGTACGCGAGTATAACGCACTCGTGAAAATACATTAAAGAAACTGTGATTTTTAGACCCGGTACAGTCGCTCTTCGAGAAATCAGAAGATATCAGAAATCTACTGAGTTGTTGATCAGAAAGTTACCTTTCCAGCGATTAGTTCGTGAAATCGCGCAAGATTTCAAAACCGATCTGCGTTTCCAAAGCGCGGCTATCGGAGCATTACAGGAAGCTTCCGAAGCATATCTGGTCGGTTTATTCGAAGACACCAACTTGTGCGCTATCCACGCCAAACGCGTTACAATCATGCCCAAGGATATTCAACTGGCCCGGCGAATCCGTGGCGAGCGTGCTTAAATAATATCTAACTCCCATACATACCATTTAATACTACTATTATTATTATTATCATTCGTAACGATCGTGGATGTAGCATTTTCATTCCAGACTACATATTATGTTGTACTCCACAAAAGTGTACATGTTGTAACATGTTCATCCTTTACAGTAGATACATAGAATTTCAGAGCTCCGACGAATCAACCCGAAATGTCAATCAATTCTTAGAATAACGTTAATATTCATTTTTTCGTCATCATTTTGTATAAACACGAAGACTGTAACTTTTCAAAAATTACCAGTTATGAATGATCTTTTGCTTTTTAGTTTAATTTACATTTTCTATCGTCCTGTATTCTTTTTGCAACATAAACGTACGAGCTCATAATTTTGGTAAGAAAAAAAAAATCAAAACAAAAAACAAAAAAATTGTTATTAAATTCTCTCGAAAGTACTTTTAAGAATACAAAAAAACGACAGCTTTAGTTTTCCGTTGGAACCCTATTATATTTGTCATTATTGCAATATATGAAACCATCATTATCATTATTGGTATACTTACGTAGCAAAAATGTGCATTAGCAGATAAGACAGTTTCTTTATAGGAACCCAATGTAGTGTTGTTTATTATACTAGGATTCTGGTTGCATGAGAATTACGCAAGATACTTCAATCAGCCAAGTACTCATTATTCGTGTAAAAATAAACGTTTCGTAAATAAATCTTCGAAATAATATCAACTTACCCTTTTTTTTATTTTTTAAGTGATCATCGCTTAACAAAACTGTTGCTGGGATAATTATATTAAAGATAAATAACTACAAAATGTATTATTTTAAACTATTACGATATATAATTCTAATACAAAATAATGTTCAAATGGTATAATTCAAACGACCCGCCGTCTATTGACAGTGGCGCCATCGGTGGAGAAATGACCAATTTTGTAGCGAAAATAGTTCCTACGGGTTCTCCTAGATGGCGCCACCAACCGTCATGATCGTCGCCATCTAGCGTTGAAAAGGCTGAACTAATTTCAGGAGTTTCGTCAGCGCCTCTATCAGGAAAACGTCCAAGTTTGTCCTCGAATAGTTCTTATTTGTACTGTTAGATGGCGCCATTTGTATATATTAATTACTTTTTTTATATATCCATTATTTAATTATTGAACAAGCATCGTGATATTAAAATACGAACGAAACTCATTTTTTAACCCTCAATTATTATATTTTTCACTCAAACAAACAAATGGCTCCATCTAGCGTTGACAATGGCAACTATTCGAGAACAAACTTGAGCGTTTTCCCGATAGAGGCGCTGATCGGACTCCGAAAATAGTTCATATAATCTCTGTTTGGCGGCAGCACCGTTCCTCGCGGGAAATTTGAAATTCTTTTTATTTAATTAAATTAAAGCTCATTAGAAGCATTTGTAGATATGAACAAACAGACAGGCACCTACCAGGAACTTTATTTTATATTATGTAGAGATTTGGAGACTGTTTACAATAACTTTATTTTACAAATCGTTTAATTTGCCTTTACAAATTTCATTAAAAATTAAGTTTATAATTTTATATCAGCATCAAACGGTTGTAACTTCAATTTCATCATTTTTGTACATTGATATGTGTGTATATATGCAAAAGAATCTCCCAAAAGAATCTAGGGGCGATGATGGAAACGAATCTGTCCCTAGCATAGATCGCGGAATGCAACATTTGCAACTTCCATTGGTCGATCTGCGCGAGTGCGCATTGAAATGAAATTCACCAAAAGCTAGCAAGTGTCGCTTCTGTAACGCTACCATGTTTCTGCATGTTTCTCTCTGCCAGTGACCAGTGACTCATAATTCTACGGTAATGACATTTGTGTCGCACGCGACACCCGCTCTGCGTTTCACCTGCTAGTGCTTACTCAAGGTCCTCCGTATTTATATGCATCTTTAAGGCGACATAGGCTTAATGCGCTCCGCACAGACTTTCATCCATTCATTCAAGATCGCTACAACTCCTAATCGATTTCGCTTCGGTTCGATCAGTGACCGTTTCTTTATTTACGTTGGACCATTCATTACTCCGTGGCGTGCACCTTTCAACGCGATACATGTAAGTTTTTTCTCTTGGCCGTGGAATTTTTACATGTCAAGTTCGATTTCGTTCCTACTACGCGTAAAACGATTCGCGTTGGCACGCTGGCGTGTATCACGATTTTTATCGAGCCACGATCCACGATTCCGTGACACTGCGATCGTTTTCTGTCCTCTTACTTTTTCTTCATCGACATTATTATTATTATACAGCAGGTTAGATTAATGTTACACCGATCGTGCTACAGATGCGTAGCTACGTACGGTAATTATATTTTTTTTCTGAATCAAACCAACGAAACTTTCACCCGTGACGAATACAATCTGTAATCACACTGGTTCGCGACAAATATTAATATACGCTCGAATATTCGTCTCGTAGATATTGAAATTTCAAAAGGATCTCGTGCTAAAGTACATTTACATAATTTCATTTGCAGGATGCCATTGCACCATTTGTGAAATAAAACACACCGCACCCTTTGATTTATCCTGAAAACAAGACGCCAAGGACTCCAAGAAACGATTAACAAATATACTTTAAAAATGATGGACATCGATCCTCCACAGTTTGTGTCTAAAGATGACGAAGTTCAATATTGGATGGACCTTGCTCATCAAATACATAGAAGGTAAATTATTGTGTTATTTACATTTTAAATATTATTTAAGGGAGGTATTCTTCGAATATAAGTTTGTCCCTTTTGATACCGGTTGGTTGAACTGTTGAGCAATTCCAGTGCTTAAGGCATTGATCTTGTTTATTATGACTGTTGGCAACTATAGTTGCCACTACCTTGGTTCTAGTAGTCTATTGATACAAATTTTGTTCGAGATAGTAAGATTTTTATGCTGAAATTATAGAAAAGAAGACATAGAAAGAGAATTGGAAGAATTTCAAGAAAATTCACAGTTATTAGAAAAGGAATTAGAAGCGTCATTAGAACAAGCGGAGAAAGCTAATCGAGAATTACGACAACGAAATACAAGACTCGCTACGGAGGTGGAACAGTTGAGAACAAGATTAGACCAACAAACATCCGACTGCGCAATGTTTCAAGGACAGGCTCAAGATTTGCAATCGCAACACGATCATTTATTGAAGTATATAAGGGAATTAGAACAAAAAAATGATGACTTGGAAAGGGCTCACAGGTAGTTAACATGTATATTTGTATCTTTATAAACATGCGTCGATCGTTATCAAATAAATAGCGTATTATATTTCATCTGTGTTTACAGGATAAATAGGGTAACGGAAGAGGAGATAGAAGCCAAACTTAATTCTGCAATTGAAAAGAACGCTTTACTGGAATCAGAACTCGACGAAAAAGAAGGCCTAAAAGTTATTGTACAGAGACTAATGGACGAAATTAGAGGTATAATAATTTATTGATAAAATTTGGATACTTAAATTAATGAGTAGAACCTGATGACTTATATTATATATTATTACAGACTTAAAACAAGAGATTCAAGTTCAAGAAAGACATCAACCGGATAACGACAAGTCTGCCGACAGAGTTCGTAACCATGTCGATAGTAATAAGCTGCAAGTTGAATTGGAAACACACATACCACCTAGTAGCCCGATAGTACAACAATCCATACCTCCAAGTAATACAACTTCGCCGCTAAAAAGTAAGATACATAATACATTTCGTAAAACTAAGCGCATGTTTTGCTTTGGACCCAAAAGATGATCTTTAATATTATCAAAGTCCACGACCACGAAGAAAACTATTAATGCCTAAAAAATCAAAGCAATTACGGACTACAAACAAATGCAAACTTTGACTTTAATTACCCTAACCTACCGTAAACATATTTTTTTGTACATTAACCGAAATTTTGTCTTTAACGATAGACGAATCCGTCTATTTATCGATACTTAAGGGTAACTAAAATTTATCGTTCGGTCTGACTTTCACGCTTCATTAACATACTTCTGTGTGCTTTAATTAATTCTGTCTTTCTGTATATATACATACATATAATATTGTTATTAATGAAATAAAAATTATTTTAACAAACTTGTTCTTTATTTTAGTTTTTAAAAAGTTGTATTTGTAACTGATTCGCATGTAATCTTTCGTTTTATTTATTTTGTGAAAGTCTCGTAGAGTAACGTCTTATTTATTTTCTGTAAGTTCGATATTCTTCTAGCGTGTACCTGTAGTAATTTGTATTTTTTTCTTGTTTGCAATTAGTTGGAAACAGAGTTGTAGGGGGTGTAACTGGAAACAAGAATAACAATAATAATGTGAATCCACCATTGGCACCGTGTACGAGAATATTGGCGATGAATATGATCGGTGACCTTATGAGGAAAGTTGGCGTAAGTATAATCGTTTGCCATTTTGCGTTATGTTCTTTATTTTGAGTACACTTCCAATGCTCATAAGAGTAGCTTGAAGCATGGCTTGTACATCGTTGAATTTCGAATTATCTTTAGTTGCCGTACATATCGTTTCTGGTACTGGACAACTATTATTGTTATTAATTTTGTACTTTCTCGATGAACTTTATTTTTAATTTTTTCCTTGCATCCTTCGTCTTATATCGAATAGTATTTTGCATAGAGTTCTGTACAGTCCCTTGAAATTTATGTCCATTGTGAAAAATCGTCTAGAATTACGTTAGTCATTGACACTGGTAGTGCGATGTAGCTGGTGTTTTGGTAGCTTGACAGATGGGTCTGCATGGAGTGTGGGAGAATAAAGTGCACTTGTGTGGGTGGGAAAAAAACAATTTCCACCACACCTACCGATTTATCATCCGTCCAGGCTCACACACCTACTCAATGTATACGACAGCAACCTAGATCAACCAAGTGCTGACCAAGCCTCTGTGATACCTCACCGTTAAATTATATTCCACATTTTTACAATACAGGTCTTTATTTGCTTTGTATTTTCTTTTGCTTTGTAATTTCATAATTTTATTCTGTACGCATCTCGCTACCTTTTTTCCTGTTTAATTATCCTATCCATTGTTACTTTCATCGTCTGTAGAGACTAATTCGTAATATCTTTCCCAAACATACAAACACTGGCTTTATAACTTGTTCGTAAAACGAAAATCTATTCTTTAACAAAAATTATTTAATTGACACAGGCCTTGGAGAATAAGCTAAACACGTGTCAAAATCCATCTCGAGAGGATCAAGCCGTTCGGGATCTCTACAGGTAACATTACAACATTATAATTACGAACAATTCAGTCATTATCCCACTATCCTCATGCACTGTGTGTACTTTTAATAAATGAATATATCATGTATCATGAAATTTGAATACATTTTCTAAATTGATCGTTTATAATTAATAGAATTGGAAAATTGTTTTTAGTCGACTGCCTTCGCGCGAAGGAATATTTGATAAAATGAAATGTATAGTGATACATGATAATTACTATATCAATCGTACTTGTTAGTTTTATGTTCACTGTTTCACACATTTAGTGCTTCCTGTGAACGTTAAAGAAACGAATTTGCGGATTATCAAGGCTTCCCACGAACCCAGTACTCTAGTGTTTTAGTTTTTGAAAGTTCAAAATATTTAATAAGACTGCATTACTTTTTGTATAGCTTGTTCTATCGCTTGCGTACTAATTAAGGCAGAGCATCCTGTTTTTATATTGTTCTAAGTGTAAATTGTTTTGCGTCCTAGTAAGATTCTGAGATGAAGCGATCAAAATTAATTAATACGACAATAAGCTGTATGTTCAAATTTTTATATTAACTTCTTTAATATGTTTTCGATACGGCTCGATGCTTCCTTTCAGCTTCATAATCATACTACATCGTTTACCGCATTTCAATGTAAATGTGCATTTCGTGTAAGCGAATTGCATTCAGCTGTCCAATTTTTCTTTGTGATGCAATAAGTACAACGTAATATTTTTATAATAATCTGATGTAGTATCAATCATTTGAATTTTAAGAAATGATGTCTTGAATAGTTTCAGATAAATTTATTTTACGAGTAAAAACAACGCATCGCGTTTTTATTTTTTTATTTTTCGATTAAGTCTTTAAAGGTTTCGTAAATGAACTTACCTATTACTTCATTGACTAGGATTATCGAGACCTTTACTATATCAGATTAATGCTCCCTAGACCAATTAATTACTAGTTTACATAACGGAGATTTGCTAAGTTTATTATTATTATTTTATTACAAGATTATGTGTATTTATAAACAAATGGAAAAAAACATTCGTCATTGTGTTTACATACGTTCACGGTATACCAAAAATAATTTTCAAAACAGATTAAATTAGAGAATTGTCTACTCTAGAATTAATCTAGAATATAATCTTCACTAAAAAAATGCTCTACTCATCGTAATTTAAGGATATTTTATATTATTTCGAGGTTTTCGTGAATATAAGATTGAGCCAACAATACTGTATTTTAATAGAGTAAAACTTTTTAATTTCACATAAAGTAAACGTGGTAATAAATTAGAAGATCTAAGTATATAATAGTATATGTATTTAAATTTAAATAATAAGTACACGTGTAATTAACGTGACGTACACTTTGAGAGAATGTCACTTGTGCAATAGTATTAGATTCTTATCAATTTTAAGAAATTCGTATACATACGTATATTAAATTACTCGGATAGTATCGATCACGATAAGTTATAATACGTAAAAAAGTTTGTGGCTCAATCTGTATAATAGATATATTTGAATGTAGAACTTTCATGCTCGAAATTTATTTTTGGGATAGTAGGTTCTCATTTGCAAACTCATCTTTTAATTATGTAAAAAATATATATATATATATTTGAACATTTATTGGACGACATAATGTGAATTGCTGCATTTATAACATTGTCCTAGCATGAAATTTATGTGTCATTTTTATATCTCTTGTCACTAATGTTCACATAGTGTATACAATAAAACGTTCCATTGTATTTATCATACAAAATTGCTTAAACATACTCTAAATTACACAGTCTAGAACTCATGTTTTGTGACAGTTTTGTGTTGACCATGCAATAACATTGATTATTTAATGTTAACTAATGCTTACCTCGAAGAAGCAAGTATTATGAATTGCAAGTCCTCAAGTTATTCTTTACTTGTACCGATATGCATGTTGTGCAGTCTATGCGCGGTCCATAAATACGTACAGCATTTCTCAATCGTTCATTGGTGGCTTCTAATGTAAAAAAAAACTTTTTCGTAAGGTAATTACGGATTAATCTGTGAAATATTTTTAAAATACAATATGATTGGGAAAAGCTGCTTCAATGAACATGTGCTAGACTTTCATAAATAACACTTTTCAGTGTAAGATGGTAACGAAACAATATTGACTTTTTTAATCAGGACTAGACGGCAGGTTCGAGACTTTGCCTCTGGCAACAGCAACCACATTCGATTATAAACAACATATAATAATTCCAACAATAAATTATTTCTTCGTGCGTCATACCTCTATGCCTGTTCAATATTTTATGTATTTCAACTAAATCTCGCTCACTAATTTATTACGAATTTATGACAGAACGAAAATCACTCGTATCAATTTATTTATTATTTATCTCTGTTAATTATTTAATTTCGACCTCTTGAAAATCAACAAATTTTAAATGTTATTTGTTCTTCTATTCCAATTTAAAAGTATATTTTAGTTAGCGATAGTACGAACGAAATTTATAAATAAATATTCTAATTTGTAAGTATAAAGTTGATAACGTGATAATTATATATACGTGTAGTAGAATTATATTATTGCTCTGTAGATATTCACAAATGACATTAAATTAATAATTTGCGAATTCGTACTTTCGGCAAATAGTTGTAGGAGAATTAAAATCTTTGCCGCGATTAGAAATAATACCGTAACGTCTAGTGCAAATTTAGTTTCTACGGTAAGTTAGGTATCGACATATGTCTATTTTTTAATAAGAAAAGAATATTCTTTAAATAATTTGAAGAAATTAATTTTTTTCATTTTGGTAATAAGAGCAACAGGAAAACAAAAATTAAGGGAAAACTTGACGTGTACCATTTCACGTAGATCCTCTTCGACATGTAGAAATAATATTGACAAAAAAAAAGTTTGATGATTTAACCATGATTGATCGGAAAATAACAAGTCTGCAAAAGGAAAATAATGAAGGAAATACACGGACTTAAATTACAAAGTAAATTACGTACACGCTATGTGATATTTAAATATTCGAGTATCATATATGTACGTTGTATTGCTATTCATTAAAGAAAAAAATTATCTGCTTTAAATTATTTAATGATCGAAATAAGAAAAAAATATGGTTGTTTAAAATGCTTACAAAAGAATATTCCCTTGTATCGCGAAATAATTCAATTTTATACTTCAAATCATATAAAAGCTACCGAATTATATATAGTTAAATATACACTGTGTGCTCCTATGCCACTCGCATAATTTTAAGTAGCATCAAATCTCCGAATATGTACACAAAGTAGAAAATGTACTAACGTCACTAATCCAAGTGTATTACTTTAATAAGGAGAAAATTGTTAGTTTTTTTTCTAGATTCCGCTTAATGTATAAAAATGATGAAATTGAAGTTATAACCGTTTGATGCTGATATAAAATTGTAAACTTAATTTTTAATGAAATTTGTAAAGGCAAATTAAACGATTTGTAAAATAAAGTTATTGTAAACAGTCTCCAAATCTCTACACAATATAAAATAAAGTCCCTGGTAGGTGTCTGTCTGTTTGTTCATATCTACAAATGCTTCTAATGAGCTTTAATTTAATTAATTAAAAAGAATTTCAAATTTCCCGCGAGGAACGGTGCTGCTGCCAAACAGAGATTATATGAACTATTTTCGGAGTCCGATCAGCGCCTCTATCGGGAAAACGCTCAAGTTTGTTCTCGAATAGTTGCCACTGTCAACGCTAGATAGAGCCATTTGTTTGTTTGAATACAAAATATAATAATTGAGGGTTAAAAAATGAGTTTCATTCGTATTTTAATATCACGATGCTTGTTCAATAATTAAATAATGGATATATAAAAAATGTAATTAATATATACAAATGGCGCCATCTAGCAGTACAAATAAGAACTATTCGAGGACAAACTTGGACATTTTCCCTATAGAGGCGCTGACGATACTCCGAAAATTAGTTCGATCTTTTCAACGCTAGATGGCGACGACCGAGAAAGTTGGTGGGGCCATCTAGGAGAACCCGTAGGAACTATTTTTGCTACAAACTTGGTCATTTCCCACCGATGGCCTTACTGTCGCGGGAATTAAATTTTGAATTTTATATTGTAATAATGCTATTAATTATTAATTTTTATTAGAATTTTTATTTTGTAAGTTTACCATATCGTTTGTAAGTATATATAAATCTATTATGCACGAATAGATTAATATAAAAAAAATAAAGTAACAGAGGTATTAGTTTTCTAAATGATATTCATATTACTTATTTATTAGGATATTTTCTCATCGTGACATCACGTTCCCTTCATACATTGCTCGAATTATTAACGTTCAAAATTGACCTCCTGGTTTTGGTTCCTGATATCAGGAGAACATGACGACTGAGAAGATACACCAAATTTGGTCGACATGGGAAAAAAATTCGTTGGACACTTAGTTGTTCAAATTTATTCTTACATTCACAAATAATTATGCATGATCTCGATACATAAGCTCGAAGACTTGTCAAACTCGGCCTTGAACTCGTACCTATAGCAGCGTTGTATATTACAATTTCATTTTCTGTATTACAATAAATCGTACAATGACAATTTTGTTTCATACGTTCAAAGCAATAACGATTAACGGAGTCATAAACGCGGTATATAATTACCTGTATTTTAATTATTATGAAATTTGCATCTGACCAAGCATGGCGGTGATAACACATACGATGAATTTTATGCAAAGATTTACTAACACTTGAATATTACAGAAGCAAAAATCATAGTTCAAATTCTCTTTGTGAAACGGTTAGAAAGAAGCTCGTATTTTCCTACACTTCGACGTATACACTTTGAATTTATCGTAAATAACAGTATATGTGTATTAGCAAAGAAAAGAATATATATATATATATATACATATATTTTTGAGTATTTCAACTGTCGATAAATACTATTCATCGAAAGAATCGAAATCGAACTAATTGGGAAAAAAATAAAAAAAATTACAGGAGTAACACGCTTAATACATATTTCTAAATATTAATTCGGCATGTAAATAAATTTACCGCTAAAATATCACATGTTTATCGCGTATATACGATTAATGAATATAAATAATAATAATATATAGTACAAGAATGTTATCTCCATCGTTCGTGTACTTCGTAAGAAGCTTTGTTAAATTATAAACGTTCGACTCGGCTGGATGATTATAGAATTTGAAAACGAATCTTTGTGTGAATCGCCTATTGTGCCCGGGGACCACGTTATCAGGCTACAGGGATATTCCTACCTTCGCTGACAACGGGTGACATAACCTAACCTATGCACCTACGCACAGTCATGTATTAATATCTCTACTGCTTTGTAAATAAATGAATACAGCAAGCAGGTTGTTACGGAAAATTCACAGAACGAGTCCTGAGATCTCTTGTAAACTCTTCCGTCGTGAAGCTAAGGTAATTATTAATTATTCGATTCTTATTTTTTTTTTCTTTTCTTATTTTTTTTTACGTGATTGTGCATTGCGCAACGAGATTGATAATTCGTTTCCTTTGGATTATTTTTGTGATTTGTGATTCGAAGATTGTTCGTAAAATCTGTACAGGAAAATCTACCAGAGAAATTCTAAATTCCATAATTGTCGTTTTAATTCGAACGCTGTACGCTCACGATTTTATTATTCGCATACGACATCGTTCTTCCTATGTACACGCAGGATTATTTCTATAATTTTCACGAATTTTTATGGTTTTATCAAGATTCTTTACGCAATGCATAACACGAATTAGTTTCTCCTTATCTATAATCGAATCAGATGATTAAACTAGAATTAATAAACTAGAAAATAAAGTTGAGTACTAACGTAAAATTAATCTATTATAAAAACGAGATTACAAAATTAAACACACAAGGTATTTTAATAATATTATACAAATCCAAAGTTATAAAACTTTTGTTGATTTTTAAGTTAAAGATTATAATAGTCTTTTTGTATGTAGTTGGAGTTTTCTTTCTATCTCTTTTAATATCTCTTATTGAAGAGAGCTATTCACAATTATTTAGCAGGTAAGGTGTAGCATTTCATGGTAACAATACTGGATAATATGTTTGAACAAGGCGCAAAATAATTACAGTTTGATTACATTTTGAATGCTAACTCTTTGTATTTCACATACAAGTAACATTTTACATTTTAAATTACCATCTGTAATTATAAATTTTCATCTATATCTTAAATAAAAATCAGCATAAACTTTAAGAGTAACCTAATTATATGTATACGAATAGAATTACATGGGTGCAAATAGTTGACACCTCGTAAACTTTAATCATTGTAGAGCATGTTGTATGTGCATATCTGAAATAATAAAGTAAGTACAAATAAGCTATGCTCGACCATTGTACCTTGTGAATTACATTGTATCACAATGGTAACTGTAAATATTTTATCATTATTCAAATATTATTCAAATTTACTGAAAATCCTGTCCAGTTCTGTGGTGGAATATTTTAATATTGTTAACGAACAACGTATAAATAATAATAAAATGGGTGGTAACTAGAATTTACACAATCTATTCATTTGTGACAAAATTGCTCATTGAAAAATGTATAAAAATTATATACATAAGTACATAAAGTATATGTGGTATACGTTATCAAAGGAAAGTCTTCTGACTATGTACTTCAACTATGTACTTATTGTTAGTCGTAAAGTGGTTTCTAATTCGAACATGTCGCCAAAATATGAATCACTGATGCGTGCAGGGTGTTTTACCGCCATGCGGCCATCGCTCGTCAGCTGTGATTTGTTAGTACTCTAGCTAAATGTAACCGTAATCGACATCGACGATACTATCGTCCAGTAACACTTTTCCCTATTCTTACAATGAAAACAGTGCGAATGCTTGCGTAAGAAATGTATTCATGAAAATATTTTACAGCCAAGTGGAGCAATCGTTTGAAAAGAAAGCGCGTGCGTCACCAGTGGCGTTCATTAATTCTTTCCATGTAAGGAGAAAGTTACTAGCTCCTGACCAATCAAAATCACATCTCCTTCGAGCAGGTGTCTCTATTGGTGTCGGCGCTGGGGATTTTCTCCGTACGCGGAAAACATTAATGGAGAGCAGAGGTAACACATGCACATTTTTTTTCAGCCACCAATTATTTATACATCCTTCCATATGTTTACTCGCCATAGAAATGCAATTCTTTGACAATGTTGCCTGAGAAAACGTCGAGCAATTTTTTAAATAAAAAAATGATTCTCTTATGTTATTTAAATACTCTGCTCTTTGTACTTCACATACAAGTAACATTTTACATTTTTAAAACTTCACTCGTATCACAAATTGCAAATGGCGGACACGCGTCTTATGTTTATCACGTATTAAATTAATGATATTTGGTCTTGTACTTATTAAGACTTTCGGTTTCCTTCGACGACTGCTACATATTTCCAAAGTTTTCGAAACACCTTATCGTATTGTTATCATTTCTTAGTGTTCCCGAGCTAGGCATCCCAACGTTAACCAAAATTGTTATCGCTCGGACCAATTAGCTAATTTCTCATCCTTCTAGTATCAAATTAAAGCAGAAAAACGTTGATCCCATTGCATCAAATTACCGACGGACATTAACTTTTTCTTGATTTATTCAAATTGAAACCAGTTCTAGCACTTTTTATGGATGGCCTTTTTTTACAGATGGATCTGTAGTTTCTCTACAGTTGAAGTTTAAAAATACGTAAAAGTCCGTGGAGCCCGGTTACATGTCTTCTGACTTTTTGTTTCTGTTGTATGATTTATTCATTCGTTTGCTAAATTGTTACTCAATTGGAACCGTCGATAGTGTAAGTTTCGTTGTAGTCCTTGTGCCTCTGCTATTCGCTCCCCACTCCTTTCACTCTGCCACGCCTACCGATGACTCACTGACCAGGCCCGGCGGTGGGGGTAATCGCACAACACTTACAGAATACTCGAGCGTTGAAAATTTAAACACTGATTCGTTATAATGCGCTTTTTGCTGTTTTTCAATACGTGAAGTTATAACGCTGCCTCGAGCAAACATCACTTCTATTATGTAAATCACAAAGAGTTGATTAGTGCCGTGACTCTTTTTTTTTGTGAATCAATTGTCCAGGTAAGTGAGAATCAGTGACAGTATTCTTCTGGACGTGGTCACGGTTAGAGTTTTTAATAAGCAACTTTGTTTTTACTGTTAAATACTTGGCCCCCTAATGCGGTGTCTCCCCCCTTAAATCTCGCTCGAACTACATTCGGTTATTTATTTTATTACGTGCCTTCCAACTTGCGATTAATTTATAATTCTCTTTTGTTTCCAGAGTTGTAACTATGACGTTATTCCACTTTCAACTCCTCATATGTCCGGAGTAGCGGTGAAGCCAGTATTCCTAAGAAATTTTCGCAAAAGTACAACGGTATCTCAGATATTCGTGTCGACTTACTCGTATTTGATGAGAATCATGGAAAATTCGCCCACACAACAAAAATTCAATCAAGCTCCGATAGACACATACATGGAAAGGTATTACAATTCCACCAGTAGTTGCGAGATGTTAACTTTTGCAACGGAAAATGTAGCGTGTCAAAGCAATTCCCAGGGAGACGATCTTGGAACGAACACGTGTGTCGAATCGCCGATATTTTTGAAAGATAAGTATCTGGCGGACAGACAAAGGTACAAAGGGATGAGACAATGGAAACGTATTAAGAAAGGTAATGTTAGTATTTTTTTTTTTTTTTTTTTTTTTTTTTTTTTTTTTTTTTTTTGATCGTCAAATAAAAATGAATACTCATCGTATCGTTATTTCAGAGAAGCTGGCCTCTAATTCCGAAGATTACTTTATTCTAAGGCTACTCTCCTTTAACATTCTGGCCCAGTATCTTTTGGAAACTTATCCATTTCTGTATAAAGAACACGACAAACGGGCGCTACCTTGGGAGATTAGAAAACAGTTTCTCTTACAAGAAATTTTAGAAGCACAAGCTAATGTTAGTTTCCTAAATCGGTTACCGATTTTTATCAAATCTAGAATCATTTTTCAATCGAATTCCATAATGTAAATATAACTATGTAATTATACGATTCACTGGTAAGATTGATTTCACGTTACAAGGATACATTAACACGTTTTCGTTGACGTTCATTTTAAATATAATTCAGAAATATGAGAAATGTAATGTAAACAAAATAAGTGCCAAAGTTTTAAGTTATGTATGTATGTTAATAAATTGATATGCTTCGTTAGGTGATATGTCTCCAAGAGATGCAAGAAGAGCATTTGCAGGAGTTTTTGGTACCGTTCAGAGAACTGGGTTACAAATATTTATATAAGAAGAGAACGAATGACAAAAAAGATGGTTTGCTCTTTCTTTATCGGTCCGATCAATTAGTTCTTATCGAATATACAAAGGTTGAGCTCTACCAGTCAGGTATAGAGCTTCTGAGTAGAGACAATGTTGGAATTATCGTAAAATTAGCAGTCAAGGAGAGTCCGCAGACACAGTTAGTGATTGCCACGACACATTTACTTTACAATCCTAAACGAAACGATGTGCGACTGGGGCAAACGCAACTACTTCTAGCGGAAATTGAAAGGATTGCTTTTTTGGAAAACACAATGTAAGTAATTATCGTGTATAGTAGCTGTAAGATATGGGAATGCATTTACTAATTCGGTAATTAAAAAATTTCGTTTAACCTTGAACTTCAACGTAGGACGGGTGCCAAATATCTGCCAATTATACTGGCAGGAGATTTTAATTTAGAACCATATTCCGGAGTTTACAAATTCATTACGGAGGGAGCCTTTGAATATCAAGGAAAAGGAAGGAACCTCGAGCAGACAGAGTTTCGGTCTCTTTCGAATTCCTTAATTCCACCTCGTCTTTTCGTTACGGACAACTGTCAACATTTGAATATTTTGAAGAAAAGATTACGCGGAGAAGGAACTGGTAAAGTAATGGTACGTTCCTCTAAAGTTTTCGATACTAGGATCCTGAAAACTTTAAGGTGGTATTTATATTTTCATTGAAATTGGCTTTTCGTTATCGTTTACAGTTAGAAAATAGCGAGAACCTCGTAATGGAAGGCATTGCATCGGACAATGCTTCGTCGATAAATAGCGATGTGAATGCGGATACGACTGATCTTCAAATAATAGAGATTGTACGTGGCTATCGTGCACTGTTCAGTTCTGGCACCCTTACACATCCGTTCCATCTCCGTAGCGTGTACAAACACGAGAAACGTCAAGGGGAACGAGAAGCTACGACTAATCAGGGAGCGTGGATTACAGTTGACTATATTTTTTACAGCAATTTAGAACCTCTCGAGAAGTATAGATTACCGACGGCAGAAGAGTGCACCGCTTTGCCTACCATACCCAATTTTGCTGTCGGAAGTGATCATTTTTGTTTAGGTGCTACGTTCAGAATACACAAAGCGAAACTCTAGAAGAGTTAATATTAACGATTTGTAATACGATAAAAGATTTGCGTAAACCTTGTATAAAAAAAATGAAAACCTGGACTAAATGTACGAATATTAGAGTTAATACAAAAAGTAAAAAGAGGTATTTTGTCTTAAAACAAGCAAATGTTATGATTAATCTATGTTTTGATTAATTTTAAATTATTTTGTGTCTCTCTTTTCCTTGGTAAATATATACAATTGTTATATGTAGATTAAAGACATTAAAAAGTGTATTTTATTTTAAAACGAGTTAGGATTACTTCTTTTTCTTTGCCTTTGGCGAATATATTGTAAACAATACTCCGAAACGGTCCGAAACAAAGCTATATAAAAATGGAGTTTACAGTACACAGTGGCAATGAAAAGAGCAAAGAAAAGTAATATTGTAATACACCTTTTATACATAATTACTCTGGTAAATTCAATTAATATATTCCTCTAATATCGCCTACATATAATTAAAGTTATTATAGAAAACAGTAGAAAATATCTAGGTAGTGGATAGATAAATGCGGCCCACTCGCGCATGCGCGCAGTACTATAGCCAATTTATAAGAATAAGGAGTCATCTACGCGGCTACAACACCTTCCATACATTGTACATAATGCCTTTTGTATGCACATTGTAACTGTCTTACATTAAAATATTTTTTAGAACCCGCTGGCTCCCTTATAGCTACAACACAACCAAACAGCTGCAGTCCATGAGGACACAATACATGGTCTCAATTTTTGTGTACTTCAATTGTCCTATTTTTCATGGGGGCGACTAAGGGCACCAGTTTTATGGTCGTAATAGATACATTCCTGATGCTAAAAGCAGTGGGTGCCAACCTGCCAATCCTGGCATCGCTCTAATCCCCCGCTCTCTTAACCCTATGAGTCTGTGGTTACAAGATGGCGAAATCGGGCTACCGTGCTGCTACCTAGAATAACTAGCAATAACTAGAAACGATGGAAAAAAGATAGGTGTAATCGATAACTTTCCTCTTGTGCAAGATAACGAATGTTTAGATTGTCTCTTTCTCGTTACTGTTTAATTCAAACTGATAACAGAAAATGATTCATCAATTTTCGGTTGTTTAAAATTACAGTCGCTCGATACCACAGTGCGTCTCCCATAGTGCTGTGAATTAACCAGATTGGTTTCTTGAATTTTGGTTCGATAAATGTGTGTTTGCGAACGACATTTTAAGAGACCACAGACAGAGTTTCATTGAACTTTCTTACGTTTTATATCACACGCAACGTATTTATGTATATTTTCTCGATCCGTAATCGTGGTTTATTTGCTCAGTAATTATAGAGTTTGAACTTGTGGCGATTTTCACGTATAATAAACCACAATTCTCAACGATGTCGAGGTTTTTGCTGCTCTTCTGCTTTGCATCGCTTTACGTTTTGGGTATGACTTATCAGACGTTTATAATATTTATATCGCTTGGAAATAATAGTTGAGGATTTCTAATGTATTGCATTGCCAAATTTTTCGTACATATAGTGCACGTTAGAATGCGTGAAAGAGTCATTTTTTGTTGAACTCCATTTTTATGAACTGTTTTCTTGTTTTTCCTGTTTCTTGTTTATTTACAGTTAAATTATCTCTACCTAATATCACAGAAGTACTTCTTGCCATCTGTGGGGTTGGTACTAAGAAATAAGGAGTTTTGTGTAACTCTATGATCTCTACATAGGGACAAGCTTATGGTATCATTGTTTCAATGAATAAAGACACAAAATATTGAAATAATATTCTGAGAATGAGAGTTACAAGTTCTTTATGGTAGAGCACATATATAATGGACTCTTTTATGCAATTTATTTTATCTGTGCACAATAATAATATTCGTACGACCAAAACTAACAATATATCCTCGACTATTTTTTCAAGCCAGATGTTAATCTGGTGATTATGATTATAATTCCATAATTGTTTGGATAGACCTAGAATTCCACTTGAAATAGAAATATGTGAATCAATGTATCATTTTCTTAACTCATTGTAAAATTCCCATAAAAAAAATTTACTGGTAAATGGCTTACAATGCCAACTGAACTTTCAAGGACACCTTTTGCTTATATTGCTGTCTCTCTTATTTCTGAGTTTCTTTCTCTAAATAAAACAAAGACAACAGTCTATGCAGAGATCTCCTTAAAAGTTCAGCTGGCTTGACAAGGGCATTCATTCTCCCAGTTTTTTTGGTATTACTAACACAATGTACAACTGGTTTTTCCAGCTTTGGGCATATTCCCGATGCAAACAGCTTACAGCTGGTTCTTACAGATTTGTCAGACTCGCGTAATTAAATCTTTACTGCAACTTTCTGATATTATCAATTTCCATCAGAAGTAATATGTACACCCCATCAGTTTCGTTTTTATCCGTTATCGTGACGCGCGCATTCCATGAATCAATGTGTGCATTATGTAAACGATGTAGTCATTTCCTCTCGGTATTCCCGTTGCAATAAGATGAGAATTAATTCTACGAAGCCTCGAATTTTACGCTATCTTCTTCAGCTTTCTATATTGACTATACAAACTGTTTAGCGTCTCAATTGAACCTTCGACTGTTTTACTCGCTAGCGAGAAAATGTCTACGGTAATTGCGTTTATAAGCTCTAGGATTTGCGTATTGCAATTAGTTGGCAGCCTTTTTGCAAAATTCGTATTTCAGCGATTTTTCTTTTTTGAAACACTAGTAAGATCGAAGTTACTTACGAAAGAATATTAAAGTAAAACAATAATTGTAAAAGTAAAGTAAGAAAAGATATGGTTTAATTAAAAATAATACCAACAAATCTTTTTTAATTGTACTTAATGTCTGTTTTAATAGTGCATTCAGATTAATGGGTCATTTATAACGTTATGGCGTCGTGGCTCGTCACACGCTACTTGACCCTCGGATCATAGGTTGCCAACCACTGGTCTAGACGTTGCATGTAATATCTCCCATTGCTTTTATCGTAAATGATTTCACGAAGTTGAACAAAACGCATTCTCCAAATCTATAATCCCTAATTATCGAACAAACCGTTTTTTGACGGGTGCTTTGTCGAACGCGATCCCGTGTTAATGTAAAGATAAGATAACGTAACTCGTGCGGTAAATATTTTAGTTGAAGCAATCGAGCATTATATATCATCTGTACGGAAAGATTTTATCTGTATACAATGCAACAGCAACATCATACCCCCTCCCCTCGCGTTAGAACAAAGACGAAACTTGTACATTCATCTAATACGAATGTAACACAAATATTCTAATAGCAATTCATTTTTTCTTTTGAAATAGGCGAAGGGCAAGAACACATGACCTCTGCAAATAATGACCCCCTCATTACCGCTACTGTTAAAAAAAATGGTTCTCTACCAGACTCCAAAGCAAAATCTTTGCCGAATAAAGCAGAATACTCTGCAGATCCTGCATTAATTTCCATTAGCAATGAGGAGATTAAGACACCATCAAAAGAAGATACAGTTACAAACCATAGTTCTCAAACCACAGTTGCTTCACCGAATCCTACAACTGTTACAACAACTGTAACCGAATCAACTGTTAAACTAAGTCCAAGTACTACGGTTGGTTCACTGGTCAACGCTACAGTGGCAACATCTCCTACTCCTGGCAAATGGATAGTCAATGAAACCAATAAGATTTGCATTGTGGTACAAATGTCCGTGCAGTTCAATGTTTCGTATGAAAATCTTAATCATACAGTAAGTAAAAATCGAGCTGAGAGAGGTTATCGTTCGATAATATATGGATCGATACTAACCCGATAGCGGATGTATTTTTTCACAGACATCCTACAAGATATTCGACATGCCGATAGACAATAGAACCATAAAAGCGAACGGCAGCTGTGGTGCCCTTGAACAAGAACTAAATCTGATGTGGTCCTCCTATAACGGAACTAACGGCAGTATGTCGCTACACTTTATGAAAAAGGAGAACGACACTCGTTATGCTTTCAAATATCTGAACGTCGTCCTTCCAGCAACGAATTTTCCGAATTCAACTTTAAGTAAGTATTCATATCTGAATGTATTGGATAAAGCTTAATTGACATTTTAGTTCCGAGGCATGTTATCTTGTTATTGTATTACGTGTGTTATATTTATTACATAATTGTGTATTTTTTTTTTTTTTTTTTTAGACAAAACTGACACGGTAAACCTTGAACATGACGCATCCAATTTTGTAACTGAATTATCCAGTTCCTATAGATGCGTAAAACAGCAAAGGTTGAAATTCAAGCAAGAGAATGACACTAAAACTGGTGGCTACTTAACCATTTCAGGTTTACAATTTCAAGCATTCAGAACAAGTAACACCACTACTTTTGGTTTAGGTAAGTTTTAAAAAACCAAAACGTTTAGAAGAATTACTTAATATTAGTGGAGTTCGAAAAATGCGCGGAAGAATTTTATTTATGCAATCTTACTTTATATGCATTTAAATGTATTAACATTAATTATAAGAAATTTGTATTTATTTTCAGCTAAGGATTGCGCTTTGGAAACAGCTGATATTGTACCGATAGCAGTGGGATGCGTATTAGCAGGATTAGTGATTATAATTTTAATTGCATACTTGGTTGGTCGCCGAGGATGTCAATCTCGTGGCTATCTTAGCATGTAACTTTATAATTTTTTTAATTTCTGCTTCTTGAATAATTAAGTCGATAATCTGTGTTTATGTACTGCATGTTAATGCCAGAAAAGTTATTGCTTTTTTTTAAATCCTGAGAGTTGTTATACAAACGAACAACTACATTAAATCTTCCTTTCTTCCCTTAATACACAGAATTTTACATTAAGCAAAGAGCGTCAATTGTTTTCGTAGAAATTACTTTTCCTTTACTCGATTACGCGTACAGGGAATTTCAATTTAATTCTACTTTGAACTCTTGGATACTCTTTTTCAATATTCAAAAGCAATATTGGTCAATATATTTTGATGGTTTCACTTTGTGATCGATATTAATGCATAAGTTTCCATTGTATAATGTAATGTTGCTCGCAAAGCGTGATAAAAAGTATTTTTAGAAAATAAAAAAAATTATAATTGGAGAGTATAAGAAGTAAGCGGACTAATGAAAACGGTAAATATGTATAATTTGCGACTCCTAATTATTTATAGTGTTTTCAAGCTATAAAATTTGTTATTTACCTCTTCAAGTTTACAGAAACTAATCGATACATTACGAATAAAATAAATACATTTCACTGTGATAATAATTTAATGAAACTAAAACCACTTCAAAAGAGTATCGAATTATTTACTTCTAAAAAAATATGATTTTTAAGAGCTCAATTTTTTCTATTAAATTATGTTCTTTATTTGTAGATCAATATATTTAATATATTTCATCGTTTGTTCGGTAGTAATGTCAATGATTCTAGTAAAAACAATATTATATTAAACAATAGCATCAGTTGTTAAGTATGAGTCTGTCTTAACGAATGAAAAGCTTGGTTGCTAATAAATTACTATATACATTAAAGACAAAAATATGTTAATCGTTACTATTCCTGTTTAAATTGGCAATTTTGTGTTGCTTACATACGAATATAGGTACTTTTGAAACAAATTCCTAACGGAAATATAAAATCAATCGCCTTCTTCACGGTTATTCGGTAAATTTATTAAAAAATGAACGAAACGAGGTCCGATCATCAAGATTATTTTGAAAAGAAACATATTTCCGATACGTTTCGTTTTCTAATTGGTCATCTGGTCGTTAATCAACCAGAAGATCCTATTCAATTCTTATATCAACTGATCGATGACTGTATACTGTTCAGATCGGGACTGAAAGAACCACGTTTATTTTGGATGAAAAGGTAGATAAACGTCACAATTAAGATTCGACTCGGAACGATTCACACCTTTCTATGTTACAGACACGTCGATAGTATTTTTCAAAGTTTCGATTCCAGTAGCTCAGGGCATTTGTCGTTAGACACTTACAAAACTGCCATGCAAACTTTGGGCATACGTTCTTATAATCCTTGTCCCGTTGAATGTTTGCCAGGATTCGTGGATCAACAAACTTTCCGCAAAGAGGCGTAAGCTTTGCTCTTCTTAAAAATCTACTTTAAGTTTGTTTTTACACGATGTAATTTATACTCGAGCAAAATTTCCTTACGTACGAATCTATGTCAGGTATGCAAGAAGAGGGATCGTTATGTTTCAGGTTGTACAGTTTGGAAACCGAGCTCGCCCATATTTTTGGCAAAAATGCGTACTAGCATAGAAGATGCGTATTAGAACGCGTAAAAAAAACATCGTTTATCTAAAATTCTGTATCGTGCGTATTCTAATAGTCACGTATTCGTCGTGTTCATGAATTTGTTGGAAAAGCGAGGCAATTCGTCGGGGTATCGGATTCTGTCGCAACGAGGCGTAGCAAAGAGTGGCAAGGAAAAAGAAAGAAAACGCCAGCATTGCTTGATAGTTTGCGAGAGGGAGAAAGGGAAAGGTAGAACGAGATGGCGAGGAAAGGGAGACAACGAGAGAGAAAATCGAGGGACGAAGGGAGGCGAAGCGAAACGAGTCGACTCGAGCCAAAGTAGACTAAAGACCGTGGTAGCGAGTAGCGAGGAATAGAGAGTAGGGAGGAAAGCGAGCAACGCAACGACACGGCCCGAAATAGTTGTGCAGGAGTTGTGTAAACGGTGACTCTATATACCTATGCTGGCACGCGGAAACGCCGATATCGTTATGCTTACTTGGATCTTGGCGTAGAAGAGCAACCACCTTTCTACGTTTCGACGCAAGCATGATTCTTCGTATATTCTCGTCTTCGTTTGTCGTACGTATGCGACCGTACAACCGCGCGACTCGAAGACGCAGTGTCGAAATGAAAGTGAGTGGTCTACTGCTACGACAGTGAAGGCGTGAGGTGATTCTCGACCGATCAAATTTTAAACGAATTTTATCGTTTCTAATAATTAAACATGATAAATTCCTAACAAGATACCGCATCTCGTGTAACAACAGTAAAGAGAAAATACGTTAAAAAGAGTGAAACACTGAAATCTGGACAGAAATAGACTAACTACGGCATGAGTCGCGAAGTCCGTCCATCGATCGTAACCTTTCGACTATCGAGGAACCGACAATGCAGCAAATTTACTCTGATCGCGGGAAATGAAATCTGATTCTAGATTCAATTAGCGAACCGAACGGTGGAAGTTCATTAAACAGAAATGCAACTTGAAGTGTGCATTTAGTAAACGCGATTCAGAATTAACGAAAAAGATGAGAACGCTTACGTTTATCGGCTGTTCGGTACTTTTGCTATCCTTACTGCTACGTATCAGCATCGTGTCATCGGCCCCTACGTACGAACACGCTGCTTTCCAAACCGCTGATCAGTGCGACTGGCTTGGAAGGTTTGTATTCTTTGTTTCTTTCTCCGCTTTATCCGATCCATTCTTTTTTTTTTTCTTTTTTTTTTACATGCATGCCCATACATTCACACCTGTACACACACAAACACACAACGCGCGCGCGCGCGCGCGCAAACTGTGTTAGTTTTAGGAAAACGTGAAAAAAAAAAAAAAGGAAGGACGCAAATTGCTGTGGAGAAATGTATTAAAACGAGCTTAAATTCTTTTTCTGTATCTATGCAATCGGCAAATTGCAGTCTGGCGATTATTATAGAAAGCAGGCTATACCACTCAACGTATGCACGCTGATACGGATCGATATCGGTTTATCTTTCGCCGCGGGATTTTTTTTTATCCTCTCAACCGAGTCGTTTTGTTTTTATTTTACTTTAATCTTTGTTTACGTATCGAATCGATCGACGTGCCCGAATCCTTCGCCAGTATCTGTACGTGGTCTAGAAAATGCTTTTATAACGGAAAACGAAAACACGAAGACTTTTATTAAACGCGAAACCAGTTGCACGACTTACTAACAAAACCGGTTTTCTTCGTCCAGCACGAGCGAACTCTAGAAGGATCGTACGACTGACGTTCGATTTATCATCTCTCTCTTTTCTCGGTCACAGATTGACTGTCGTATGCTCGCGTAGGCAGGTATGTGATCGCGCGCACACTATACGCAGAACGAGGGGGCGGAGGGGGGGGGCGGGGGCGGGGAGAAGGGGAAGTAGTTGCAGGCTACCCACGAAAGAACAAAGCAAAAGAGAACGATTACGTACATGTAGATGACTACACAACTATCAAAAACGACTCCTGTTAGACCCACCAGCAATTAATAGCCGCATCAACGTTTCCTTACTTCCCAACACTGGGTAACTTCTCGAGAGACGAATTTCAAATGGATCTTCTTTTTCTCTGATTGAATCCATATAAACCAAAGCAGCCTTTCTCTGCAAATTAATTTGAACATGCAAATATATTACTGAGTAATGGTAATTCTGATATAGAAGAAAACGTATCTCTCGAAAGGTTGAACACTGCCAAACTAACATTAAAAAAATAAACAACCACCCTCTCAAACCACCCCGTAGTTCGGTTGATCCGTAAATAATGTTTGTACTTTACGTTATGTGGCAGCGGAGGTGGCGGTCGAGGTGTACGACCCGTGTATCTTCGATGCTCGAGGGGAACCGTATCCTGGCGATATCCACGAGGCGCTCTACGCGTAGTTCTCTCGCCCCCTGTTCTGACCGGGTCCATCTCGAAGATTCGCTTCGGGTTTGTCGAGGGAGGAGGGAACGACGGTAACGCTAGCACCAACGACGTTTACCGATTATCCGAGTTTCGCACGTGTACCAAGGTCTCCGGTCCGGTAAGAGTATATTTGGAAACTCGCGGAAAACTCCGGTCGGTGTATTCCCCGAGGGACGGTAAACACGAAGCCTCGCATAGATGTTTCCGCGCGAAAAAGCAGCCAGCGGCGCTGTACATCGAAGCTGAAGAACCTCCTGTGTCGGGTGAACGTCGCGATGCGAAATTACAATACGATCTGGAATTACGGTACACCGATAACAGCCACGAAGGGAGAACGCGTAGATTTAACGAGGAGGAAGAAGAGGACTGCAGGCCGTGCTCTATGGACGAATTGGCTAAAGCTTATTGTCAAAGCGACTTAGTAGCTAGAGGTACCGTGAGCGCCGTTCAAAGACAACCAAGTTTAGAAGCCGCTGAGCTCGTCCTTAGGATAACGAAGACTTTGCGCCGAATCGAGGAAAACGAGGTAATCGTCTGTCCCCCTTTTCTTTTTTGATCAAACAATCAGGGCCGGATTAAGCCATGGGATTCGAAGGCTACAGCTTAGAGACGTCAGTTGGAGGGCTTCCAGATATTAAACGAAAAGTTTCATCTGTATCTGCTCGATCAGAGTACTTTCAATTATCTATTTAAAAAAGTATTCGATTAATATTCTATACATACATTGAAACACTCTACTGTATACGTATATATATACTCATTATTACATGGAATTATGTACTCACAATACTTGTAGCCTGGGGATCTGGAAAATCTTAATCCGGCGCTGGTAGTTGGACGTTTCCTTCTTCTTTTCGACGACGATAGCATCGACTATTACCATCGTGAATTAATTTACACTCCTCATCGAACAGGGCAACAACGACGTGGACGTTATCGACTCGTACAACCGACGAAACATACGTGTAAGGGTGCCAACCGCTTGCGACGCGCGACACGGACAGGGTGAGTTTGTCGTAATGGCTAAACGAAGACTCGGTGATCTTGTTCTGGTTTGCGCGCCGAGGTTGGAAACTTGGATAAAAACGGTCCGTGAACTAGAAAGCGCACCCTGCGTACTTCGAAGTTAGCACGTTCGAGTTACAACAAAATGACTGTAAATACATTGTACTTTCCTGTTCTATACTATACGAATATCGATCTCCAAACTGTGATATTGTTTTGTAAAAATTTTATCGTGACAAATATATCTTTTCAGCAAGATTCTGTAATGGTAAATTTCAATGTTACACGACTTACCCGATCGTATCGTTGTCCGGACATCCTTCGCTGTTACTTCCCTTTGTCGTTGTCCTCGTAATCTTTCGTATCTCATGCTAAACGTACCATATACGCTTCACAATATTTTGCGAAAAATTTCACTAAAAATTAAACGTTATCATGTAAAAAAGAAACCGTATTGTAACTTTTCGTATCGTAATAATTTCGAACGCATCTTCATAACTTACACTGATTCATTCACGTATATCATAATCACATACAAGATAGGAATTACATTCGGATAAGTTTTTGCTGCTTTGTTCGCATTACACATTCTAAACATATTAATTTGACGGTCATAAACGATGCACGCGCGAACGTTTAAGACACAATACAATCGCTGAGTAAACATAATTTAGAATTTTGCATACGTTTGAAACGAACAAATACACTCGAATTGTTTTATAAGGCGATGTTTCGCAATGTTTTGGCGAGCCTACTTTGATAAGAACCGGTACTGCTGTTCCGATAAACATACTGGCCGTATAATCACCGATGCCATCGACGAACAGACAACGTCGCGTGTTTAATCTCTTCGAAACGCATATCCTCGTGGATCTCTTCCGCGCATCGAGCTCTTCGGTGTAATACAAACCATTGAATGTACGTTATCTCCTAAGGAATGCGATAACGCGACGCATGGTCCCCAAGTTTATACTTAATAACTGATGTCTGTTTGACTGTACTTGCTCTTTTATTTTGTGATTGTAAAACTGTTTCGCTGTAAACAGAAAATTTGGCAAGAACTCGCTGCGTTCGAGACGAAGAGACACGTAGAAGCTTTTTTTTCTTTTTTACCGATCTTACCTCGTTCGTTGCAATTTATAAATGTAATGCGAGTACATTCAAGTCAATGACGTAACGACAACGTTACTAATTATAATATACCTACTGTTCCACGACTATCGTATCGTCGTGTAAGGATAATTAGGACACAACGGTAACACAAAATCGTCCATATTCGGCAAAACGACCAGCTTCTCGAATTCTCTTAGCAACTTAGTCTCTATCCATTTGGTTACGGAAACAAAGTTAACCTTTCTTTCGCCAACCGCGGGTTTCACGGTAAGAGTTACTTTCGGCACGGGTTTGAAACCGTACCATAAACGATCGGACGGTGCCGGTGGAATGTTTAAGGAAAGACAACCTTCTATGCTGGAGATGGTAACCATTAATCGTATCTCCATATTCGAGACACCTTCCATGGCTTTTCGAACATAGGAGAGCTCGGTTGCCTAGTTTCGTTAGAGAAATATGAAAAAGGAAACATAAATCTGTTACTTTATCGTACTACCGAAACAACAAATACAAAACAAAGTATACTTACGTGTTGGAAAAATTTATTCGCAGCTATCCTGTCAACCATACTGAGAAACTTTTTTCCAGACGATTGCGCCGGCCTTCAAAGAAATATCAATAAATTAATTAAACGTTAACGATGCCAAGTGATTATGTAACAAATCATTGCCACAGCTTACGTTGTTTCTTTAGCGGTGTTGTCCAGTTGAATAGCATTACTATCATCGTCCTCTGTAGATGTTTCTGGAGTATCTTCGATATCACTGTCAAAAATCGGTGATCTGGTCACAGAGTCGTGTTTCTCCGTAGGAATGATAACGTCGCCGCCAGTGGTAGTAGCAGGAACCGATCCCGATCTCTTCAATTTCATCAGATTCAGCTTTGTCTCAACGGTCATAGTTAACGATCCTTTGTACATTACATCCAAGTCAAACCACAGACCCCTTTCGTTGGTTACCGGTTTCGTTACGTTACGAATTATAGGCGCTCCTTGACCTATTGCTACCTCCGAAACTAAAAGGCACTCCATGAAATATGGTAGTTTTATACTAGATAATTTCCGTTGTATTTTGTCCTGTATAAGATTTATAGTTTCTGGACATCTGTGCACGTCGAATAATACACGAGCTATTAAACAATTGATCCAAAGCGTATTGTCGGTATACAGAGAAAACGTGTCTTCCGTTGTCGATGGGCCAGCGTCCAGGTATTTCGCCATGTAAGCATTATAGGTAAGCTCGGTTAAGCTTTCGAACGAGTTGTTAACTGAAACAAAAGTTTTCGATTCCGCGATGACGGTTCGCTGTGACGTTGAAGTTGTACTACACGTGGACGATGGATCGGTTGCAAACAGTAACGTATCTTGCTTTTTAACGCATCGAGACGCGGCTGAAACCAAACGCCTGTACCAGTCTTCTTTTTCACGATCAGCTCTGGCGAAAATGAAGATTTTTAACTCGTCCCTCTGCTCTTCGTTGTTCAAACGCTTTTTTAAGGTACTTTTTCTTCGTCTTTTAAACTGTGTTACTTCGTCCAGCGTCTCCCACTTTTCCTCCTTCGCTTCTCGTTGCCGCATCTCCGCCTTTTCGTCCACAGCACCGCTGTTATCGTCTTCGTTACCCTTTCCGTCGTTGTAGTCAACGTCCACCTCTTCCTCTTCCTCCTCGTCATTGTATATATAATAGTAGTCATAGTCGTCGTTGTCAAACTCGTCGTCCTCGTCCTCGTCCTCTTCCTCCTCCTCCTCTTCCTCTTCCCCTTCCTCCTCGTGATCGTGTTTCTTGCAGTCCTCTTTCCTCTCTCCTTTTATTTCATTCTCCTTTCCTACGTTTGATCTGATTTCGACTTTCATCTCGATTGGTTCCGTTCGTCGTTTCTTCCCTTTTTTGTCAACGTTACGATGGTTACTACGACCTTTCTTTCCGTTCCTTCTTACCTTGGCATCCCTTTCTTTCTCGTCACCCCTCTCTTCCTCCGCACACCATCCCTCGGCTTCCCAGTTTTCAAACAACTCCGCATATTCGTTGTTATCGATGTCATCATTGATGAAATCGTTATTGTAATTTTCACCGTTGTCGTCGTCTTCAGCAGTGTCCGCCTCTTCCTCTTCTTGCTCTCCATCTCGTCCTACTACCGACTCCTCATCCTCTACGGTGGAGAGCCGAGTCTCGTTAGCTGTACATTTCTTATTAGATCCAGTCTTCGTTGGTTCGTTCTCCTTCTTCGAATTTTCGTCGTTAACCGAACCTTTCAAATTTACACTACAAACTAAAGCTCCTTTCCTAAGAGTTATGCAAATTGGATATTTTTTACTCCATCGTCTTTTTCTAGTGAGTCCAGACGGAAGAAGATCTATCTTTGCTCCATTCAAATTGTACACTCTCCTTTTAACGAATTTCAATTTGTGTTTCGATTCGTCCCAGACGGCCTTCTTTGGTACTTTCATTCTAGTCTCCATTATCCGCAAAATGTTTCCTTGTAATCTGAAAAAAACGGACTTTGTGCGTGCCACGTGATAATTATTGGGTTCGTAACTGTAGGGAAGTTCGTTCACCCAACCTTGAAACCTCTCAACGACGGCATGTTCCTCTACTGCCGGTATCTCTAGCACAGGTATTATCGTTGGTCTATAGACTAATTTTTCGTCGGGTAAAGTTGTCAAAATTTGTTTAAGCTTAGTTACAGTGTCGTAAAATGTAATCGTTGTAAAAATACCTACTACGAGTCCTAGCAAATAGTCTGGCAACGGAGTAACATAAGAAATGCAAAAAACAGCGACGAGAACAGCAACCGATCTATACGTTAATTGATAGATTAATTGTTTTATCAAATGCGAAAAAATTGTTTTAACATTGATTCGCTTTGGAAGTACAGACTGATGTATATGGGACTGTTTTTGGACGTTAGCGTAATCGTTGCTTTCAGGAGACTTTGTTATCGGCGAATCGCTTTTAGAACAAGGGACGATATCATCGCCGATATCTTGAGAAAATTCAGAGGCTTCTATGCCGCTCTCTATGGACTCGTCTTGCAAAATTTTGTCCTTCAAACCTGTTTTTACTCCAGAAAAACCTACGTATTTACCTGGAGTGGCTTTACCTAAGGCGATAGCCGCAGCCGATTCGCTTATCTGTTTATCTCCGACTTTTTCTTCGCACGGAGTATTGTTTCCTTGATCTTCCGATTCGCTAATACTCGAACTTTCGGCTCGAGAACGACAGGGTTTCTTCTTGTCGTTCTTTATCTCAGACAGCTTCTCTTCGAACGTTCTAGTTATTTTTCCTTTAATTTCTGAAAATACCTTCCATGGATCCAGAGATGGCGGGGTACCTTCGGGTATAGCATTCTCTGCGACAACATATTGACTGTCCGAGTTGCTTTCAGAAGTGTTAAAGTCATTCGTGGACTTTGTTTTAACAGACTTTGATGGGGAAGAAGATACATTCAACGAAACCCTTTCGAATTCAGGAGTTAGTCTTTGCTCTTCGTCCGTGCTGGGATATATTTCTTCCAGTTCGTCGTCGCTAGCATGGTAATGAATTGCAGGAACGGAGGTCGTAATTGGTTTACCTTACAGAAGAAAACAAAATAAATCGAGGGTCCTTTGTCACCGACAGCTATAACTAATTATCGAATTATGGAAAAAGTACGCGCGATTATCGAATTTCCTTTGTGTCTCTAAGTTCTCTCACCTTTTATCATGGCCAATGTCACTTTCTTCGGACTATGCTTGCTGTTCATGATTGCGAAATGTTTGTTTCAATAATCCATTAGTGTGCGAATATTCTCGCGATGCACATATGGACGAACCTCGACCCTGTGGTTTGCTGTTGTAACCAACGGATGGAAACGCATAGTTTCGTGTCGAAGTTGCCTCAAATCGTTTCAATCAACAACGATCGCGTAAACATTTTCGACTTTAATCGCAACGTCTAATCTGCGTATCTTTTCATGCGCGTTCGCATGACTATGATTAACGTTTACACGAATTCGAACTTCGACTTAACCGAGGACACGCACACGGTCTCGTTTATGCACAACATCGATGTTTAAGTTCGTAGTTATCGACGTTAGGTACTCGTATTTACGTCAAATTCGTAATATCGATGTATTCTATTACTCATTCATTAGGAAGACGGAAACGATGTAAACAATAAGTCACGTGATCGAAATTCTAGTGTCTATTGGTTCACTGAATGCTTAACGACGTAATATATGTACATATTCGATGAATATACATGTTCTTCAAATATTTTAAAGAGTCACAAAATGAAACAGAAACACTTTGACTGACTCGTTGTTCGTAAGCAAACTGATATGAAGTTTGTTAGGTTATATATGTGTGCACTGCCTTAACATTCAACTTCTGTATGGACAAACGTTACTCCATTGTTATCGATGTTTTCACTGTTTTTGACATTGACATGTATTTTGCGCGGAAAAAGAAGTAAACGATTGTAAACGTATTGTAAAATGTATTTTTTAAATTAATGTTTTCGCACGAATATAAGTAAACAAGAAATTTGAAAGGAAATCGTGAAAGAAAGGTAGAACGTGGCAAAGACATCAGTGTAATATCGTTACATGTAATATGGCGTTTACCGATTGGAATGACGAGAGAAATTTTCTACAAAATTGTTTTTCATTTTTTATAGATGGGCAGCATGCGATGTTCATCGCGCGCGAACACACGTGAGCCACGTGTCTGTGACGTATCGTTGCTATCGTTGTCCTTTGGATACATGCGCGACATCGTTCAGACACCTACTGTGCGAACAAAACATTAAACATTTTTTTCAAATTTTTCATCAGCCAAGATGAATCATACGGTTTACTTCTAAAAGTTTCGAGAGCAAACCGTACAGAAAATAATCGAACTTTACTCTCATCGATAATGTGTACCATGTGACGTTTTCTTTCACGACGATTGTTTGTTGAAACAACAATTACAGGAACAGGTTTGTGTTGTCTTTTGAGTTAAGTATCGCTTAAGAGTCGTATACTGTTATTCACCATGTCAGTCAATTGCATGGAAATAAAGAAATAAGGAAGAGATTTGAGAAATATGCTTCCTACATGTAACACTTTCGGTACGATGAGAAGTATCGAAGACTGATAAGGATTGCAAAAGTGCTCGGATACAAGATGAAGAATCGAGCTTGGTGGAAAAAAGAAAACGGGATTAGGAAATTTTTCTGTTGTATAGACATAATTCTTCCTCTGGAAGAAGTAGAATTCTTCGTTTGTTAATGACGAGACAGCTTGTAACGCCATGCAACTTAAACTATGCACGCCAGTTCTGTTGGTTATAGGGACACTCTTTGGTGTCTTTGATCCAACAGAACAATCAGAGCGATCAAAGCATCCAAATCCCTTTGAACGAGAGGTACGTAACTCTTCTTATCTAGTTTACATTATCAGAAACTTCCTCTGTTAAATGACAAACATTGTACAAGCAGAGACGAAGTACGGAATTGATGCCTGAAGAAGATAATCCGCTCTTGATGTTTTCCACGCTCGATGGTTTTCTCGTTGGTATCGAACAACGCTCTGGAAACGTGCTTTGGCGGCAAAGCAATGGTACTGTCCATAAGTACGATCCTAAAAGTAAAAAAAATATTATAGCTTAGTATGTAACTTTTAATCATCATGTTCCAGAGCCAATTGTCAAAGTACCGGTTGATCTCTCGCGAGCTTCCATGTACGTCCGCCCAGATTTCTTTCGTCGAGAAATATTTTTGCCGTTTCTGTAATATTCGTGACCTTTTTCAGGCCAGTGTTTTTGCCAGATCCAAAAGATGGTTCTTTGTACGTATTCGGAACGGAAACCGAAGCTCTGAAGAAACTACCGTTTACTATTCCCGAGCTCGTGGCGAATAGCCCTTGTCGCAGCAGCGACGGTATACTGTACACTGGAAGAAAGATCGACACTTGGTTTAGCGTTGATCCTAACACAGGGCAAAGGGAGCAACTTTTAGGTTTCGACAAAGTTAAAAATACATGTCCCGTGGAGATGCAGAACGCTGTTTTTGTTGGTCGTACCGAATACAATATCATTATGGTAGATAGCAAACAAAAGAACAGAAAATGGAACGTTACGTTTTATGATTACTCCGCTGCTAAAATGGAACCAGAAGGAATAGAAAATTACGGTCTGTTACCTGATTTACCGTTACTAGTTGCCGCTACGTGAATTAAGAATCTCGACTGTTTCGTTGTTTCTTTGCAGATTTAGTTCATTTTACGACGAGTTCGACTGGACGCATTGTTACCATAGACAGGAGATTGGGAATCGTTCTATGGGAGCTCGATGTAAAAAGTCCGGTAATCGCTGTGTATATCGTAAGGGACGAAGGTTTGCTCACCGTTCCCTTTACAAGCGTTGCGGATGAAACGTTGGATCTTCTATTGAAACGTTTCGCGAACAAACCAAGCGACATTCAATTATTGTGAGACTATTTTTCAATTCGATCTGTTCCAGTTATACATCGAGCTGTATAACAAAGAAATTTTTCTATTTTCGTTGTTATTTCGCAGTCCAACGTTATATATTGGTCAACATAGACACGGACTTTACGCTCTGCCGTCTCTCGTTGATTCGACGACGGCTACGATATCGAGTAATAACATTGGACAACTGTTGCTGGAAGGTCCATTAGCAATTCCACAGTTAAACAAAAATGACAATAGCGTTCCCCTTCCCTTCAATGAACGCGCATACGTCGACGGTAACACCGTTGCTCAGACGGAATACCAAACAGTTATCACATTAGGTAACTATACCGGCCAGTCAACTAGAACAACGATTATATAGAAATATCGCTTATTAATCAATCCTTGCCAATCTTATTAACGGGTTAGGTCATTACGAAGTACCAGGCGAGTACAAACTTCAAGACCAACAACCCCTTCAGATTACTGGTCGGTCTGATCCTGTAACCGAAACGTTATCACCCTTACGATACCTGAATTCGACGAAAGAACCACTGTCACTCGACTTGACGCAAACCGACAGCGAATCTAGCGACGGTGAAAACAGTAGCGTGTCTTTACGCGAGCTCATACGGAACACTTACACCGCGAGCAAGAGCTGGCTTAATCAGCAAGAAAACAAAGGGCTGAAGTTAGCACTGATCGCATTGATGGGGTGCATCGCAACGATGTTTTGGTATTTGAACGCGCAGTTCAAGGAGTTCCAACAGCTTTCGCAGGTATAGTTGTTGTTACGTTATCGTCGTCAGATTCCATGATGGATCTATTATTTGCAGGGATCCCGCGAAAGTAGCCGTACTGATGATTACTATGGAATGCGATCGAACGTGCTCGCGTTACCGGAAGACATGGGCGAAGGGGTCGTGAAAGTTGGAAAGATAAGTTTCGATACAGGACAAGTCTTAGGCAAAGGATGCGAGGGAACCTTTGTATATAGGTAAGGGGATGATTGTTTACCGATGTGGTTCGCGCGTCGAGTTCATAGTCTATTTACGAAACTTGATACGCGTGTTTCCAGAGGTGAATTCGACGGACGCTCTGTAGCGGTGAAACGTTTGCTGCCCGATTGTTTTACATTTGCCGATCGAGAAGTAGCGTTACTCAGAGAATCGGATGCGCATGCAAATGTAGTGCGATACTTCTGCACAGAGCAAGATAGAATGTTTAGGTACATCGCGTTGGAGCTAGCCGAAGCGACCTTGCAGGATTACGTTGTGGGACGATACGATAGAGAAAAAATATCCGTGAAGAGCATTCTACGACAAGCCACGTCGGGACTAGCTCATCTACATTTCCTTGATATCGGTAAGATCTTTGTTTCGTGGCTTTATCGCAAACTCTGACGACAGTTTGCAGTTATCGGGTTCCGATTATCATCTGATGTTTCGATACACAGTTCACAGAGACATTAAACCACATAACGTATTGTTATCGGCTCCGGGACCACGCGGAGAAGTTAGAGCCATGATATCTGATTTTGGGCTGTGTAAGAAGCTTCAATTAGGCCGTGTATCCTTCTCGCGTAGATCCGGGATAACGGGAACCGATGGTTGGATAGCGCCAGAGATGCTAAATGGGAACAGGACAACTTGCGCCGTGGATATTTTTTCTCTCGGTTGCGTTTTCTACTACGTCCTTTCCGATGGAAAACACCCATTCGGAGATCCGTTACGGCGACAGGCTAATATTCTGTGTAAGACACCGTACTTATACTTTCACTTATATTTTCCTTATCGACAGCATTAAGACGTCAATACGAGTATAATTTCTCTCTCTCTCTCTCTCTCTCTTCGATTTCACTTGATCCTGCAACACTCGATAGCGGATGTATTTCGTTGTATTGCAGGCGGTGAGGCCGATTTAACAGCCCTTCACGAAGGAATGTCCCAAAGTAACAGGGAGCTCGCGCTAATACTCATAAAGGCGATGATCGCCAGCGACCCGTCCGAAAGGCCACCTGTAATGGCTGTTCACGATCATCCCATATTCTGGGAATCTTCCCGAATACTTGGATTTTTTCAGGTAATCCCATTACACTTCGTTGGTTCTTTTTTTTCACACTCTTCTACGCGAAAACTATGCTCGTTTTAGGACGTGAGTGATCGAGTGGAGAAAGATCAGAACGATAGCCCGGCGCTGATTGCATTGGAAACCGACAACGACCGGGTTGTACGAGGAGACTGGAGATTACTCATCGACGTAGAAGTCGCAACGGATCTTCGAAAATATAGAAGTTACCGCGGAGAAAGTGTCAGAGATCTCCTAAGAGCGTTACGAAATAAGGTACCGGACATCTAAGTAACAATAATAGTCGCGTCGAGTATTTGTTAACGATTTTATTGGTTTGTTCCTTTAGAAACATCACTACAGGGAGTTGAGCCCAGAGGCTCAAGAAAACCTTGGAGGTATTCCCGACAAGTTTACGGACTACTGGCTCTCGAGATTTCCCTGTTTGTTATCACACGTTTGGAGCGCGATGCAAGCTTTTCGCCACGAGCCAACTTTGAGAGACTATTATCATACCGATTACAAGTTCGCGAATAACATCTGCGAGACGGAGACCGCGAGAATGAGAAACACACACTCGACAAACTATACGTTACCATCGGTTTCTTGGAGAGTACGAGATAACGTTGACTGGAGCCCGAATAAATCTAGATACCGCGGTCAACGACGGAAGCAAGAGAAAAAGAAAATCGAGGTACCGCTCGCGTGGACCTTATCGTCGAGTTAGGGGAGATTATTGGTTTTTATCGATGAAGTCTGTAATGGTAAAGAGAGTCTATACGTGTTTGCGTATCGACTGTTGTACAAAGGGTATCGATTACGGTGCGCGTAAAGAATATTTGTATATACTACCGTACATCACGAACGTCCGTAAAGTGTCGTTATTAATACAAATACAAGTACGATTAACAAACATTGAACGAACGTTTAACGTATCGAACGATTCGACCTAATCCGATCTGATCTTTTGTATTACGTTACAATAAACAAATAGAAACTAAGAAAATGAACTTTCTTTTATTTAGATTTTCACATACGGAAGATGTTACATTTATGCTCCTGTAAGCGTACGTATGCCTGTATACACGTACGTGCGCGCGCAAACTAAATACAAGACTGTTACTTCCGTTTCTTTCGGTGACGACACGCTTGCACGAATGGAAAACTAAGTCGTGCAAATATTTCAGGTACACTGAATATCTTCATCGCGAGAGCACGTCGATATGTAACGTCAGTCGAATATGTCTTTCATTCTCGCTCGATAAACGTGCCCATCGAAGCGTGCAAGGCTATTCATCTGTACATATATACATAATTCTTCGGTGTATTATGTCGTTCCTTTTCGTTGCACATTGTTACTTCCTTCTATTGGATGAAGTACAAAAAAGAAAAAAAAAAATAAAAAAAGAAAAACTTGGACTAGACGGAAAAATACCCGATAACAACGAAGAATTTAAATACGTTGCGACAATTATGCTAATAGTAAAGTTATTTTGCAACAGTTAATTGAACAGCTGTTCGAACAATTTCTTATGCACTACGTGTGTACCGTAGAATCACGTTGCAAAAAGTTATCAGCTGCATCATAGGACCTCGAGGTAGATTATTCATCGAATAACGAACTGTTCCTCACTCAGGATTAAGAACGAATTTTCTCAACATTTTGCTTCGTTTCGTTTTTACTTTTCATTTTCCTCTCTTCCCTGTCTCGTCTGACGAAGTCGGGATTGTTCCAGTACTGCACCTCTCCACTCGCGTAAAGTACGAAAACGATGTTGGTGACAACGAAGACAGCGAAAACGATCCAGAACACTAGCCTCCATTCGGAGAGGCCCTCGTTCGGAGTCAATACTCCTACGATGTAGGGTGTCACGATACCGCTGAACGCGCCTATGCCGTTCACAACCGCCATCAGGGTACCAGAGTAATTCGGACTGAGGTCGAGAGCGTTCACCTTCATCCCTGGATAGAACGTACCTGAAAGAAGAAATCGCGAGGGGGATTAGAGCAGAGGTCAGATAGAGAATTTAGAAGGCTGGTACGTTAACGTTTAAACTTATATTGGATGATTGCCTGAGTTCCTGCCCGGTTTAAAAATGAAGTTCAATGTGTTAAATTTCAAAGAATACGATTTTATTAATGTTGACATATGTAGAATTGCCTCTCTTGTGCATGTTACTTTTGAAGCTTCACGCTTGCTGTAATAGACAATTGAAGGCGGTGGGTTCTTTTTCCCTTCCTTTGTTTTTTCTAGTTTGTATTCTCAACTACAACTATACACGTATAATTAATCCTCTGCATCCGCCATTTTACTCGACCTCACTCACCCACTTCCTAACAGAAATCTAACAATTAATCAATTATGTAGTCGCCATTCTCTTCTACAATCTAATTTTGATACTAATAAGCTATACAATGACAATTGGGCACGAACTTCTGCAATCATCCAATAAATATACAGGCACGGTATGTATCTCTATGTCTAACATAAATGAACTCGACGATTATAAATTAACCGTCTCCCTTTGCAGACGGTTTACCTACCCATTAACGTCGTGCCAAGGGTGAACATAACGACGACGGTGGTGCGGTCGCACCCGGCGTAGGATGCGCCGATAATGAACGCACCCGGACCAAGGGAAGCGATCGTGGTGCCCAGTTTTCGCACGTTGGTGCGCGACATCATGCCGCTGGTGATCATCCAGTCGGCTAGGCACGACGTGATCACGCTGCAAAGCCACATCGTTAAGTAGGGTAACGAGGAGAGCAGCCCGTTGCTCTTGATCGGATAGTTGAGTACGTTGCTCATGTATTTGGGAAGATCGTTGACCAGGGTGAAGAATCCCCAATCGTGACCGATCTGCGCGGTAATCAGAGCGTAAACCGGCACCGAGGTCAGAATGTGTCGCCACGGTACCGAGGGCGGTTTCTTGTGCGTGTGGGCTTGCATCCTCTCGCTCAGGAAGTTCTTCTCCCTCTCGGAGATGTACGGATGCGTGTCCGGGTTGTTGTAGCACGTTAGACACCATATCACGAACCAAACAAGGCCTACGCTACCAAATACGTAGAATACAGCCGGCCAGCCTATCGCCGAATAGTGAAGGATGAGGCCTGACAACGAGTTCGCGAACACCGTGCCGAGTTGGGCACCCGCGAATACCAACGAGCCGATCTTGGACCTTTCCTCCGGCGGCGTCCATTGAGCGAGCATCGCGTTCAACGCCGGGAACGTCGTGCCCTCGCACAAGCCCATCAACACGCGCACAGCGATCAGACCTGTCGCTTCACCGTACTCGACCACCACCGGCGTGATAAGCGTGAACACCGCGGTCGCCAGAATCCCCAGACCGAGGGAGTGTTTACCGCCGAATCTCTCCGACAGCATTCCGCCCGGCAAGTGAGTTACCACGTAGCCCCAGTAGAAGGACGATAGAACTGCACCCTGGATGGTAAACGGTATCGTTAACATTGTTTTTGTTGCAGATAGGAGAGACTGCGTTAAGGGAATCGCAGTACGTATTTACGTCCGCTGTTACCTGGGTGATTCCATCCCAATCGTATCGCTTCCCGTTCACGGATGTCCTAGTCAGGTTCGTAACGGCGAAAACGTCCGACTCGTACTCGCAAACGTCTTCGGTGTGGTTCTTGCTCGCCGACGGATAGACCATCTCGGTGATGGTGATGGACAGGCAGACCCTCATCGCGTACGCGTTGAACAACGCCAAAAATCCCATCACCGCGAACACCCATCGTTGCGGTATTCGGCCACCTGTGCGCCAACGATATAGTTTATTGTTAATTGCATCGTTATACAGGAACCCGCGTGTCGCCGGCGCAAAGAAGAAAGCCCGAGGTCAACGGCGCGGAAGGAATGACGATTAGCGAAGCCTTTCCCTATTGGCAGCCGTCTAACGAGCCGTATAAACCTATCTAGGTAAAGGTCAGATTCCTTGCACGTAACAGTGTGACTTGGGTGCAACGCAATTTTGATTTCGGCTCGTGTGCGCCGTGGAAGGCGAACGAGAAACGTTGAACCAAGGCGAGGCGAAGGCGAGGGAGAGAAAATTTCGGTTAACGAAAAAATGTATCCTTGGCGATCGAACAAGGTCGCGATTCGTGACGATGGTTTCGATTAGTTGACGCGAAACGGAGCCCTGAACCAAGCGGGCGTTTCGTAAACGATCGTTATGACTTCCGGTCGGTGATTGGGTTGGTGCCGGGAGTCGCGGTGGTTCTCTTCATGTAAAGAATTCGTTGGATTAAGTAAAATGTTACGCAGGGTGGAGCGATAACTCGTCCCACCTTAAATGTCAATCAATCTATCAATTGCTTCGTCGCAAACGTGGTTTTCAACGAAGACATCCAAGGTTTTCCGCCTTCGAACTTTAATTTGAGGCTTTGTATCGCGATAAACGGCCATATATAGGTCGATGAATATGACTAAACAAATGCTGTCTTATTAACTAGACTGCGGATCTTGATGCATTTATAGGAAATTTGAATGTACAAGAAACTACAAAATGCGCACAGTATGCAAGAATATAAAAAAGATTGAAAGTAAAGTTCGTGTTATAATGTTTACAGAATACAATAAATTTCTATTTAGCATAAAGATCCGCGGTCTACTTATTACGAATAAAAATATATAAGGTTTCATTCAAAAAAAAAAAAAAAAAAAAAAAAGTGAAAATGATAGGACCTTGTTATCTTCGTTAAAAAGCAGGCTTAAAAGTTATTTAAGGTGGAACAAATTATTGACCCACCCTGTATACCATTCGATAGAAAATCTTTTTTCCTCTTGATTCAAATTCGTTTCACTTTCAAGAGAAATCCACGTGAAGAAACTCGAAGAACGGTTCAGGCAAAAGGTACTCTCGCATTCGTCCATTCCAACACACATTCCTGAAAAATAATAAACGTTAAACGATGTCTAAAAACAAAATGCTTTATTGCATAAAACCGTCACGACTCGCGACAGTATCCAATAGTTTGTCAAAGTATTCGAAAATTCTTGGAAATTTATAGATAATTGAAAGGAGGACGAAACAACATACTTTCCTTTTTCGCGATAAACGAGGTCCATAAAAGCAAAGAGATTAGGTCGATCTAGAAGATAAGGCTCGCAATGATGGAAAATAATACGGTGGATAAGTTTCCTAACTGCAAACCAATATACCGAGCAATTTGTATTTATCGTCGCGCTCGCCGCGAGCCGATTGTTAAGGGATTATATGTATACAGCTGCATGCATAAAAAGACGCCTCGAATTATATGGAAGTCGTCTAATTGGAGCGTTAATTTTTAAAAACTCTGCTAAGCCAGCGGAAAAAACAGACATTTGTTCGCTCTCACGTTTGCCTGGTAACATTTTCGAAAAGTTCCAAGTGATTCGAAGAGCTCGTTCGAGTATTCTATTCTCGAAATCAAACAAGCTACTCTTTGTAACGGCAGATGTGCAATCCAAGCTCGTCGAAACTACATCGATTAACGAGCACGTCACTCGTAAAAGACATTGTCGTACATCATCCGAGTACCATCTGTCGGCGTATTGTTACCGATGAACCGATGGATAAAATGATGAAAGAAACGGTTAATTTTGCAACATCCTGTGATCAACTTTTAATGCTAATCAACTCGACCTTCCTCGCAAAGACTGGAGTAAAGAATGGAAATTCATAAACGTTCCCACGTCAACTATAAATTAGAAATGAACTTTACGCAGGGAATTTTGTATCTAATCTCTCGAGATAGCATCAAGTCGAGAGAATTACACAAGATCTCTCTATTCGTACCTATTGAATAAAAATGATGATCTCGATATTCGAAACGACTACGAATCATCGTGGGACCATCTTATCGACAAATTTTTTACCTGTACATCGAGCTTTCACGCTGACTAGAACTTTACGTAGGATTTATAAATTACATTGTAATATAGCTTAATCGATATATGATACATCGTAGGTATTTTATTTGTTTTTAATTAGACGGAGTTTCGCAGTCGTCCATTATATTATAGTGTAACTGATAACACAATCTCATATATACTATACATTGTAATCATGTAATACACTGAATTGTAATATAATACTTCTCGCACGAAACCTCGTCTAAATAAAAACAAATAAAACACATACAAGCGAACTAAATTAAATACGTTCGGTTCAACGCGTAACGATGAAGTAGTTTCTATCGTCACAAATCCGTCATTTCGAGAATCGCGTAAATCTGGGATCAGCCGTACTTGAGAATAAAGGAAGGATTATCGGCGGTTAGACGTTTTTTTTTCCCTTGATCGTTTCGTCATATAAACGAATCGATCGATCAACAAACGCGCCGCAGAATCTTTTGTTTCGTTCGATTAAACGTCACCGAATGTAACATCGATGAATTTATCTTATCTGTCGATGTATGGGAAACCCGAAAACTAGCTTAAGATACTATTTCGGTGAGACTTAATGAACGATTGCATCTATTGTTAGAATCGTCGATTCGATCTGAAGCCAACACGAAAAAGGACACTCGATCAATGTTTTTTCTATCGATGTAATTCTGGCTTAAGAAGTCGGTTATTTTCCCTGGATCGGTTAACACTTATCGACCTGTACTCGGCGCGCAAAAAGACTATCGAACGCGAAACGGAACAAATTATGCGGAATCTGTTATTGCATTTTTCGCATTCTTTTGTCGGCGACACGCTCCACTTTTGCGTTGCTTGTATTTCCTCGAGGTAGACAAGAATTATATATTTTTTTTATTTCTTCCAATCGTGGAACTGCATAAAAAGGAACATTCAATCGCTCCGATGCTGGATACTTGTTTCATACAAATTGTTAGCAATGACCATCGCCGATCTCGACGGTCGATTTCTTATTACTTATACTAGGGTACGAGCAATGACTAAGGAATAACGAACGTTATCGAAGCTACGCGACAGCCGTGAACTTACAGAATGAACGTAGTACGTGTCTCTGAACGTATCAAGTTCCGCCGTCTTTACTATTTAGGCAATCAATCGAGGGGGGGACGACCTCGATCTACACGCGACGAGAATATCAATTTTCCGTAAAATCCCATACACGTGATTGCCTTCATCAATCGCGTTAACGCTCTTCCTTCGCTTCACCCTCGGGCTTTATTTCACGCTCGTCGAATACACGAAACGCGTTCGAATGTTGCCATGTAATTTTCTGGAATTTTCACGCGTAAAAAGAATCGAAAACGCGATACCGGATCGCTGAATACAATTACGTGTCTTATCTAATGTTGAACGATGATTGGGGCGTTTGGTAACGTTGCGGAGAAGATACTTCAACGCGCGGATGGTAAAATGTAGTTCTTCTTAAATGTTATCCTGGATAACCGTTCATGTAAACCGAGTAGTATTCAATGGAACGTTTATTCAAATGAACGTGTTTAGGCTCTATGAAAGCCCCCTTGAAATTGTTAAACGGCTAAGATTAACAATTTTAACACTAGTTTTACCATCTACAGTTGCGGCAACGGTTCCATTATTGTATACAATGTCGAGACATACATTTTAGAGGAATAGTTGAACGAATTACAAATTCGTAACGATGAACTTGCTGTAAACGTATCCTCCCGCGTGATCACATATATAATTTAGCTCCAATTTATAAGAAAACACGTAGAGACGATAGTTGAACTTAACAATTCAAAGAGGGCCCTCGAATTCGAATAAATGCTCGATACCTACAAAAGACACGTATTATTTTACTTTTCCAACGGACATTGTACCGTCAAATGTTTATTTAATCGTAATTCCGCGGTATCGCGGTTCGTGACTATAGAATACATATCGAAGATTATTCATTTTCCTCGAGAAAACTTAAGCAAAATAAAAGCGATATTGTAGTCTTTATCTGTCAAGAAGTTACGCGACTTTTCGAAACGCATTATCAAGACAAATATTAACACACCGTGGGTATAAAGTACGTCCAAGTGATACTTACAGCATGCTTTGCAGGTAGATATCATCTCGTCGAATGTTGTTCGGTGTTAAAGTATCGAAAGCGATCGAGGGGAAAAATACGAACGACCGGGGATCGGTGTTAAATAACGAACGGTTTCGATGGTCCTGACTCGAGCCAAGTACATACGGTCACCTTTGATCCGGAGTGTGTATAATGGACCCAGAAGCAGAGGAGAGAGTCCGATATTTGTTCACAAGACTCTATGGGTGGAAACGACAGTCGGTCCGTACGTATCACGACCACATGTTGCGGGTAACTGAATCGACGCAGTCTGTGCGAATTCGTTTTATACTCGTGCACGTGCTTCCTTGTTGAACGCAAAAAGGGAAAGGTAACGCGGATAAGAGGCTGAGAGCAGCGCACTGGTAAAAGTTGACGCGGAGGAGGCACACGTCGCAGAAGGGGGAATGATAACGCGACTGGACATGTGTGCCCATTTTTGATACTTTGCGGCCGTTTGTTCGTGATATCCACCTGCAAGAATTCGTGTTAACAGATAGAAATACTACGTAAGGTAAAATTAGAGGACTTTCCGTTTATCAGCAGCTCTGTCGCAACGTCTTTCCTCTTGATTCCGGTATCGTTTCGCCATCCCCCTCCTCTCGCGTGAATTCTTGCGATATCCTTTCGTGGGGTTATCCTTTCGTTAGACGTCTCGTAATTGCCGAGTTAAATCGGTCGACGGAAACTCTAGTTTCAATAGAACTATCAGTAATCTAATAAGCTATCAGGCCTTAGAGAGATCTGATAAATGAAGAATACAACCCTTACGACGTAAGCATCGAGCAAGCAATACAAAGCAAATATAATGTATACAATGCTTACTGGTGTCGCATTACCACAGCGGTATATAACGACTACTTAAGACGTCTGCGATGATATCGCGGTACTCCAAACAATCAAAAGCATCGAAATTCTCGTCCTTCGTCCTACAAGAATTTCCTCGAATTTATTTAACGATCGATGAACTGTTAAAACGGAACAACCGTTATTTCAACTACTACGTTTCTGTTTCTTATTCGCGGCGAATGGTTAAAAAAAAAATGACAGAAAAACGGCATGCCGCGATAAAGCGTTGATATTCCTGTGGATCAATTTACGATCAATTACTATTACATAAACGATGCGAACTGTTTTCCATAAAAATACAAATTTTATTAGAGATACAACACGTATGGTAATAAGAATTACGCGCATTCTGGAATGCGAAACAACTATCTTACATGATTATAAAATGATCGTCGTTCATCAATGTGGTACAAGATCAACGATAATCAATCACTCTTACCTTTAGTATCGTGGATTGAAGTATCGCGATTAAATCGGACAAATTTGACAACAGTAGACAGCCCGAACGATCCAAACGCGATACGACGTGTACTTTTTTCGTCATTTATTTCGTCCCACGGCTAATCTTAGATTGTATAATCAAAAAATACGATCACTCACTTTTCATGAGGCTTAGCGCGATTAAAATAATTACCATACCATTAAATTTGACTCAAAAGCAAAGAAACTAATGGTCGCGTGTATAAGGCACGGAATCGCTCGAAGACAATATGTTTAATTTTAAATGTTAATTTTGATTTTTGTAACTTTGTCTCGACTCCTTGTAAATTCGAGGTATTTGTTTTACCATTAGCGCAGTTTTTTCCTTTACTATATCTATAGCTTCCTCCAATATGGACATCTACAAAATATGTATGGTATGTTTCGATTATAATATTCGATAATGGATTGTAAAACAACTACTGCGGACAGTTACGAGATACTTACGCATTCGGTTACTTTGTATATTTTAAACAAATCGAACAGCTCTTGTATAGTCCACGACCTCTCGTCGGGTTTGTTTAATTTCACAAACTGACATTGGGGCTGGTGTTTTACGTGTTCGTCCCTGAAAACGAATTATATTAGAATCCGTTTGTCTGCAAAGATGATTAAAAAAGAAAAAGGGTGACAAAAAGATTGCAATGCATACCATGGATCATCATCGGGATCCCAACCATCAAGTTGTTTACTGCAGATGAAACATTGTACCAGGTCTGGTTCTTCTTTGCCGCCGATAACATGAAATCCAGCAGCAGCCATTTGGTTAGGATTGCATGAATTATCGGATGATTGGAAAGGCCACTGTTCGAATGTTTTCAACCTTCCGTTCTTCCAAAACATTGAATCTGCCTCTCTGAATAAAAGATAAGAATTAGAAGATAATGTATCTATTACAATTGTATTGATATTATACATAGAGTAGGGAAGTCAGACCTTGGGCTATATCTAAAAAGAAAGAAAAACACGGTACCCTACCTATCTATCTTTGCTACAGTATTCTTATATCGTTCTTATGTTAACCATAAATGGTTAAATGGTTAATTATACTTTTAACGACTACATGTATATTTTACATTTAAATTAAATAAATAAAAGCACAGAGACAGATAGAGTATCGCTGTTCTTTTTCTCTTTCTAACAGTGAGACTTTCCATTTACAAGCAGGCTCACGTTTTTTCTACTCTATCTATAATATCTCTATGATTAACCCACAGAATTATCGCGTTAATGTGTAAAAAACGAGATCTAGGCACAGGAAATACTTTTTTCAAACCTAACCTAAATCTATGGCGTTTAAATGTCAACTGCAACGATGCTTTACCATCCCTCAAACTCATTATACGCTAACAATGTAAAGTGATAACTCACGGTAATAAATCCATGTTTGCAGGACAAAATGTTCACCTTCTTTCGACAGAATGTGTGGAACGAAATACCATTGATTTCAAATTCACCGTACTCAACGTACTTGCCGGTACTGTATATATAGTACATATATGTGATTACGTCCATGTAAGCAAGCTCCTAGCAACGCTTTACCCAGCTTTACCTGACCTAACGTTCGTGTCACGAAACGAGTCGATCGGTAAAGTAGCAAGGATGGTATGTTATCGACACTTCGATTACTTTCTCAACATTACCGACATTTTATCCCCTTGTTATCGTTACTTCGTAGATTATGTAAATCTCTGTTTTAATTGTATCGCGAGTCGTTCGTGTATTAAAAGATTTATATCGTTCTATAGTGCAATTAGTACAATGTATATCGTTATCGATAAGACTACCATAAACCATAAAGTTTATCTTAAAAAAATATTAACTACCTTCAATCAGCAGATCAGGTAGTACGAGTACTTTTGTGACTCGTTGTTCTTAGAGACGAGCGATAACTGTTACATGATATTGCCATGCCTACACAGGGATTTGTATTGTTACGACCGTCACGACAACGTAAATTGTTCTTTGGAGAGTTAATCGGTCGATCGTAATAAAGCTTTGTTCGAATTACCAAAGTAGTTTGAAATTATGGACGTGAAAAAATTGGACTTATGTGGAGTAATAGCGTTCGACGGTTAGTAATAAAATTTTAAATGATTCAGTCCGATGTAAATAAGTGTATCGAACGAATTTCTTTCATGCTCTGACAACTTTGTACATCGTCCCTCAATTTATGCGGTACTTTTTGTACGTGGTCAACGATTACTCTACTTTTTATACGCACTTACAGTTTCACGTGACATCGATATGCACGGTCGATAAAATAGCTTCTCCTCTGTTGTTTGTATACAAATCATTGTACGTCGATTACAAAAATGTATTACTCCTGTTTGTAGGTATAATAAGAAATGGTTTACGACTGCATCCAGATGGAGAACATCTGGTATACGCGATGGGCAACAATGTTACCATAAGAAACGTAAAAACCAGCGAACAAACCTTCCTCACTGGTCACAAAAATCTCGTTTCTGCGTTGAATATCTCACCTCGCGGCAATTTAATAGCTTCCGGCCAAGTGAGCCATCAGGGTTTCAAGGTAATCGTTTTATTCGTTGCGGTCGACTGCGTTTACCTTCCTCGGACAGATTTATCGAAACATCATCGAGTAACGTTCTTCTCAGGCGATGGTCATAATATGGGATTACGAGAAGCGCGAGATGAAAGCTAATTACGAAGTGCACAAAGCCAGAGTGGAGGATGTGTGTTTCACAGAGGACGAACAATATTTGATTAGTCTTGGAGGTAGAGACGACGGCTGTATCCTGGTATGGGACATTCGAAACGGAAGTCCACTTTGTGGTAAATCCATTTTACGTTAGTTTCGTGTTAAACGTTACGAATCCAATGAATAGTCCTCGACAAATGCTCCCGTAATCTAGGTACCTCTGCTGGCAAAGAAAGTAGCGGAAACGCGGTGACGATCGCCCGCACGAACCTTTGTAACGCGAGTTTTGTCACCGCCGGGGAAGAAACGTTCAGGCTTTGGCGCGTCGATCCAAAAGGTCGAAAACTCTGCGGAGTCGACGTGAAAATCGGAAAGATCAGGCGCACCATTAATTGCGCCGTCGTGGATGAAAAAGATGAGAACGTCTATTGCGGAACAACGTCTGGCGATATCATAAAATCAAGGTCGTTTGGAGCTTCTCCTTTTCCAATTCCGATTCTTTTCAATTCCGGACTTTGCTTTCGATACTCGTATTTCGTTACGATTCTTGTAGGTTGAACATGTCAGAATCGAACGTAGAATCCAAGTACCCGATCATGATCGGATGCTACTCTAAGATATCGCGTTCGACTAAAACAAAACCATCCAACGGAGAATTGTACGCGGGTGGCGTGACGAATCTGCTATTCTTACAAAAGCAAGAGATGATTGTAGGCACTGGAAACGGAACGGTCGAGTTAATCGAAATACCAGAAGAACCAGTGGCACCTGTCGGGATCAAAACGAAGAAATTACTAGTCGTCCCGTGTATAATAACGGTAAAAATTACATGACTTTTCCTCGTCGTAAAACGAGTCCTTCTCGTCGCAGCTGCCGCATTTCGTAATGGTTACGAAATCGCGTCATCGCGTACGAGCAATTTACCTGTATGGATCTTCGAAGAAAATCTTACAACAGAATCTTATTGGACGCGTATCGTCGGAGGATTCAGCGTTGGATCTTGGACGGACGTCAATTAGTTAATAAATTACATTTTGTCCGTAGCGTCGTAAGGGAAACGTGTGCGGCCCGGTAACGTCGATGATCCGCTACAAACATAATCTTATACTAGTGGCGACTGCTTTATGCGAGATCTACGAAATGGAACTGTCGAGTTTTCATACACGTTTGCTCGTCACTTGCCACACCAGCTCTATATACGATCTCGCGTTTCCACGGTAAACTACACCCACGTAAACGCCATTTCTACAAACTGAAACTTTCGGTTGTGAACCACCTCTCTTTAGATAAGATACTCCGATTTTTCAGCGATCGTTCGGAGATATTTGCAACCAGTAGTAAACACGATATTCGGGTGTGGAAACTGATAACGCAAAAGGAGTTGCTTCGAATCACGGTACCGAACTTCATTTGCTCCAATCTGTGTTTCGATCGCAATGGCGGCACCATAATATCTGGTAGGTGTGGTACATCGTCCGTGGTACACGGTAGAACCTCCGTTATGCGAACTTTAGGGATTCGTTATACTTGAATTTTGATTGTTTCAAAATTGTCTGATTTACTGGAGGAAGCCTGGAACGATGGCGCGATACGGGCATTCGCTTTGAACGGTGGAAAACTCCTGTTCATCGTTCATCGTGCCCACACGAAGTCCGTGTCTGCAATTGCAATTACGAACGACGATTGCAAGCTCGTCAGCGGTGGCTGTGACGGTCAAGTAATTAAACTTTCCATTTGTTTACGATACGTACGTATCCGTCCGTTAGCTTGCCTAATTCGAATGTGTCCGTCCATTCAGGTGCGAGTATGGAATGCAAAATCCGAAACGCAACAACTGTTGAAAGTCTTAAAGGAACACAGAGGTCCGATAACGTCGCTGCACGTTTCACCTGATGATAAAAATGTTATTAGCTCCAGTACAGACGGTACATGCATAGTATGGGATGTAAGGTAGAGGAGGAACATTCGAGAGTCGACCGAATGGGGGTCACAGACGTAAAGATTCTTCGTACAATAATTTATACAACTATAATCGATACTACCGTTTTAAGTGGCGATACTTCTACTTCGTAGAATAAATCATTATGTCTATGACTCCATGACTCCAAGGCGCGTAAGTAATTACGGATTCCCTTGCTGCCTAGGAATTTCACGAGAAAGTATGAGATACAGGGAAATACAATGTACATGGCGACGTGTTTCGTTCCTAGCGGTGTTCAAGTTTTGACTTGTGGTACAGACCGTAAAATAGCTTATTGGGAGACATTGGATGGATCGTTGGTTCGAGAAGTCGAAGGTTCGACGACTGGCACGCTAAACGCTATAAGCGTCAGTCCTGACGGACGATATTTTCTTACTGGATCCGACGATTTCATTGTAAAGCTGTGGGAGTACCGTACCGCGAGTACCGTCAATTTGGGCCTTGCTCACGCTGCTCCGATTACTGGTTGCGCGTTCGCGCCAAATGGTAAATTTATGATTACAGTAAGCGCAGATGGTGCGATAATGATCTGGAAATACCCTTTCGAAACGAGTTCACACGATAATGGAATCGAGCTATCAACGACTGTATGCGCGTCATGACTCCAAAACCACCACAGTAACCAAATTTTGGATAATATCGTACACTGTAACATTTGAGTAAGTTAATCTTTTGTGATAACGATTCGAGCGTACACGTATATCTGTAGAGTAGACTTATTATTATTCTTATATACACATATCATACATCGTAATTTTATATAAATCGGAAAGCTGTATTCGTGCACGAGTCATACAATGAAATACATTCTTTTGTAAACAAGCGATTTCAATTTCAGATGACAACTTTCTTGACAAACTGGGATCTACGCGACGACGATAGATCTTGAAATCTCTTTTACATACGTATAAATAGGAGAGAAGACAAAGAATGTTAGCGATCGATTAAATTTTTGTCAACCCCAAGCTTGACTTTTACAATAGTGAAGTATTAATTTTCCATCCGCTCCATAGCAGTCGTACAAGTTTTTGACCACCTGGTCTGGGGCAGGTGCAAATGTTTGATTTACGTAAAGAAACTGACAAAGAATGAAAGATGTTTACATAATGAATAAGTCATTGATAATATCAAATATAATTTGCACTTTATACTTACCAGCTTTTCATTGGAATCTAATTTAAGATACCTTCTGACAAAATCCGAGATTTTACCGATACAAGAATCTTGGCTGACAGACCATTTCTTTTGTTTCATTATCGGGGCATTACCAGTAGCTTTCAATAAAATGTCAACTGTAAAATGGGTTCAATTTTAATCAATCGGCTACAATCGTGTTACTATGTAGAAATGGTGCACGTTACTTTTTGCCTTGTCCTTAGAAGCAACTTGTCCTCCTTCGTTTCGAACTGAAGGTGTTACCGAAGGAATTATTTCGATACTAGCTGATGCATCTTCGTTTGTTAAGTTTTCTCCTGCCTCTTCAGATTTGACAGCATTTTCATTTGCAGTATTTAAATCGTTTCCTTCCTTTTCAGCCATCGTTAACGTTGCGTAGTAAATTTTTGTAGAAATTGTAATTTAAATTCCAGTTTCGTGAAACCAGAGTAATATCGAAATTACTTAATTACTATGTCATTAACTTTAGGTGTTATGTCAGTCATAAATACGAAAGAAACTTGTAGAAATAATACTTGACCACATCGTACATCACAGATCTCAGTGAACAGTAACAATTGGTAAGATTTAAAATCTTAATCAAACATTGTTATTTGATCGAGCATCAAAGAGACCGCATTATCCATAAAGGCATCGAAGATTGGATAGCTACAAATTAATTGACATATTTTTAAATTAAATTAAACAATGCAAAAATTATCAAGTAGATACTTGCAAATACTTGGTGATGCTACTATAAACATAATACTTACCAAAAATATGATGGCTGCCATCTAAAAAGAGTCACCGCTCAGTGAGCGTATTCAGTGGCGCCATCGATGGGAGAACGCCCAAGTTTGTAGTGAAAATAGTTCCTACTATTACTACTAGATGGCACCACTAATATTTAAAAAATAAATCAATTCTTTTTTTCCATAAAAGCATAATTAATACGATTCTTTGCTTTATAGCATTACAATACAATTACGAATATGAGAAATTTATCATTTTTAAAAATTGTTATTTAATGCGGTGGTAATTATCGACTCTTTAGTGGCACCATCCTGCGACAATTGTGGGGACTACTTTCGCTACAAACTTGAATGTTTTACTGCCTATGGCGCCACTGCAGCCTAAATATACCCAGTGTATTATTAAAAATTAGAACAAGAGAAAAAGTAACTATTTAGCATATAGGAATATTATATTAATAAAAGAAATTTCTTGGAAACACAAATATAACAATACCACTCACTATTTATAATTTTAAAAACAGTAGTAAATTTTATATTTTTCTTAATACAGAATTTATGTTTATTTCATATCGTTATATCTAATATATTGAATGCTTGATTCATTTTTGTAGTTAGTTTGGTTTGAAATGTTCACTTTATTAGACTTTTTCACCTTCTGTAATACAAGTCTAATCCAGATATATACAATACGTACATTACTGGAAAATTGACAGACCACGTTTATCTCTGTTACAAAAACTACTACGAGTTATGTTAATGCTTACCATATAAAAAAGATATTAATTATAAAATAACTAATTTTAATTAATAGTAAATTACATCCCATAATTGGAGAACGATGATTTTCTAAAAAAGTAAATGAAATTTATCACAAAGTTTAAATTCTAATAAAGAAATTAAATCTATACTTTTATTGTTGTTACAGGTCAACATCGTTACTAGTAAAAGTCCGTTTCTTAAAACTTTTATATATCCAACTCTTCCTTTTATGAAAGTATCAAAAATATCCTTTCTGGTATTCATTCCCCAACAGACAACAAAAATGAAACATTGGATTTATAATTAAATCACTAAAATATAATCAACTTATTTAAAATAGAGGTCGCCTAATTATTATACAGGCCCTGCGACTACGATTCATTCTACCCCCTTTTCCAAAGAAGGTGTAATAACCAATAACAATACAGATCATGTCGCTTAACTCTAATCCGACTTCAAGATGTAGAACTAAGTAAAATTTATAAATATGGTACAATTGATAATAAGCTATAGAGTACTAATAGATTAATTACAGATACATATAAGTAATAGCATTGTGTCGTTGAATCTTATGGCGATTTTTTAAGTCCTCTGCTTATAAGTAATATAATCAAGGATTTAATTAAATGTCTGTTCTCATATTCAAATTGAGTATGTATCATTCAGTCGGAACAACCGCGCGCACCAACCACCACAGTGGACTAGTAGCCATCTTGACTAGCTTTTTTCAAATTTTTGCCGTTTCTTCCCATAGTATTTCCCATCGAGGTGAGAGTCTCTGGGCCAGCAACTAGTTGCGTTGTGCTCTTCCATGTTCAGTGGATATAAATCAATCCCCGGGATGTTCTGGGCAACTACGGTTCACTTGAAACCATTTATCGATGCAACTGAAATACATCGATCGAATATTATATCGTATGTAATCGTATATATAAACTTAAATGTAAACCTACTTTTTGTGGTATATACAAAGGCAAGGTAAACGGGCTATAACATCACCAGGTTGTAAATCTTCGAGACAAATCACGCATTCGCCTTTCTCGTCTGATAATACGTCTTCTATAAGAAAACATACAAAATACTATGTTAATAACAACTAAAGTATATAAAGGTTTAATAATAAAAAGTATAAGCTTACCATTGTAACTGAGACGTGGTTTGGTCAGGCACATGACCAGGTGACATTCTATATCATCCGGTAGGATAAATTTGGAGCAAACAGGACACTTTAAACCTTAAATACAAAGTAAGCGAATTATCTACGAACATTAGTCCTGAAATATAATGAAAAAATAAAAAGTCGTTAAGTTAATAACAGCTGTACCATAAAAAATTCTTCTCACTTGATTTACCGGTACAACCTCGGTCTCCGACTCATTTAAACATGAACTTATTATAATTCCCATAATAATGTCGACATAACGTTAATTCGTCCATATGATCTTAAAACCTTCATTCTTCCAAATTAAGCTTTTTTTTATGGTCGCAATATACAATTTACGCAACTACGTTAAATCACAATTGATTTACATGCGGTTACCTGGACAACTACCTCGACAACATGCGCCAAACAAATGTCCCCTACTTCGATACGCAATTAATTTAAACTGTTTGCATAAAACGTTACGATCGCGACATAACCTTGCTTTTCTTATTCGAAAAATCGACTAGGTTCATCATTTAAAAAATACCATTACACTTTGACGTATCTTACAAACGAGACTAATTTTAAAACACGGTGATTATCACGAAAATAATAATGGAAATATATTATTAGAAATAAGTGACAAGCGTTTAATGATCATTTTATTTTAGACTACTATTTGTGTTTGATGAGAAAGTATCGAGAATAACGATCTAATTATGTTTATGTGCACACTTGCTTACACGCACGTAACGTGTTACATAATCATTGATAAAACGCATTATATTATTATATTGAAAATAACGTAAATTTATCTATTTAATATATATATATATATATATGTATATAACACTTAGGAAATCTAAATATATTTAGTGCTTATGGGTATAAGAAAAAACTGTTTAAGACAATAAACTATTTAAAGAGATGAATAATAATAAGAACAAAATTCTCAAGGTCAATTATTTCAACTTTAGAATCACAGATGTTATTTTTAAATAAAATTAAATTCTTCATTAGGGTTGAGTCTCTGCATCGATATTAATCCTTTAATCTCCACATGGTCTTGCTAACAGCTTCAGGTTATATTCATAATAATGCAGTATTTGTTATAACTGTGCTACACAAGTTACCATAATAGCATCTCCAGAGATTAAAAGGTTAACAGTTACAGTTACCAACTTATGGACTAATTTTAAATAAGATTGATGTTATTTAAAAAAATAATACCAAATGATTGTAATTAGATTTATAATTAACATAACTAATACATTTTATCATATGCTACAAGTTACAAAGGTTCTATCAACAATTTCCTGATATGATTCAATCGTGTATATCTCATTCTTAGTCTGACCCTTAGTGTACCAATCGAATTTTCAGAATAAAATGATATATTGTTACAAAACGTTTAACAAATAAAACAATTGTATTTAAATAAACATAAATGACTTTGAAATATCAAGAAGAAAATTACTAAAAGTATAATTAATATCTTAGCACTGTCTGTAAATGACGCGTGCATGTGTTGATAAATGTACCTGTAACAAATAAACTTACCGTTAAGAGACCAAATATGAGAAGGCAAGCTGTGAGCAGCATTCAGCACCCGTCCGGTATCTTCGTCCGCATCATCTAAATCAAGCTGCGGTAGACCAAGCGCTTGGCCAACTCCAACTCCAACAGAAGAGGCAAGACTGCTTTGTTCTCCAGAAGAAAGGTCAGGCACTGAACTCAGAGACCTAGCACGTTGCCTACTATCTCCTGATACTCTAGATGTTTGCGATTGATTACCCTGCTGATGTTGGTGCTGTAACATGCTAACAGCTCCAGGCAGAGAGCGAAGCACAGAAAAACTTTGCATGGTAGTTTCATTCGTTCCAGTAGAGGATTGTCCATTACCTCCAGCAGATTGTGCCACAGTGCTTGCTTTAGCTCCCATCCCAATTTTAAGTAATGACAATGTCTGTATTTCAACTTTTTTTAGAAGAGTTTTCGTCAAATAGGAAAATCGTACCTCGTAATCACAAGAAAAATAAAAATTTTAGATACTGGTCTTGGCAATGATACACGCACTGACACAGTTTTTACGAATAGTCTTAACGTTCCTGTTTTCAACGTTGAGAGAGTGTAATTAAAATTGTAAATCTTAACGTCAGCAATATTATAATACTTTAATATTTAATGTAGGCCGGAATTTTGCAGACATGCACCACAATAAGCAAGTCATATCGTCCGAAAGCATACTAGCGGCCTGTCACGCAAAACACCCCCCGACATCTTGTAAGAAACTTCCTAGAAGTTAGTAATCAGCTACTAGATATTTCTTCGATCTTGGCACCTTGGATTATGACCGCGTCGGGGGAAAATTACCAAATCCCGCTACTTCTTTGTAGAAGACCACTGTACTTTGTTCAGTAAAACAATGGGTGCATCCAGAAAGATCACCGCTCACTGAACCGCTCTGTGAGCGAGGTTTAATACCAGTGGCGCCATCGGTGGTGAAACGTCCAAGTTTCTAGTAAAAATAGTTCCAACTGTTCCCGCTAGATGGCGCTATTAACCAATGTTCGATAATTATTACTGAATTCATGTATGTAAAAGGAGATAAATGTTTAAACAGTATATTAAAATTGTATATCGTGCTATTGTAAAGCAAATAATGGTATTAATTATGCATTTATGAAAAATAAAGTATAATTGATTTGAAAACCACTAGTACTATTCCACTGAACTCTAATAATGCTAGTTGAGTAACTTCAAATTACTTTTGAACATTTTCCAAAGAAGCCAGATTTATTCGAAGCCTAGGGTTCTGCCCATCACTAGTAATTTGCATCACTCGTGTTTCTAGATTTCCCTATTACGTCGTACATATTTGTCGTTTTCAATCGCTTACTTGGATATTTTACATTTCGTTACTCTTTTTCTATAATTTGAAATTATTTCACATCATTGATAGTAAAGATATGAACTATGAAATTGAACACGAAATTTGTTTTACGTCGTCTGCCTTGTAAATGAAACGTCTATACAAAGTCCATGTTTTTCGAATGGGTAGCATTTCCTATGAGCCCTACATAGAGTAACATAGAGTCAAAGAATTGATCTGTTTCAACTCGTCGTGCTGCATTTACAACGAAATTTTGTACTAGTACGAAATAAAAGTAACAACAAAAATGTCTGGGTGGAGACAAGCAGGACTAAAGTAAGAAAATTCGTTCGATACACTTTTGTTAATACAGAATATTAATATTATTATTGAAAATGTTATATAACTTATATGCTTTTAGAGGAATAATCAAATTTACGTACATCTATCTAACGAATTATTTTCTATTTTAGTTATATCAATTATTCGCAAATTGCTGCGAGACTTGTCAGACAAGCTCTGAAACCAGATTTCAGGACAGAGGCTATAAAACGCGATGAAGTAAACGTAAAATTCACACAGTGGAAAGATGGTAAACCTGCTAGTAAGTATATTTATAAGTAACGTTAAATGAAACAATATTTATTCACTGATTAATCAATACTTGAACTAAATAAGGGACTGAATCTCAGACTGTTCAACTGCACCGTGTCGAGCAGGAGATTTTGTTGCTTACAGTGGAAGTAAAGCTTAGCTTACGAAACAACATCCAAACTTTATTCCCTATTATTTCTCTTTATTCAACCAAATAAGAATATTATTCGCGCTAGTCACGACTCGTTTTGCATAATAAATTATTTATTATTTACAAAGATATCTTTATTACAGCTGAGAAACAGTAGTGTCAGCAATTTGTAAGTTTATAAGAGTGTACTGGAAATGTTTGAAATTAATGTAAAATTAACTGGTTTTTTGAATTGTGCATGAAATGCTATTTACAGATGTAAAGAATGCATAAATAGTAATTGATAAGTGTTTTATTCCTATGTAACCAAAAACTGAAATTATGAAAATTGAAATAACTAAATCGAATCGAATATAACTAAAGAATATAAGAAAATAAAAATACAGCTAACAGTTTTATCATAGCATGATACTTAATAATGTAATGTGTTATTATTACAGAGTTAAATTGGTTTACTTGTGTTTATTAACAAATTCACAAAATTTAATAATTTGCATAAATTACGTCGTGTTGATAATAGCTGTTTTTTTTTCTTTTACAGAAAAGTTATAAATCATTATATCACAGATGAGTGGAAGTCATCCTTTTCCTAGATATGCGCCCATACACATTATACACGGCAGAAGAGATAGGAGTGTAATTAAATAGTAATTTATGTATGGTAATTCTTCAATATGTTCATCTGAAGTAAAAATATCTTTTGCGAAGTTACAAGTTTCTTCTTCATTTAACCTACCTTTATCAAGTTTTGAAACATCACCTCGCAGTAGGACAATGTGCTTTACAATGTACTAAAATATATGTGATTTCAATAATATACGTCAATTTTGGAAAAACATTATCGATAAATTAACCAATACTTACCGATAAATTCTGAAACAAGATCATTGTCGCTATCACCGCGCATTGTGCCCGTGATTTCTTCATCTTCTACCATAGGCAAAAATAAATGAACAAATTCAGAAGTATACGGTGGCGCAATTGCTTCTAATACCTAGAAATATACATATATTATCGTAGCTCAAATAATTTTATATCTTTATATAAATTTATAAAATAATTTACCATACCTCCGTAACAAAATATCTAATTAAAGATACATCCGTATCTCCGCGTTGCCAACATTGTTTGATGTAACATACTACCGGTACTACGCAACCTCTGCTTAATAAATTAACCATTCTATCGATTAACATTTTTTTCATTTCCAACTGTGCATTACAAAAAATATACAATTAACCGATAATAATTATTACCTAGACTATACTAAGTATCACAGATGTAGTAGCGCACATGTACCATACCTGCACAAGTATTTCTAGTTCGTCCTGTTTACTTTCAAATAAGTATACAAGAAGTTGTAGTACTTTTGGATGTAATAAGGAATGACACGCTACAACTTCATCGAGTAGAGCAAGATGAACAGGACAATGTTCTGTACATAATTTGAAATACGATGGTTCCGTTACAGTGCATTCCACCCATCTAATTACCCCAACGCTTACGACAGGAAACCTAATTAAAAAAATAAAATAAACTTTCTCTTACGATAGTGGGGTAATAATAATATAGTACCAGCGCTAACAATATAATTTGCGTGTATCGTACCTTATACATTGGTATAAAGTATGTAATTCGGCTATCAGTTCGGTTGATCCTTTGTTAATGTTACAAATATTATGAACTTTTTCTATAGCTTGAATAGTTGTCTTTAACTCATCTTTATTTAATTTACGGGGATGTCCCTTTTTAGCCGGAATATCGCATACGCTAGCTGCGTAAGCTAATAAATATATGTATTTTGACTTATGCTCTGGATTAATTTTCACGCCTGGTTTAAAAAGGGCGTCAACCAATAATTCTACAATAGATTTATATGTTATATTATGAATTTGTATGCATTCATCGCATTCACATTGTATGTATATGAACATTATTACCTAAAAACTGTGGATTGCGAAGTAATTCTATGGGAGGCGGCTCTATCGTAGAATAATTTCGAAACAGTACGCTAATATCTGCAGGATTTAAAGTATTTCGCGATAACATGGATGCCAGTGCTTGACATGCACTGGGGCTACTCGAAGCTCCGTTAAGTGCCATAGTAATCGGAGTAACGTCATGATGACTAAAAAAGAACGAGTAAATATTTAAATGCACAAGTTCTATATGTAAAGCAAAGCGTGTAACATTACCACCCCCAAAATCTCTTTTCTTTTGACAATAGAAAAATATTTGAGAGTCTCCTACTTTTGTTGAGCGCATTTTGTGATTTCTTGGGAGAGCCTTTTCATCATAAATCCGCCACGAGACTCTTGAGCAAGAATTTGTAATAATACTTGACTATAAACATAAGTGTGTTGTCCATGACATACCATTTTCTATTAACAGAAAAATAAAATTCGAATAATACGTTCGACCATTTAAATATATTCAATTGCACCGATTAATGGAATAGTATAATTAAGGTGGTAGAATTTGCTACAATTTTACCAAGAATGGATTAATAACTAACCGCGCACTCCTGTATACTCGACTGCCAATCCTCCGTATTTTGTAAGAAACCAGCAATCGCGGTTTTTAGAACTCGTGAAAATACTTCAATCTGTTGTGCAGCCGTTGATATGCTCGTAATCTCACCTTGGAATCCAGCATCAGATATAAGCTATAAAAAAGACAGAAAAGATTAGTCGTGTTCCCTATTTCAAACCACGAATGTATATTTACCTTTATAGTAAAATTCAACATCAAACAATCAGGGTATTCTTCTGCTAGTCTATAAATAAGAGATCTCCAAGTGGGATGTTGAATCATTTCTGTCAACCAGGCAGGCGTCTAATATGGAACCCATTGAATTTCAAATGTGTCTTAAACAGTCATTTTGTACCTGGTGTTAAAGGTAATTAATGTTTAAAGAACATACTTCACCCTCCTCTGTGAAAATTTTGTCTGCTTTCTTAGGATCAAATGTTTTCAGTATCATGTCTTTTAAATTATTTTCCACCATTGCTTGAACATCTGAAACTTTAACTCCAGCAAGAATGAGCCATTCCGCAAGGAGATTCGCCATTTGCGCACAGGCAGTATAATTTTTAGACAGTAATTCTATGACTTGTTCAGGATTTCCACCAGCTTGGAAATACCTAGAAAAATATATAACATATCATTATAATATATATAATAGACCCTTTATGTATTGTTTTTAAAATATATCGTGCCTTTTAAGTTGCATAAAGATACCAGGCTCCATAATATAATCAGGTGTTTTAAATTTATCTAAACATTCATTTAAAATTTCTTGAGGATTATCAAAGCTATCTTCTCCTCCGCAATCATCAGTTGTTCTTGCCATTTCATCTGTCCAACCGCCATGGTTTTCATCGTAATCCGATTCCATTATTTCTGAAAATTCTTAGGTAAATAAAAAGAATCAGAACCAAATATGTAAACATGCTATCAATGCCATTTATAAACAGATCATACCATTAAGTTAGGTTATAGACGATTATATGTTTTTCAATAACGATTACTTACTTTTATCGTTTTATTACCAAGATTAATCGATGATTAATCGTTGTATTTTGCAAGTATATAATATATCACCACAAAATAGTCTAACAGAAGTAAAACTTGACAAAATTCTCTTGTCAAAACTAATAGCAACCAGTTTAACCCAATTTGATAGAGGCGAAACTCTTGTTGGAATTACTGATGGTCGTGTCTCCACATTTTTTAGGTTAGGGTCGGTTCTAAGCAAAATAAATTGATGGCAACCAATCACAATCGACGCTTCCATTCAAAAGCAGTTTCGCGACGAAACTTTCCCCTCTACAACTAACTTTAACCATGACTTTAACCTAACTTAATCCGTGAACCTGTATATTAACCTAATGCACTGATATACACGTTGTTTACTTAATTCTTGATACGATAGTTAATTAAACTGAATTAAACCACATAGCGATCCACAAACAATGCCATTATTGGTTGCGTCAAATAATTTATAAAAACGAATATTGTATTAAAACGTATTCAAAAATGATATTTTTTAACAATGTGCACAGTACTCTTCGTTCGCTTAGTCGTTTAAGAAACCTCCAAACAATTAGTATAAATTTGGATGTACCGCGAACATATTCAAGATGGTCCAGTCGTATGCCGACTCGTATTGTTAACGAAGATGAACTTTTCGATGTCGAAGACACTACAGTAAAAACAGATAATTATGAACGAAAACCGAGGAGAAGAAGGCCATTAAATGAAGCGTCTAAAAAACCTTCAGTATCTCAAAAACCTTCTGCATCTCCAAGTTCTAAAACTAAAGAAAATGAGAAGAAATCACCATTTATAGTTCTGGAGGAAGGTGATAGAATTATATCGTAGGTTTCTTTCTTGATATTGGTACTCCAAATAACTCATTTTAAATTAAGTAAAATTAGTATGAGATTTCGCGAATATACATTTATTATTTTGTTTTAGAAAGTTAATGACGAATGTTAAGACTCGGAAGAGGAGGGAAAAAAATGAAGAGATAATTTTGGAAGGGCATAGATTAATTAAAGAAGGAATCGAAGCTGGCGGAAAGCCAACTGCGATATTATTTAATAATTCATCAGACTTAGATTTATTGAATCTACCTAAAGATGTAAAATTATATAAAGTTCCATATAAGACGATTAAATTGTGGTCCACCTTAACTACTTCACCTGGATTAATAGGTATTAACGTGTTATCATGGTACATAGTATGATTTTTGGTTTCATTATTTGCATTCTTGGTATAGGAATTTTTAAAACTCCCGATTTAAAGAAAGATCCCAGCAACAATGCGATACCGCTTACTATTATATGCGATAATGTGAGAGAACCAGGGAATTTAGGATCGATTATACGAGCTGCAGCAGGTGTCGGATGTGAAAAATTAATATTAATGAAAGGTACAAATTTACAGAATTCAAGTTATAAATTGTATCAACCTTGATAACTCTAATTTTACTATTTTCCTGGTTAGGTTGCGTCGATTTATGGGAACCAAAAGTTCTCAGATCTGCAGCTGGAGCTCATTTTCGAGTGCCTATCGTCGCATTTCCGATGTGGGATGAAATTCCATCGCTAATCGACGTAGAATCAAATGTTTTTTTGGCTGATAGTAATTTCGGCGATGAATTTTTATCGAAATATAGCGAAGAAATACTCGAAGCAAGTATGGGAGTATTTAATACAGATCCAGAAATTCTCAAAGCAAATATTATCATCAACAATGATGACATAAACGAAAGTACTCCGATTAATAAGACAATACTGAAACAATTATTATTGAAACTACCTATTGTTCCATACTACACTCTGGATTATACGAAAAAAGAAGTTGTACTTATTCTAACCGGGGAAACTATGGGTTTGAGCGTAGACTCGTATACATTTCTAAGGGACCGAAAGGGAGTTCGTATTAATATACCTTTATTAAATGGAGTTGATAGTTTAAACGTGGGAGTAGCTCTTGGTATTGTAACCTTTGAAATGAAGAGGCAATTTATAAAAAAACAAAATGAACTTCAATAAAGTTTTTTTCATAAACAAATCTATAGCCTGGATATGTACTTTATATTTACTTGATATTTACAGTAGCTTGGCGATTTAAAAGTTTGTAATTCTTAAATGAAATTCATAATTTATGCGATACGATACCTCAATTTCCATTATTGACGGGTTGAGCAGCAACTGGTCGAACTGTAAAACGTAAGTAAAGAAGTACGTACTATTGACGTTTATACAATACGTTTGCTAGAAATATCTTACTTGTGCAACTTTGAGGCTGAAATTTGATATCGTCGATAGCAAAACCTCCGTTACTAGCGCTTCCTCTTAAAATAAGGTGGTAGGGTACGCGAGCATCTATGGTGACTTGCGCGGGTGTCCATACCGGTCTTGGGTTATTAAATCCTTTTGCCGTTAGCGACCACAACTAAAACAAAGTATCTTTAAATAAAATTCGATAATTGATAACATAATAATTTACATTCTAATTCTTACAGGTTGTTCCTGATTCTCAGCACCCTCGGTTTCATCGTTTTCATCTTCGGTATTCGCTTTAATAATTTGTAAACTGGTGGATTCTTCGACTCCGAAAGCAGCGAACCAGAAGGTGAAACAAATAGATTCCTCGTCGGGTGACGTTTGTATTATCGGTGATCGTAACCGTACATCGGCTGACTTTTTGTTCGTTGTAAAAATGTCAAAAAAGACGAAATCTCCAGTCGCGCCGAAGGTTCTATCCAACAATTGTGCCGGGCGATGAGCAAGAAATGCGCGCTGCCAAGTGACCGCGCGCTCGTTGTCCGAGGAAGTAATGTTTTCCCACCCGCATAAACCTTTCTCAAAGCTACAATCTTCCGTTCTTACCGATGCACTTGCCGGTTTCACTGGCACATTATTAAGAATTCTGTTAATTTCAGTATCTTTGAGCAACAGTCGACACTTTAACGTTTAGCAACCTACCGGTACAATTTCCGGTATAAAAGGAAATATCATCGATGCCAATGCTGCCGCTAGCGCGATTAGGGCCCCAAGTACCCTCGAACACTACGCTAAAATCTTTTCTCTCGTTTATATTGACCTGTGCGTAATTCCAGGTAGGTCCTTGATTATTGTACAGCTGCCAGATTGGTCTAGACTCCGACGAAGATTCTCCGGTCGTTTGTATAGACAGACGAAGTACCCCTTCAAGTGTAATGTGTCGTTAAAGAACTCGAAGCAAACGCAAGGAGTACGATGATATACAAACCTAGACTTGGTCCAGTCGCATCGATGAATGACTCAAACATGAAGTACCAAAAAGTGACGCAAAGAGGCTCATCGGTGCCTTTCATCTCTCGACTGACGAGCTGTGCCGTCCCGCCACCGGACGATCGGGGACCTCCTCTTGGACGACCCAAATTAAGGAAGTACTCGTTTCTTCGGTTGATCGTATATCCGTTGCTATACGGTTTCCGTTGATTTCTCGGGCTCAGCGTCTGAATAGTCACCCTCTCCCATTCGACTCGATCCGGATCACGCGAATTAATCCAGTCGCACTCGTCCACTTCGAAAGTGCAGTCACGTGGCGCTGGCGCGGCAACTTGAGGTGAAACTGTCGAGGAAGTTTAATATAACTTACATCTTATTATAATACAACGATATAACGAAACGAATGTTCACCAGGACAAGACCCTTGCGTGAAGGAGATGTCGTCGATGGCGATGTCTCCCATCCCTGTGTTTCCAACGGAAGCTTCGAAGACAAGTTGAAAGTCGTCGAGAGAGCTAACTGTAATTTGAGCAACGAACCACGTGTTTCCAGCGTTTCCATTCAAACTCCAAATCTCTCGGAGCGGCGCGTCCAGGCTACGAAAGTGGCGCAGAAATAACTTCAACGTGCCAATCCCAGCGCCAAACATATAAAACCAGAAGTGCATGCACATGGGCGTATCGGCACTTGGCGCAGGAAAACTCGTGCTGAGGAGCCTGGCTCTGTCTCCTGGTCTACGCGGAAACGAGGAGTCTATGTAGGCGTATCCGCCAGCAGCTGCGCGATCGGTGGAACTGTCTGTCGCTGGCCCAGTCGTTGGATTTCCACTTCCTCGACTCTGCAGCAGTTAACATTAACAAAGTATGTACATGGTCGTCTTACAATACTAAGATACTAGTAACGTAATTTACAATCGTCCAGTCGAAATCATCTTCCGCGTCGTTGCTCCAGTCGCAAAATCCGCTCGCAAAATTGCAGAAGCCAACGCACGAAGTACCGGGCTGCAAATCTATGTCATCCACGGCTACGTATCCTCTGTACAGACGCGCTGGATCAGTAGGATCTACAGGAATCCCTTCGACGATCACCTACCGACAAATACTTCATATACCGATCGCTCTATCTATTTTTTCGCGTCTACGTATTATTCGAAAATCGATTACCGAATGTAACACAGGATAAGTGTAGAGTATTTGCGCCTGCTGCCAAATACCTAGCGTGTAATATTGAGCGTTCCAAATGACACGCTCGCTATACGCTTCCACCGGCTTACAAGTTGATAACGTTGCATTCTCTGGACTAATCTCTTCGGTTTGTTCCTTCTTGATAGAATACTCGTCCGTGCCCACATGAAGCAGAAGCCTTAAGCCAGCGATACTCAAACCATCCATGGTGTACTTGAACATGACGCAAGTTCCGGCTACTCCTGTACTACCTAACTGAGGGCTATGCAGCAATCCTCCCAAAGTTTTCACTTTGCCGTCTTTAAACGGTAACTCGGACGTCTCCAGGAAGGCATATCTAGTTTCAAGGAACGTCAGTAGTAGAACGTTAGCAAGTGGTCTTAACGTCTATGAAACTTGAGAAATGGATTAGACGTACCCTCCTTCCATGGTGCCAGTTGTATAGTCGCTCGAAGGACCACCTACCCAGTTGGTACCCATACCGGTACCAGCTACCCAGTCCAAAGCGTCGTTGCCGTTCTGCCACTCGCAAAGTGTCGGCGCTGGAAATGTACCAAAGTCGCAGAAGACCTCGTCCACGGATGCTGTGGGGGGTGGTGCTGTCACTGCAGGGTACCTGGCGAACGAGAGGTCTCATAAAAACGTTACAGACCACTTGCGATTATTTCTAATTACTGTTCAGAGCCTTTTACCTCTGCGTCGATGGATCCCTTTGAGCAAGCGTGGGCGGATTAAACGGATTCCGCGGCAACGAGATCTCCGTAGTGGATGGAAGAGCGTTTCGCGTGTACAGTACATCTGGTCTAACTGGCCAATGTCTGGGCTCGATGCGTTCCACCTCGTCTAAAGGCTCGCGATCGCGATCGATAGTATTGAAAGGCATTTGTGTTGAATTGAACGCATCGTTGAAGTCGGGACTGTCGATGGCGCCTCTGGCCTCGTCGTTCTCGGCGCTCCTAGTCCAATTGGGAATGAAACTGTCGTTTATCGGACCAACGAGGTCTACTTGTTCTCCGAGCATCGGGTTCAGAGGACGCCATGGGGTAGCGTGCGATAGACAGTACAGGCAATAAGATATTAATAAAATTAACCACATCTTTCGCAAAATGTTTTTATACTAAACAAATTCTTAAGTTCGTCACAACTTGGCCGCATTCGTAAAGTACAGAAAATATTCACTTGTGTCGTCTAAACTCTCAGCGGTTCGAGTAGGCCTTCCAACCACTCTTCTTGGGCACAATAAACGAACTGTAATGAAGAATCAAGATGTACATATTTCTATTTCACTCGAAAGCTTTTTAACTAAATTTAATTTTGTTTTTACGAGTAGCACCAATCGAGACCAAAGCTATTAAAAATCTTTTTCTAAACAGTGACCGTTTAGCTTTAATAAAATAAAAACTACTGTTCGAGACGAGAGGTGCCCTTCGTTCCGTATCGAGTTTATAACATCGAAGAACAACACAGTCGCAACACGGTTACCGCGGCTTCGTTACGCGCGGAAGGGTGATATTCTTCTAACTAAAATACCGACCGAACGGTTTTCGAGAGGTATGCACGTGATGAAATAAAACGAACATTCCGCAGTTCCGGCCTTTGCTTCCTGTCGTTACGCTTTTGATCCTAGTATAGAGGCCGAGTTCGATAACCGTTCGTCGGACAATTCCATCGAGATAGGGATATGTTATAATCGTATCGGTGTTTCACTATTTTCTTTTTTTTTTTTTACAGTTACTCGTTGAATTATCTGTCTATCCCATACGTTTCTCGTGAAGCTTCAGAAACTTTAAAAACATCTCTGGACTGAAACTTCTATTGTCCTGATCTGCTATACATTCGATTCGACCAAGATTCAAATATATTAGGGCAATGAAACGCGCGAGGTAAGGGCAGAGAACTAATTGATCCGTGTTTGGCCGAGAGTATGGTTGTTTCCTCAGCATTTTCGATATCAAATTGACGACAGCCGTTGACGTCTTTCCGCAAAGAGGTCGTGGGCCTTTGTTACACGCCATTTCGATGATCTCTGCCAAGGTCTGAAAACGATATAATTAAAACGGTAATATCGAGACGAGGAGTTTCTAATACATCTTCTTGTAAACTTATACACACGATCCTATTTCGATTCTTTACCTCGAAGACAAACTACGCGAACTCGAAATGGGATAAACGTATAAGTTCCTTAACTAATGTTATATATTTTATCTTATATAATATATACTTTGTGTCCGAGGTACAGAATTCTATCGCTACAAGGAAACAGAAATAATTTTACCGTGCCAGGGAAGGGAAGCCTTTTCGTAACCATCTCGTAAAGAATGACCCCCATGCTCCATACATCGCATTTAAAATCATAAATTTCGCCCTTCAGCATTTCCGGTGCCATGTAATAAAATGATCCGGCACAACACGTGCTCGTTAGATCTTTTAATCTGTAACGATCGTTACGCTATTAAAAATTTTATAAAAATCGAGTTTTACGAAATCGTTCGTATTAAATCGTACTCTTGAAAATTCTTCGAGACGCCGAAATCTCCAATTTTAACGACATTTCCATGACTTCCGGTTAGCATGATGTTCTCCGGTTTCAAGTCCCGATGGAGGATCTTCTTGAAATGTATGTGATGGACGCCAAGGACAACTTGTGAAAACAGGTACAGTGCATCCTAGGCAGAATAAAAAATACACGTTCAGTTTAAAAGTTCAAACGTGTTTTGTTCGTAGAGGTTATACTTTGCTCGCGACTTACTTCCTCTTTGAGCGGCGACTGGCGTTTTTCAAGCAAATCTTTCAAAGTGCACCGAGTCGCGAATTCCATAAGAATGTAACTGTGATTTTCCTCTATCCAAGCTCCGTGATAAGCCACGATATTTGGATGTCTCAGCGTGTGCAGGCATTGTATTTCTCCCAATATATTCTATGCATAAATAGATCGCGAAATTTTGAATTTCTCGCGTGCCCGCTTTTCTCGGAATCAGTAACGTATCTAGCGTGACCAGAAACTGGCGTCCTTAGTCGCCCCAAAGGATGATAGAAATATACAAGAAATGGAGGAATGTAAATTCATATAAATATACTTATATACTTATTATTTCAATTCTTAAGTATCGCCACGTTCTCCGTAGAAATGCACTTTTATAAACGATATTCTCACTTCTATGATATCGCATGATTTTGTTTAATTGTCTCACCTTGAAGGGCAAAGCGTTTATAGTGTTGAGAGCTTGTTCTTTCACGACGAACGGCTTAGAGTCTCTTTTTCTTCGTACTAGATAAACGGATCTAGAAGTAACGAATAATAAAAAAACTGAAACGTGAAACTGAATCTATAAATACGCACCCGAAAGTGCCTTTTCCTAACAATGTTTCAAATACATAATGATTTATATGCATTGACATTTTTCGCAAATATCCCCGAGTATGTCAGATCACGATACAAGTTGGCGAACAAAAACAATTATGGAATGCTAACGGATATTTTGATACGACAACGATATAAACATCCTCATCTGTGACATTGCAATTTCCAAGGTGTTCAATATATCAGAAATGTATATTTTTATCGTTATGAGCAGTTACAAATAGTTCGCTTCATTTATAATTTTAATATATTGAATTTGATAGTTACTATGCTAAACAAATAATCTAGATAAATCATCCGATATCGTCTCCAAAGATCAACAAATATATTAAGACTAGACACTTCTAAAATCAGTGGACAATAGAGGCTATCTATGCTTACATTTTTAAATTATTTAGCAATCGAAACTCGCAAATTTAATCTGAGCATATTTTGGGAATGTATTGTGCATGATTCACGGATTTATTACTCATAAAAGGTGTTTACAAAACACATCGTTCTAGCTTATAATTTATAAAGTATTATTTTAATACTACTAAATTTATATCTTATCAAACACCCTATACATGTCGTTAAGTTCGCATTTTAAAAGGTCTCGTTACATTTCAAAGTAACAAAGGTATACGCAAAAGAGGAGGAAAATTCGGGCTTTAACTTACGTCGTAGTAGTTTTATTTGTCTTTTTTTACAAATAACGCAATAAAGATTTTTCCTAAAGCGTTTAGACGTATCATATCGTACCACGAAAAATGTTACAGTTACGCGGTTGACCTGATCGGATTGCATAGTTCGCGACGGTAAACGTTGCATCCAAGAACACGCAGAGGGTTTATCATATATGAACAATTTTCCATGACAATGGGAAAAAAGAAGACTGCTCGTCGATAACTTACAATCGATACAAAACATCTCGACTATGGTGAGGTGATACACTGCGGACAAAATAAAAATATAGCTACTCTGGTGTTCGAAAGGTGCAGCGGGAGCGATGCATGTACTATTTTAGAGTACCAGTGCACACATCCATAATCCCAAAATGGAATCGAACGATGGTTATGCTCGTCGCATAACATCTACTTCAATGAAAAAAGCAAACCACCTTATACCCTAGTGCAATGCAGAATTAGATGATATTGCAATATATACAGAGTGTCCCATAAGATGCACCGTATTTGTCGTACGACAAATGTTTCAACTAAAAATAAAACAATTCTCCATGCTTATACGTGATCATCGTCGTCAATCGTATTTCGACTTGCTAAAGAATATAACTGGGTGCACCCTTGATAAACTTAAATACTTTTTTATTTAATTCTGCAAACTAAAATCTTAACCCTATATTTCACACGTTTACAAAACATTTGATTTGTAACACATTCGTTAAATGGTACTCTAAACTTTGCAATAATTTCATAATGCTTTATCGAGTTACGATCAAATCTAACTTGGTGTGTATACAATAGTAGTAGAAATCCGTAACGTATCATCCGTTAACGGTAATTAAGTTTATTAGGCATAAATTCGACATAACCATCAGTGACTTTTAGTTATCAATGATCATGCGTTGACACTAAGAATTGCTTCATTTTTTTTTTTTTAATTTAGAACTATCCTATTTTCTGGATATATCACATCCTATGAAAAACACTGCATATGAATGCATATATTTTTGCTTCAGTATTTCTTTGAACATCATCGATAACGATTTTAAGAATTAACTGTTACTGGAATCTAATATATTGTTAGCATCATTGCCGGAAGTTGCGGAACTCCGTGATTGTTTTAAGCTATCCAGGTATTCCTGTTGCGATGTTGCCAAAACTTTTGAGAGAATATCGCTGTCCTCCCAATCGGTTAAACCTGATTACAAATAAATATTGGTTACAACTGATTACAACCGTAAAAGTAATTATATTTCTATCGTTTAATAAATCGTCAAACTTACCAAAAACTTCAGGAGGAAGACGATTAAACATCGAAATGTCTGGCGAAGCGTGGACTTCCTTACTACTGCCTGGCATCGGTTCTTGAGGGATTTTCGATTCAAAGTCGGAGGTAAGGTGAGATATAGTAGACCCTTGAGTTGACTGATGCTGAGGTGACCTTTTGTTGTACCTTACCGCATCGTTTACCTGAAATTATTCGTACAACACAAAATTTGTAAGACTTACCGTTAACGCGTTGACTGCCATGCAAGTTTTATATGATTTGCCCTAGGAGACGCGTTGGAGTAACACCATAGCAACAGCGGTCATAGGCGATCAACCAGGTCTTCACGGAGAAGACAACCGCCGTTCACTGGTGATCACCCCGGCAGTCAACATGTTAAAGCAACATTCGACCAATGTAAAACGGACCTTCGGAGAATTACGTATAGTATCTTGGCTAGTTTGGGTCGTGGTTGGAGAGGAAGTGTGGCTACGTTGTTGTCCACGACCTCCATGAGGATGAAAATGCGTATGACTGTGTTGCGCGCTCGTCACCGTACTTGTACTGCTACTACTGGCTGATCGCTTTATTCGAAAGACACGAGTCAGTGTTTCAGTATTACGAAACGTACTCACAAGTGGATCTTACGAAGTGTTCCGTACCGACCTTAACGATTTCACGAATAGATCAAGAATCGAATTAATTCGATGCGTAACACTGCACAAGATCCTCTTGTACAGAATGGACCGAAGTTATCTATAACTTACTGCTTTCCGCATTTCATTGTCCCTTAACCATTGCAGGTAACTTTCCCTGGCGACTTGTTCCTCTATAGCTTCGTTCGTTGCTTCCCAGTCTGTTGCTTTGATTTTATCTTCCAGCATCGTCTGAACAAAAAAGTTTTCCTGTTTATGAAATGTATTAAATTACTTAAGATCTGAATTTTTGTACCTGTTCGATGTGCAACTCTTCGCTTTGGCGAACCGCGTCGGATATAAGTTGTCGATCCGCGGCACCGGGATTATACGATGGTAGACCAAGTCCAACACCAACGGTAGCTTTATACGGATCTACTATGCTATTGTAATGACTACCGCGTTGATAAGACAATCGTATTGGTTCGTTATCACTTTCAACCATTGTATGGAAGATATTGATAGGTTCTGAATAGAATTACAGAATTAAATGATGATCAGAACGATTTTTTTCACATATAAAAATAAATCAAGAATAGATTGGCACCTACCAGGGCTATAGCAATACAATTGAATGCTACGATTATACATTTCAGACATTGCTTGCATTTCTATATGATTGCCGTGAACATACTCTTGTCGTTTCCTATCTACATATGTGCTAAAATCTTCTGCTACGAAGTGAGAAAAGAACTCTTGGTTGGAAGCCTAAAAAGTCAATTCGTACAAGTAATGGATTTGTTTTGGAACAACGGCTCGAGTCATGCTTGTATCAAGTACTCACAATATAATCCATGCAATGTTTTCGTACTACCCCATGCATTTCCTGATCGCCGTAAACTTGATCCGCAACAGCTCTGAACAGACATGCTCCATCTTCGCCCATTTTTTTTACAATAAATCCCATCTTGCGCATTCGCTTTTCAAACCACCTATCCCGCTAAATTAGAAAGAACCATACAGTTAAATTATTAAATTCTCGTACAATCGAAAGCCTAACTTTAAGGCTTCTAACGATATGAATTTAAACGAACGAACCTCTTGCCATTCGGCTAACGTAAGGTTATTACCAGTCCTGCCAGTATATTCGTCTCCACTATTGTAACCATTAGCTAATTCGTGTTCTAAGTTTGCAGCAGTCCCGACGATAGCCATCCGATTGTTGGTTATTACACCAGCATCTGTAGCTAAATAAATTATATTATTTCCTTTATTTTTTATTAAAATCTCTCACAGGAAAAGTTTAAACATCGTAAATGCGAACCTTGTAAGCCACTGCATGAGGCAGTAGGAGGTGTAGCCTGTCTTTCACGTTCTCTGTCTCTCTCCCTCTCTCGATCACGACCCCTATCCCTTTCTCTTTCACGTTTAGAACGCGAATTTCTTCCGATGCATCCGCTGAAAAATAATAGTTTACTTACAATAACAAAAGAAACGATATATAAATTCAAGAATGTAAGCTTCAACGCGTCGGACTTAATGCACGCGTAAGTTTACAATGAAATTAAAAAAAAAAAACAATTGTCGACGAAATTGATACGCTCTCGCGATATAAACTACGTTTCTATAAAGTACTACGTATTTGCTGTTTCTCACCAAAATATTTTTCAGCAAAACCCTCTAAGCATCTTTCATTTCAAAGGAGATAAATATTAAAAAATAATCACACGCTTGGCATTTTATGCGAACTATGTACCTATGCGGACTTGCTCGTTGTCTGTGACGTTTACCATGACTTGGGCCGCTTCCTTCTTCAAAGTGTTTATCTTCTCTCCGATCGACACTAGTCTACAATACAAGCACATGTGAATCAAGTATGTATAGTACATTATAAATCCTAATGAGCCATAAGAATTAAATTTCGATTTGTTTTTTTTTTGTACATTAAAAAAAAAAAAGGCAACAACAAAGAAGAGCAGTTACAGGAAAGAAGGTGAGACTGTTTTTTCTAAATTTAATCATAACACGAAATATAGACGCTGCTGATATACATATAGTTTTATAGTGGGAGGGAGGAGGGAGGGGGGAGAGGGTAAGGGAACAAAATATACGAAAGAACACCGTTTCTTTTTTATTTCTTACCTCGTACGAGCTACCCGTAAGAACGATAGAACCAGATCCGTGGTCGGTCTGAACCCCGTGTAGATCGACCGCGAAACCGTTCGCTGCCCGTACCTGTCACGGTTCGCAAAAGGTCGTTTAAGGTTCGCTCATGCAACTACTATGCAAATATTGCGCGAGTACCACAGTTGCAATGAGGAGATTATTCATTCACCTGATATGGGCTATTAGGTAGTGCGATGGATCCAGAGCCATGCTCGTTTTGCACACCGTGAACATCGACTTCGGAAGTGCTGCCTCCTTCTCGTCTATCTTTCGAGGCGTTCGTCTTCTTCTTCGACAGAATGGTCATCTTGCGTAATCGATCGTCGGTGGTCGTTAGACGCGACGCTCGTTCGACAAGTTTTCAGGAGAGAAACACCACGGATTCTCGCTCGGCGCACCTCGAACCCCGTACTTCCTTCCTTACCGCGATCACTCTCCACTTATTTATTATTATTCCCAACTATATTGCACCAAGTTTCTGTGTTGATCGAACGCGAACACGAATAAAATCCCGGAGTCGCTACGCTCCTAATGAACTCCTCGAAATTTGAATCAGGGCAACGTTACACTTTGCGATAAACACGACATGGTACTTTTGATAACCAACTGCTACATTAATTCTTGTTATTTCGAATGTTTTGTCAGACAGCCATGACTACATTTGCACACACAGCCAGACTGCTCGTAGTGCCAATTACTCGTGCGATATTGTCCCTATTCGGTGTCGTTAAAGTTCCTATGTGAGATACGTCGATTGGGTGCGTAGAGAAAGGTCACGGGTCGCTGAGCCGCTCAGTGAGCGGGGCTTGTGATGTTCGCTATTGGTGTTGTAAATAAAATAGAGAAAGTTTTGTGAAAATAATAACAATTTATTCTGCACTCTGTGACTGAACTCTACTATGGTTTTCCGGAAACTGAGAATTATTTTTGGTTTTTTGGCAGAAGTATATATATATATATATTATAGAAGCCGAAGTTGAATCTAGGGTGTTTGTCGCTACTAGTGACTAGTTAATTCTAGTGGCGCCATCGGTGGGAAAACACCCAAGTTTCTAGCGAAAATATTTCCCACTGTTTCCACTAGATGGCGTCGCTAACTAAAGGTCGATAATTATTGCTGAACTTACATATGTAAAAACAGATAAATGTTTAAATGGTATATTAAAATAATATATTGTAGTATCATAAAACAAATAATTGCATTAATCACGGATTTTAGGAAAAATAAAGAATAATTCATTAAAAGATACCAGTGGCGCTATCTTGCAAAATATATGAACACTATTTTCACCAGAAACTTGGACGTTTCCCAACCGATGGCGCCACTAGTAAATACTACTTTTAGTAACTCGATGTGGTAAATCATTTTTTTTCCATATAAAATTAAATGCTAAAGTCGAGTACATGACCGTGCACTCTAATAAATAATATAACTAATTAGCTCTCACGTAAATTGACCTTGGAAAGTCTGGCGAAGGATACCGGTGAGGTGACTCACAATCAGTAACTTTCCCCTCGTCCGGCACGATCATTGCACCGGCTAAACAAACAGACAGACATATACAGGGTGTCCTGCATAGAACGTAGCCATATGTATACATACTTTCTGAGAAACTAGTTTGTAATAATTTCCGCAAGACACTCTGTATGTATTTACCATTCGTAACTGTAATACCATGTGTATATATTAATTCCATATGACTTTGGATGAATTATGCGCTGCTGGAATATTTTTCGTGAACGAATAGAACCTCTCGTATTCGTTTATAGAATATCATAGGAAAATCTTATGATTACGACTCTTCGATCGGAAGGTAATTGAAAACAAAGTATGGAACACATTTTCGTTATTTAAATGATAACAGGTATAATGGGAGAATGCTGACATTATCGATAATGGAGGCACACTTTTTGAATATATACGAGACGTCTTTTAATACCGAAACATTTTTATAACGTTATTTCATCGAATTATATGTTCGAAAACGAGTATGGTAAATGAGTGCCTTAAAAGATCAAGATCCCGATTATGGGCCGTCCGTTGCAAACAATGAAAAGCACCAGCAAATTTACGAAGAAAACGGTAATATTAAAATTGTAATTTATGTTTATCTTTTGTTAATATTCTATTAAACTCTTATTTTTATTTTCAGCACGAAGCAACACTGCAAAGAAGATAACGACTATCATAGAAAGAGAATTTTCTGAAGAAATAAACGCGAAAGAGAAAGAAGTTCTAGAAATACAGGAGAGATTGCACAGAGCATCGAAAGTTTTGCATCTTTTACGGTATGTCACAGTCGCTGATTTTTATAATCGCAAGCAATGCCAGAATTCGCAAGGCAGCGAAGCAAGGCAAATACAAATTCATCCTGCAATAAAACAGTTGATTGGTAAATCACCGAAATTATGCGATAGTTTGTTAGTTTCTACATCGAGTAGTGAAAATGATTTCACGACGTCGCAAACTGTATTAAAGTCTGAAAAGTTAGAGGAAGAGACTTCTGAACGTTGCCAAGCAGGAAAACGTAGCATCGAAGCCGATGAGGAATCGCGTCCAAAAAAGATACCTAGGTACATTCCGCCGAAAAGTGGAATCCCAGAACTTCCGTGTCCGTCGAGAGGAATTAGACATAAAGCCAGAAAGCGTATAATTATCGGGAATATTTCGAAATGGATTCCTCCAGAATGGAGAGAGGATGCAGCTAGTCACAAATGGACGATGTACGTCCGAGGAAATAAAGAGAATCCCGATATCGATGATTTCGTTAGTAAAGTTAGATTCTTTCTGCATCCTAGCTATAGACCTAATGATGTCGTGGAAATTACAGTACCGCCATTTTGCCTTTCGAGACGCGGTTGGGGTGAATTTCCGCTAAGAGTTCAATTACACTTTAAAAGCGCGCTCAACAAACCGATGGACATAATTCATCATTTGAAGTTAGATCGTACTTATACCGGTCTACAGACTTTAGGATCTGAAACGCTCGTCGATATATGGATCTACGCGGATCCTCGAAATTCGAAACGAGATATCGACAAAAGCGCCGTTCAGCCGTTCGACGAGAATGGATCTATAGTGAAAACGCCTTCTGACGATAGTTGCAAAATAAAACTAGAGAACAATGAACATTATAATTCCATGTTTGATTTCACGAAAAATGAAAATGAATTAATGAGTACAAATTTCGAATTGAATATCAAAATAGAACCTCCGCAGGATAACGAAATTAATGAAAATGTAACAAGTACCGAACAGGTGCGATTTTATGTTGATCATGACCACGATTATTGTGGTTCGAAATACTCGAACAGTTTTAAAGAAAATTTGACTATCGATCACTCGACAATCTCGTCAAGATCTATAGAGGATACAGAGGTAGCGATTCAAAATAATACTTTAGCAACGACTGAATCTTCTGTAAATGGAGACCTGACTAACGTAACGATAAAGGAAACAAATCCAGTCTCGTTTTCGTTAACAAATGAACTTAATACGAGTAAAGCAAAAGCACTTCCATTATCATGCTCCAAAATTCAATCGAACCTTCGTCCTTTAGAAATTTCCATTCCACCGCTGTTCGAATCGTCGAGCAAGCATGTTTTAGTTTTACAAAACAAGAAGACTATCTCCGTAGATATCGCGATGCCGCGAACCGACGATCATAATCGTAAACTTATCGTTAATCCAACAAAATCGAAAGGAAATTTAACAGCTTCTCGTGGCATTAGCTTGTTAAAAAAGCCTCCAAGTTCGAACCAAAATGGAACAGAAGCGCAAGGATTGAATCTTCAACTTTCCAGGAGCGTTCTTCTAAACGTAAACTCCAATATACCAGCCTTGAAAATAGCTGAAAGAAGAAATTTACAGAACGATCACCTTTTCGATTCGCTAGACGAGTCAGGCACCGAGGACCACACGAAAGCGAACTCTCTGGAAAATTCGAAGGAATTCAAGCTGCAATCGCGACAAAAGATTACTCTGGGTAAAGACAAACACAAGCTTCAAAGTAAAAAGGAGTTTTGCGACGACGTGTTCCGAACAATTGACGCAGTAAAAATTACAAACATTCAAGGCCTACTGCGATTTATTGTTAGAAGAATGCCTATGGTGACTCGAAACGCTTCCGACTCGGATTACAGACAAGTCCATCCTTATGCTTGTGCGAGCGAGGAAGAGTTCTTAAAATACAGCCTTGCGAAACGAACCGCTTGCGAATGGAGCAGAGCAAAGATGATACGGTGTCTTTTAAAAAAGAAACTGTTCCCGGAGGAGGAACTATGGACCGTTAAAGAGATAATGATTTGGGCGCGGTTGCACGGCTACGCGCCTTTTTGGTCCAATTGCGGAGTCCAATCCATAAAGCAACAAAAGAATTTGCTTGATTCCACGGTTCCAAAAAGTATGTCCACTTGTACCGAGCCGGAGGCTGTGTACAAGTGGCTTCAAATTTGTCCAGATCGATCGAACGATCAATTTTCCGATCACAATTTGCAACAGTCCGATCAATTCGACAATGAAATCGATATAATTAATGAAATTCCATTGGAAAATAAAAAGAAAGATGTAAAGAAAGAGAAAAAGGATAAGGCGCCGTTAATTGCAAAGGTCGCGGTATTGGAAATAGAGGAAAAATTAGCACCGCTTCATGAGTTTGTCTGTGAAACTGCACGAGAGATCGGCGTTAAACTAACGTCCGAAGAAATTCTACCCAATGTGATAGACTTTACATCTTCTCGAATGATAATGAAGGTAAAACATATTACGGATTTATTTTTCTATTTGTTTTTAAATAAATATATATATATATATATATATGTCTTTTTTCAGGCTGTCGAATGCCTCGTCGATGATTTGATTAGAATGTCCTTAGCAAAAGCCTGGGAAAAATGTAATGATAACGGGTAAATATTTCTTTCATATTCGAGATACATGTATGCGTATATTTCGTATAAAATTCACAATTATTTATTATACTGCAAATATCGATATTGTATCACGGAATCGTGACAGTCTTTTTATTTTTGTTTAATTTGCAGATATCCGAAGATGATCGTTTTGGACGATGTACGTGGAGCTATCTTAAATCGCGAAGAATTCGATATATTTACGAACCAAGGACTAGGGTCGAAGTATCGACTAACATCGATGGATCGATTGAAAAATATATAAAAAATAAAAACTTTGCAACTAAGGAAACATTTAAATTTGAAAAAAAAAATTGCTATTATATTTACAACCCGAGCTATGGACTTTTTTTTAGTATAATAGTATGCTCCAGTACCATTCCAAAAACGCAAACCTCGCACATGTACAAATCTATACGTTTGAATAAAGTATATAAAATTTTGTACATCTAAATGTTTAAGTAATTTTTAATACTGAAAAATCAACCCCTTCTTCGTCATTTTTGCATGCAACTTTCGTTCTTTTTGCATATATAAACGTCAAAACAAAAAATTATATTCTTTTCGAACGCATACGCGTATACTTAAAATAATACTAAGAATGAGAAAAGGTCAATTAATGTCAAAATGTCATTTAGTTTTTCAGAAAATCTTGCTCACTGCTTTGGTTGAAGTGCTCATCGCATGATAACATAGTCGCTTTCTTGTAGAGATGCCTGTGTTCGTAGCTGATGCAAAGTGATATCTTTGTATCGAGGTGACATGGGAACGTAATTACAGTTGTCGATTAATCTCTCCAATTTAAACGCGTTTCCTTCGCCTAGCACGGAATTTCGAGTAGATGTTACAGACCTTAAAATCATTAAGCAAACATATTGTATAGTTCGTATTAGCAAATGTGGAGTGAAATTAGAGTTAATCGTTACTAGTTGCAAATACAAACCTGATACCCTTCATTGATTCAGAGGCACATCTTTGTCGCGGAGGTAGAGGTGGTGGTTCTTCCGATGGACGATTATAAAACACTTGATCCATGTAGAAATGCGAAGTAGTTGCTTTATTAGAATCTATCTCGTCTACAATTTCCTCGTAAATTCCAGAAGCTACTGAAATATCTGAAATCCTTCTATCGTGTGGAAAAGTGAGCAAACCTGAATTATCGCTATTATTTGGAACGCTAGCTGGTTCTGGTTGATAGAAGGGTTCTGTTAATTTGCTATGGATCTTAGAATTCTTTTCATCGCACGGTACGTTCATTTCTTTGTTTTCATTTATTGTTCTAAAATCCATTCGTTCGCTTATCAGCGGATAATTTCTTTGGATTTCATCGCGTACCGATATTCTAAGGTCACCCTCGCTTAGGCTCAGTGGTCTTCGATTAAGTTTACATTTTGGACCACGACCCTGGGTCACTAAATCTTGTAATAATTTAGCAGCTTCTAAACAAAATACGTGAAGCTCGCCAACTCCGCCACAAAATTCTTTGGTCGTATGAATTACGCAAATACATTTAACATCCTCTGGTCGACCTACGGTAATTAGGTGAAAGTGATTAACCTGTTGCCAATCCAGATTTTTCACTATTTCACCTGTATAAACATCTTTCACAAATATTCCTATTGTGCTGGCTATTAAATCGCCATATAGTCCTGCAAAATTATAGTAGCAATTAAAAATACATCTAAAATATAAATGAATAATCAAAAATTCAAATACCAGTGTATCCTGACGCTTTAGAATGCGCGTTATCGATTATAGATATATTATGAAATCCTGGCATAATGGAATGCCTTCTGGGTCTCAACAGCTGCCTGATATTTGCCATCCATCGTTGTGATTCTGTCTCTGAATTACCAGCCAAATATAATAAAGGCTTTCTTTCTTTGGTAGGGAATATACCAAAAGCAAACTGCTTAGATCTAGATTGGGTGCGGCAAATAATAGCATCTAATGGTATTATTACTGAATTGTCTCTGTCATTCGGGGATGCATTACCACCATTACTAATGCCATAATCAAGTTGTACTTTGACACCCAAACCAGGGCCTAGTTTTCTTATAGAACACCAATGCCTTTGCCAAACTTTCCAAGGAGCTAATGTCCTCTTTCTCACCTTGTGGACTTTATATTTACCACCAAGATATTTAACATCTAAGAATCCACATATTTCATTATATTCTTCAGCCATTGTAATATACTTTTCTGAAAGATATTACAATGTTAGTACTTTTAAAACATTAAACAAACATTATAAGATTAGTACTTTCTTTCAAGAACTAAGGTTGTACGATACAAATACTGGTCGTTTCGCAACGAAAATATGAAAAACTATTGAAATTAATTTTACGAATGAATTAAATTAAATTGGTGAATAGATTGCGAGATTTTTCATAAAACAAAGTGCGGTTTAACAAGAATCTTAGCTTACCTTCCAGAAGACAGGCGGATTAAATAAGCAGTCGCATTGGAATTCAGATACTAACGGCGAAATCTCCTTAAATACGAAAGTTCACACATAATTAGAAAAAGTGCCCGGTCGCTCAACGTACAATTCGATGTTTGTATTATTGTTTACTAACTGGTCAACTCCTTAATCTTGAACTCAAGACTACCAACAAACCAAGACTCTGATTGACAGTTGATAGAATTCCCTATATCAAATTGTTACTATCTTTGACTACGTAGGTGCTTATATAGACAAAGGTTCTTTATTTGTTATTTATATAGTCGATTTTTTACTTTATGACATTATAACACATTATTTAAACATTTATCTGCTGCTTAAACATGTGTATTAGGGTTTATAAGTTCAGACTGCAAACCTGTAATCACTGTTTGGAATCAATGTAACGTAAACGTATTTTCCCTAAAAGTAGCTTAATTTAAATAAAGTATTAAAATGATAAATTTGACATATTAACTAATATACTGTAGTGTTATCAAACAAAGATTCTCATTGATCATGCATTTATGAAGAATAAAGAATAATTTTGATTGAAGGTATTGGCAGCGCTATCTAGCAATAAAAGTGGGAATTATTTTCACTACAAACTTGGACGTTTTGCCACGGATGGCGCCACTAGTATTAATCCCAGAATAAATGAAATATTTTTAAAATTAATTAATGTGATATGATTATAGGTTTGTAGTCCTGAATACATATGTAAAAGGAGATTAATGTTTAAAAAATAATATCAGGTCGTTGTGTTTAAGAACGAAAAATTTGTAAGCTTTCACACATACACAGGACGAGTGCCTGACTGGTCTCCTCCATATAGATCATTTTCTCAATCATTTCTTTTTGGCTTGCAAATCTAAAACTCTGTATTATTGGCCCCTTCGTATAAAAAATAAAGATAAAACGTTATAATGGATTCCCTAAGTGACAGATTTATATCTTTCATTATCATTGATGCCATATTCATTCGTTAACTTCTAATAGATCGCGGTGTGAGATTGTGATACCATTGATAGTAGTAGCCTGTAGCCTGATAGCGTGGTAGCATTAGACAAGATCGATCCACTGCAAATCACTCCAAAGCTTGACTTGTTTATCTTTTTTTAATCGTTCATCGTAAAATTTACACTCGAAATAATATCACTTCTACATTATGGTCTAACTTATTGATCTTAGATATTAACAGTATCGTGTCTCGATAGTCTCCTATGATTTTAATTTTTCCTATAAAACATCGATAATTTAAAGACCTTCGGCATTTCGGTTTCATAGAACGAACATGACGGTCACGGCCTTCGCTAGTCAAGCTGTTTTAATTCCGCGGGAAATTATGTATTTCGGTAGAAACATATCACGTCTTTATCATCGTCATCAAAAACTATGTCGCGTAAACAGTATCCTGTTAGGAAAATGCTTGTCTCCTCCGTTCGCCCTCGATACATGGACTGTACAGAGGACGTGTCATGGGAATAAAAGTAAAGTAGACAATTTTCCCGGTACTTTATCGAAACAACAAGCGAAAGAGTTGACCGCCAAGCTTACTTCGGAAGAACGTGAACACTTCTTAAGTGCTCTCCAAGAATGTAAATCCGAAGAAGATAAGGCTGGATATCAACGTAATTATTTTCTATTAAGACTAAGTATCATCATTGGAATCAATCATCCTTTTTAGATCTTTCATCTGTCATCAAATTGACAATTTTATATTAAATTTTTGTTAGACCTGTGTGTTTCTTAAAGTTTACTTTTCCTTCTAAATGTATTTGTTATAACATTTCAAGGCCAATTAGCAGCCTTCCGTTGGTGTAATGAACTTGGAAGGCCTACCAAAATACCATCACTAGGAGACGTTGATGCTACAGGCAAATATTGTCGTGTACCCGATGATTGGCTTTTGCGCAAGTATGGTAGGAACATCAAAACATTAACTAATTTTTAAATTATTAACAGAAATTGATAATATTAAGGTGAAATGTAATAGCGTTTTATAGTATTAATGTATTTAATTTTTCATATTACATAGATATTTTAATGATAACTCAGCTAATAATTGTAATTATTTACTTTCCATTGCATTCTATATGGACATTGCGCTGTAAGTTTAATGCATGATAAACTATACATTTCATCAGTCTATATGTTCTAATTCTTCTATTTGCTTCTTTTACTCTGACTGAACTTAAGGGATATCATTCAAACATAACTACATTTCCTGAAACATTGTTATACCATTTATTATGAAAATACTACTTTCCTAAATAGGAATCTATACAATTCTGTTAAGTAACTAGAAGCTCTTGTAAATAAGTTTAGGTAAATAATTTCATAAATTTTTGCTATGTAAAACATTGTTATGATACTTTATCCAAAATTAATTATCATTATTTCATTTAATTGCTATGTATCTTATATTATTACAATTTTGCATGATCTAAAGAATGCACTTTCCACAGTACAAAATATGTTGCTGAAAATATTTCATAAAATAGATTTTGTTCGTTTAATATATGTTACACAATTTACTAAGTTTTAATGTAAATATTTTTTAGGTAAAAAGAATGTACCTTTGTTTGAATAAAGTTTTATTTCTCAAAATTTGGTGTATTTGATTAATTAGTTAATTATCCTAAGTGATTTCTTTACTTTTTATTAAACTTTAAAAATTAAATAATTATCATTGAAAAATATTTTTAAACGAATTACATTATATATATATATATATAACAAAATTAATGCATGCATATTACTACTTTATGTTTGTAAGTAATATAAGGACCATATTGTCGTCGTTCGATAATTTTTCGGTATATTTCTCGCTAGTTATACTTTTTAATATTTTTTTACTTTATAAAGAAGCAGATATTTATATTTAACTCTTTCCATTACAGTTGAGAATGTTCCAGGACCAACGACGAAAAATCTAGTATTAGGTATGAAACTTACCACCTTTGGTTTATTAAAATTTCTGATTACATTTAAAATGCCAATGCATCCAAGCTTTCGTACATGGTTACAAACTCGAGCATCGAGTATTAAGGCAAAAATTTACGTGAACTTTCCAATTAAAAATACAACCATTTAAACTAGTACAGTGGTAATAATGTTAGGAAATATTCTTGCAGTTGCAATTGCGAATGCAATTCCGTTCATTGGGTTTGGTTTTCTTGACAACTTCATCATGATTATCGCTGTACGTACCACAGTTCTATATGATTTATTTTGTCGGTATGTAATATGCTAATTTCAGGGAGACCAAATTGAAATGATATTAAACAAAAAATTTCCGATATCAACTATGGCAGCCGCAGCATTAGGAAATACAGTTTCTGATATAATAGGAATTGGATCTGTTCACTATGTAGAAATTTTTGCCCATAAAATTGGATTTCAAGCACCGAAACTTACTTCTATAGAATTAAATCTGCCTAAAACAAAACTAGCTGCAAATTTGGTATGATACACTTAAAATATGTTATTAATAATTCGCTTTAGTTCAGAAAAAAAAAATAATTCGTAATGATTTAGGGACGAGTTGTCGGAGTTACGATTGGCTGTCTTATCGGAATGACGCCTATTCCGCTTTTTTCGTACCTTCATAATGGTGGTTGAACTTGTGAGTACTAAACGCTCGAAAGTTTTATCGTTCTCCCAAGAATATTAATTCCTACCTTTGCATCAAACAAATATGTAATAGTAGAAACAACTATCCCTTTGCATAGTCCGTGTAACACAAATGGAGCTTTTATAATTGTTTGTAATTTTAATTTATGACAATCACAGTGTTTATGTAATATAGTATAATCTCTGTAATAATGAATGTATTTAATGTATGAATATGTATAAAGCAATATATTATTAAAGTTGTACTAATGATTACATTAGCAATAGATGCACCATTGGTGCTTTATATTTTTTATAATTCCTTCTATTATTTAGATTCGAGAATCTCCGTAAAATTTATATCACGGTTTGAAGGTTCTGGTAGTAATTTAATGAATAATGCACTTGTATATATATATATATGTATATATCATATTATTTATTGAAAAAATTACTTTGTTAGTATAGAAGTCATTTGTAAGTTTACAAGTTAGTACAAAAAATATATATTCCTTTTTTGTAAATCCTTCTACTAAATACGTTACGTTTTATTAATTTTAAAAAATATAGATGTTCAATCCTCAGTGCTGATGACCAAGAGTTATTTTTGTAACATAATTCGTGTAATACCTCCAATCGTGTAAACGAAGATTTAAATCTATACCCAGGATTTGCTTCCAATTCATATCCATTATAAATTCCTCTGTATCCTGTATTAAGGTAGTGGCATCGAGTACAAATTTCGTAGTTATCGATGTGTCCGTAAGTCCAATTTCATCTTTTATCGCATGCGATGTTTCTTTCGAGTCTAAGCCTGAATATTCCGGTAACCAGATCATAACGGAATTTAACCACCACTTCCAGCCCTCGTTTACGAACTCTTTCGACTCGATATTTTCGCCATCCTGTTGAGTTTGATTGCAATTCAACAAAGTAGGCATAAAATTTGTTGCTAAAACATTTTCCGATACACTTTCAATGGCCGTAGACGGGACATCCATTATTGGATTCAAATCTATTTTCGAAATATCCGTAGAATTTGTAGTTTGCCTCGGGCTAAGTATCGTTCCTGGGAAATAGCTAGCAACTAAAGCGGAACCCAACAGTGTGACTATTCCCGCGGTATACGTTGCCAAACAAATAGACGACACGTTTACCACCGCATGTGCCACTGTTAACAATTGCATTGAATTCATTAGACAACTTAATTCTGTATACGAGAACCAGCCCCTTTTTTGTGCTTCTTTGTAGGCTATATCTTTTTCTAGTCTCTGTAGTCTTTCCCAAAAATCTTGATTGTGAACAAAGACGGTCCAATCCTAAATAATTAACAGAATTTAATTTGTAACTATCGATAAATGGTAACAGCTATTTATTATAAAATGGTGATACTTACAATAGCATTGAGAAAATCTTTTTCTAATTGATTCATATGCGACAGACTAAAATCACCTGACTGTGCCCATTCGGTATTGAAAACTTCATCTTCTTCTCCTTCATCGTTCAAAAATTTACTAGCCACCATCTATAAAATGTACAGTATTACACTGTTAGTAACAACACGTTTTTCAAAGTAATACAATGGAATAAAAGAAATCAACAATACCAAAGAAACAAGAAACAACTCAGAAGGTGCAACTCGCTGCAAGTATTCCGGATTACAATCTTTCAATCTTTCCAAGTATAACAAAGCCAAGACAAGAGAACACGGCGAAACACACGCATTTCTAGAGATTCTACTTGCTTCTTCCACGTCTAGTCGTTCTAGCGTGTGACCGCTCTTAGCTTCTGTGAAAAGTTCCGCTGCCAATTCTAAGAATAAATTTTAATTACATAATCGGTCGTATTAGAAAATATTTAATTAATTACGTAATATTTGTAAAAGAATAATTGGTGAATTTTTTAAGCAGTATATGATACATTTCAACTAAACGACAAGTAACAATTTAAATGCTATCGTACTAACCAGTAACAGGCAAGCTGAGACAATCAGTCATCGGTAATTTCGAATAATAAAGTGATTTCGATATACGATTCAAAAACTCGTCGTGATTGCCCATGCTCTGTAATCAGATGTATAAATAAATAAAAAACAACTCTCCTGGTTTCCTCGAAAACGTGATAAACAGCTGCCCTACCTTGAGTTTTGCTGGGGCTTTTCTCCTTCTCGAAATATTCGTCATATTAGAATAGCAACGGACCGAACAGATTCTCCGTGTAATTTCGAGTGTATACGTTGAAAAACAGAAGCGACGAACAATTTTTTTATTTGAAAAATATTGTATACGAAGTAACAGTATAGAAAATCTTGATTTAAGAAAAACGTGATGATTTATGTTTCGCTGTACATAATGAATAGGGCTAAAAGTAGAATATCATTCGTACCACCACAAACAGGACCGGTTTTAGCAATATTGGCGCCCCGAGCAAGATTATCGTGGCGCCCCTTCAGGGGCTTAAAATTTTTAAGAAAAGAAGACAAGGTAATAATGTCACACGATGAATCTTTAGCTAGATTGTAAAGATTGTTAAACTACAATATATAGCAGCTATACTATATTCGTATACTAAGGACACCGGACTGTGACGCCCCTAAAAATCTGGCGCCCCGTACGGTTACGCGCCCTAACGCCGGCCCTGACCACAAATAGAAATCAGCTTGATCAGCTGATTCGAAATTTCGATTAACATAATATATGTATATATTTTTCAAGCTAAACAATAATAAAATTGTATTTGCGTCGAGGAAATGTCAAATAAGAACGTAGAAATGATTTTATTTTCATCTTAATAACACTTAAAAATTACATAAACGAGGAGCCTACTTTGTCAAAGTTCATAAACAAGTCCATAAAGGCAGTCCCTGCTACCACATGTTTTTACTTTTTTTACTGTAATATTAATTTCATTAAATATAATATCTATCGTAACATAAATAAAAACTTAAAAATAATTCCTTGCTTAGGGACTAATATACTTAGCTACATCGCTGACGATGAATACAATTCTACCATCGTGTATATTTCCATTGTTGGCATGACTGCGAGGCAATGAACTCATAATTGAATTACCAAAATCGAACGGGTGTAAACCGAACGAACAAAAAGCTTGAATTTAAATAAATAGAAAGAAAAAAGGAGGATTAATCTTTCTTTAGAAAATTCAAGAAGAGCAAGGTAGTTTGACGTTCGATAAAAATATTTCTAACGCGCGATTCGCGAGTTGTAGGCTCGTCAATTCTTCTTTAGGTGTGGTGCGTGTATACATATTTATTAGCGATTCTTTTGCAGCTACTTTCATACACTAAACAGGTTATTTGACATATGTCAGATTTCTTATTACCGAATTAGTGACTAATTGGCAGGATAAAAAAAAGAATGAACCGAACGGAAAGTTGTATTTGCCAATAACAAACCACGTGAAAATGCGGTGGTAGTGATGCGTTTAAAAGGGAAAAGTAACACTAAATCGTTCCATAGCGTCTATAAGGTGCTTTCGCGTTTATGTCGTAAGTATTTTAACTTCTAATTAATTAAACTATCCATTTACTTTTTCTAACTAACTGTGACTATCATATATTTATTACTGAAAGTGATTAGAGATTCAAAGACGTACATATTAATACAATTTGTTTTCGAGCTCCTAATATGTATATCTATTTTTTTTATAAAACATATATATATATACGAAAATGGAAAATATCATTTAGTAACTATTTATATTAGCGCTGACCTCATTGATTTCAACAGCCTTCTGTTAGAGGGAGTATATCGTTGAATGTCCTAGAACAGAAGATATTACTCGCTCATAACTTACAACATATAATAATTACAAAGCTTTTATTGTTTATCACTTCTTAGGAACTGCAGATAAAGGACAACTTGATGGTTTCATGGCGGATGGCGCAGTGCCACCAATAAAGAATGGCCATAACTGTAATAATATGGGTTTTGCGACACAAGTTGTAAAACAATCATCCGATGTTTCCAATGTCGTTTACGCTGTGGGGCAATATGCTCCCAAAGTGTTAAAGAATTTGAACGCCCAAAGATTGAAGAATCAGTTTAGTGATGTTGGTCTGGTCGCCGGCGGTAGCGTTATTAGAGCGCATAGATCGGTTTTGGCAGCGGGAAGCGCATATTTTAACGCTATGTTCACCGGTGGTCTCGTCGAGGAACAGCAAGAGCTAGTAGAAATTCATTCTGTATCGGCTGATATTCTTGCTCTTTTGGTAGACTTCATTTACACAGGGAACGTGGATATTACTCAAGACAATGTTCAGGAATTATTCGCAGCTGCCGATATGTTAGAACTAGATGAAGTAGTATCCGGTTGCATTACCTACTTAAAACAACAACTTCACTATTCGAACGCGCTTGGAATTTATAGGTGGGAGTAATAAGATCGAGAAAGAAATTATTAAATCTGTAGAAAATGATATTGTGTATACTTATTAAGTATGTTTGTATTAAACAGATTTGCGGAAGCACATCACAGATCGGATCTTTTGGGGAGCGCCCTACGTTTTATAGAAGTCAACTTCCCTCAAGTATCTCAAGAGGAAGAATTCTTGGATCTGCAGAAAGAACATCTTGTTCATTTTCTCAGTAGCGATTACATTCATATCGATACCGAATTCCAGGTTTCTATTTTTGAGATTTTTGAGAGTTTGTACTCTGGACAACTTTCGTTTATAACGGATGAAATCTTGTTATGCGATAGGTCTTCCAAGCTGCGTATAATTGGATTGTCCATGATATACCAACAAGAAGATGTTATGTATTCGACATACTACGTCACGTACGTTTACGACTGTGTTCATTAGCGAGATTGGAACACGTTATTTTGGAATGTAAAGATGCAAGTCTGATTGTTGCGTTAAGATCTATACAAAAAGATTTAGTATCGAACAAAGGATGTCTTGTGCCTCTTCACGCGAAACCTAGAATTTGCGCAAAGAAGAACATTTTAGTAATCGGTGGATCAAGGCGCGAACACTCGGACAGTTGGGGCAGAGCAGCTGAAAGCACTTACGAAACGATCGAGAAATATGACACATTTACGGGGTATATACTTACTTTCTAATTTTATATTAACGTTGTATTAACTATTTGTGTCTAACTACGTTTGTTTTTATAGCGAATGGAGCGAAGTAGCACCAATTAGAATAGGACGCATATTACCAGGCGTGGCATTGCTAGATGGTAAAGTGTACGTTGTCGGCGGGGAACTCGAATCATGCATTATTGCCAATTGCGAATGTTACGATCCGCGTGATAATGTGTGGACTTCGATTGCCTGTATGGAAGAATCTAGGTGTGAATTTGGACTTTGTGCCTTGGATAATAGCTTATACGCATTTGGTGGTTGGGTAGGCAAAGATTTTGGTGGATCGATAGAAGTATATGATCCGATAACCGATTCTTGGACGCTCGATGGACAACTTCCGGAACCTCGATTTAGTATGGGAGTAGTTGCTTACGAAGGCAAGTCGAATAATTAAAATAATAATGTCTCTAAAAACGATATTATATTGTTAACGATTTGTGTAGGATTAATATACATAGTGGGCGGGTGTACGCAAGAGAGTAGACATCGTCAAGATGTAATGAGTTATAATCCAGTGACTCGAGAATGGACTTATTTAGCTCCGATGCTCACCCCACGTTCGCAAATGGGAATCACCATTCTTGACGGATACATTTATGTTGTAGGCGGTACTAACAAGAATCAGGAAGTATTAACATCCGTTGAACGATATTCTTTTGAAAAGGTAACTATAACATAATTAATAATTATGTTTCCAGATCTATTATACTTAAATCGTTTGTTGTGTTCCAGAATAAATGGAGTACCGTTGCGCCTATGAACATAGGCAGATCGTATCCCGCGGTTGCAGCAGCCGATAGTCGACTGTACGTTATAGGGGGTGATCAATCTCAGGAAATTAATTTTTATCGAATGCAAATTACTATTTCCACTGTTGAATGTTACGATCCCCGTTCGAATAAATGGCACGAATGTGCCTCGCTGCCGACAAGTAGGGGTGAAGCAGCGGCAATTGTTGCACCGTTTTGATTGAAATCTTTTCGACATTAAGAAACCTACGCAGTGTGTTGAGCATATTTTATATATCGCTATATTCATATGCGTTTCTTTTCGCATTCCAGAATGATATTCGAGCATCTATTTAAAATTACTTGGTCTTAAAATATGATATCAAACAAGAAACATACGTTTTTTGACTATCGTCTTTTATGTCGCGTATACAACCATGGTTAAACGCATATGAGCTAGGATGTATTTTTTTATAGATCAACAATTGTAAACTATTTAAACCTCAACAGGAATTTTTTTTGCGTTTTTTAACGAGCATAAAATGCAACAGGATTTGAAAAAAAAGGGATACGTTTCACTGTAAGAGTGGTACAGCGTTATCTTCTGTAAGGGATGTTCATTATACATATTTACTAAAGGAATTAGTACTGTATGGCTTTCAAACCTTTTAAAAACTTATTAACATAACAAATTTTATTAGTTGTAGCAATGACTGAGAACCTTCACATTCTATAGTCATTTACCAAAGTTATCGAGAATACAAGATATGATATTCTATTGTAAATTTGATCACGCTACAACGAGATACATGGAAAGCATATTTTCATGTAACTTGTGTAAAAAGACATTTCCTAGCGGAGAATGCAAGTGAGTTATATCTAGCTTTCATCGAGAATTGTATATTACAATTACGCGTGCTTGTGATATTTATCAATACTTTTTTTTTTTAATCGATACTTTTTGCTATAACCGTGCATGTATGTTTCATTAGTCATTAATTTTTACTGGTGTAAGGATTAAAAATACTTAATACTATGATGATATTACTTCATTAATTGTTTTTTAAAACTTCGTAAAAGTGTTTTTCATATCGTTAAATCTTGTTTTATGGAATCGGTAATATTTGTAAGCGATGCGATTGTATCTTATATTAATAAGTTTTATAGAAAAGTATTGTTGCAGTTAAATTTCAGTTTTTAAAAGTGTGTCTGGTGCTGTGTTGGAATTAAAATTAAAAATCTCCATTTTATATACCGTAATGTTCAGAAAGTCAGTTTTAAATTCTAGTACTAAGAATCCTGAAACGGTAGAAAAAATATAGATAGGCGAAAAGTATGTTTTCAAAAGGTTAATAAGAGTTGCTCCTCATAGTACATAAATTGCACTTGCAAATTCATAAACAGTAATAATAACGAGTACTTAATTGGAAAATCATTTTTACAAAGTGTACATATTGGATCAATGTGATTCTATAATCAGCTGCTTTTTACGTTTTCAATATAGCAACAAAATCTATTACATCAAGTAACGACTCTATGTACTTCCTATACCAAAGTATCTTTTTGTAACAAATGACTTATGTAAAATTACATATTAATTATTAATATGGATAATTAATAGACTAATAGCCTGTATTATGTTTTACTTCGGCTACTTTCACTTTATATATTCGAAATATACATAAAATACCATTTACATGGTACGGAAAAGAATACAAGAAAAATTATATGGTTTGTTATATTAAAATATAATATTTTAATTAATAGCTTTATTAATTATTATTTAACTTTACTTTGTCAAAAGTCGTAAGTTAATTTACATTTATGGTATGTTTGTTGCAAACATACAAATACTTAATTTTAATCATATAGTTCGATATTATCTAGTAGTTGTCTTTATTCACGATCTTCGTTTAGTAATATATTGTGGGAAAGATTCAGTTTTATTTAACTACCCTGTCGTATCTGTAAGAGATCTATTTCTTATTGTTATGTTTTACGGATATGTATGTATACGTATACGTTACGAAGTGTGCTATTAGATAAATGGCCTTTGCATGTAAATGAAATGTTTTAACGATATCGAGAGCTTAAATTATAAATTTTGCTTGGTTTTCAATTTGAAAGTATGCATAAGAGTAGCTGGTGTTAGACTCGTCAGGGCCGACACTGAAGGAATTGTATTCAATTCATAAACAATTGGGAGACGTTATAAATAATTCAGCGATATGTATGCGTTTATATAACTATGCATACGTACTTATCTTAGTTTTTCAAACAGTCTATTTGGAGATGCAGACATTTTCCATACAATTTTTATACAAAAATTGCTACGACCGATAAATATATAAATGTTTCATAGATGAAAAAATATGCAAAACAACCATGACTGTATTCTCCAATGATACTTAAAAATTGTAATGTACATACATAAGTTCAATGCGTGGACGTTTTACACACTATGCGTTATTAAATAATGAACTGTCTTGAGAAATTAAAAATAAATTTTTGAAAATACATTGCCATTATCCTTATTTAATTATACATTAATCAAATTTTTCGTAAACGCCACTGCTAAAATTAGAAATATTTTGTGCGATATTAAAATAATTACATATCCATTTTACTGATATATTAATCAATTGTATAGGAACAACTCAAATAGATATTGAAAAGAATGTTACAAAATGAATTCGATATCGTTTATGATATGAAATTTTTTATTCGTATAAGGACTGACACATCATCGGGCAAGTCTTTAATTGAACGTGATTTACGTGTAACTTGATTAGAGTAGTCCAAGAAATAAATACCCTCAAATTTCATTGCAGTGTCTATCTTATGTGTTATATTACATACAACTATTTAGCAGATTTTGTAAACAATTATAAGCGAATGATCCTAACTTTCGTGAAGATTATATAAATGTATGGTACACATCATTTGCATAAACTATTACAAAACATAGTCCAGTTCATATCTAATATATTGATTCTTTGGATCATTCATAATTCGGGGATAACCAGCTACGAGAGCATCCTGTCCACCTATATAAAGAGAATTATAAATTTTCCAATATACATCGCGTACTTTTCGCGCCGGATGGAATAATCCCTGCAATTTGAAAAATGTTGTTATTCTAAGATTTCAATTAAAAGGACCAACGTAATCACACAAATTACATACCTGTAAGGTATATTGTAATATTTTAATTGGCCCAAGTGCAACGCGTAATCCATCCACAGCGTCCATAAATGCTTGTACTAGATGTGGCGAGGTTTCAAACACATTGGGCCATACATGATTTAATAAATGAATCAGTGCATCCTCGCAACCGAATCCGTAAACACCTAATGCCATGTGCTTAATGGCAGCGCATGCGGTCTGTCTATGTACTAAATCCCTGCAATAGTAATAATAATAATAATAAGAAGAATAAGAACAATAATTACGAGTCCGTGGGTGGAAAGTAGTAAATATCGTTACGAATATTGTTTTACCTGTCCATGAGTGCATCTTCCAATAGTGGACTAACAGCGTAAATGTAATCCTTTCCCATTTCTCCAATGTATTCAAATAAGAAGGACAGAGATTTTAAAACACCGTTTTGCACGTTTAATTCGGGCACTCTGTATTCGTTCATCAATGCAGGAAGTACCGTGAATGGACTACAAGTTTCAGCAACAATAGCTATAGCTACCGTAGTACACACGCGATTTTGACGTTCTTGTACTTTTAGATTATTTAAGAGTGTTGCCAACACATCATGAGGTCTATAAAAAAAAACAATTCATCGATTTAGGAATTATCGAAGCGTATTGCATAATAGAAATGTATTTAAATATATAATTACCCTATCGCTTTTGCGATGTAACCGAAGGTATTTACTGTAGCTCTCCTAATCGCTTTCTTATGAGCCTTAAGTAATTCTAGAAGTTCGAAACATATTCTCATCCATTCTCTAGCGGATACGTATTCAGGACCTCTGTCCGCAATTCTACCTACAAGATCGATACAATTTTCTTGTACCTGAAGAACAAAAATTTGGTGTTAAGAATCGTGTACGTTTAAATTATATTTTATAGAGACATGTATTTTTATAGAAACAATCCTGACCTTTTCATGTCTGTTTTTCAATATAGGAGTAAGTCGTGGTAGCAAGTCTTTTATAGGTGGTGTCATTTTCGTCATTCCTATAACATTAACGATAGCTTTCAGCGCACCTAAAATGCTTCCTAATACTTCAGGATATTCTTCACCTAAATACTCGTAGAGGACAACACCTAGATGACCCATTAGTTTCTCCTGTTAATGGATCAAAAATATTTTGTTATTGCTATTCTCGATATGAAGTACTTTGTACAACGAAACCAACAAAATAAAGGGTTTACCTCCTGACAGGTTTTCATGACAACGGCAATTCGTGAAATTAAGTCAGCAGCTTGTTGCCTGACTTTTGCAGACTTATTATTTAATCTCCACAATATCGTACCACATATTTGCGGAAGATACGCCTTCACCCTTTTGCCTAGCGTGTTCACGATAGTGCCAAAACCATTTAACATTACAACATCCTATAACGAAGTTAAATCATGGTATACGCATAAATTTAATTAATAGCCAACTAAATATCGAAGTAAATACTACGAACCTCTGTTGTCTGTTCTTGGAATGCGTATAAAATACCGTCTATGAGTTGTTCTTCTAAACGGGAGTCAACATCTGCAGCCCCCAAATTACCCATTATTTTTTCAATAGTTTCCATAACCATTTTCCTGTATTGTTCATTTTCATCTTTCAGATCATCTACCACGCGATTTATAATTTCCGATGCGCCAACTTTGTTCGCGATTTCTACCGTTGTGTCTACGAGCTACAAAATTAAGATCGTAAACTTTACGGTTTTCCTATCGTTTGTAAATTTACGTGTACATGGAATACATACTTGTCTATAATTTCTACGATCCAAAGCCATTCGATGGTTCCAGAAGTGTTTGAAGAAGTGCGGAAGAATTTCATCTTTGATGTACTGCGCTTCTACACCATCCGTTCCGCAACATTGTTTCACGACCTATTAAATACATGTATCCAATTATTTCAAGTTTAATGAAATCACGGACATTAATGGTATCGTAGTTTATAACACTTACTTTTAACACAATCTTTTTCATTTCTTCGTCGGGTGACTGGAATTCACGTATAAGGATTAACATCACTTCGCGAGTATAGTAATTGGCATATTCGGCATCCATAAGGGGAATTAAATAACCGATTGCTTTCAAGAACGCGGCAAGACCTTTTCCTCTATGCGTACGAATACCTTTCCAAAGTGGTTTAAGAACAGAGTCAAAACTTTCGATACCGTAAGGTGTTGCTGCTTCAGCCAAGGCAGCGATAGCTAAAGCGGTAATAGTACGGACTTTCTGTTGCTCGTCGACCAAACCTGTAAATTAATAAATGTTCTTTATATGTATATAACGTTTTAAAATATAAGAGCTTAGCAATTGAGCGTAATTAATTACCGTGTTCTATAATTTCAACTAAACTCTTCAGATGCGGTAATATAGCGCATCCCATGAGAATAGCGATTTGTTGTACAATTTTAATGCCAGTGTGACGAGCTTGCCATGACTTTTTGCTGCGACACACAGCTTTAAGGAATGGAAGTAAAGAAGGAATTCCCAACGCTGACGCGACCACGGCGAACGCTCTTGCCGTTGTGTTACGTACGTATTCATCGATATTGTCGATATCCGGTCTCATCGTGGATATCATCGTCGCCAAACCAGCTGCTTTCGCTAGGTTAGAAATAATTTCTCTACCTTCCACGCGAGCATAGTAATCTTCGTCGATCAGTAAAGGTTCGATGACGACCAAAATCTGAAACACAAATTTTATTTTTATGTTTACCAATATCCAGAGCAACCAAAATTATGTATTAGGGCTATCGTAACATCCGTAACAAATTTACCTTATGTACATAAGGCCTGACCAAATCGTCGAGTTTGTAAAGAATACGATCTATGACTTTTACAAGAAGATGACGTTCTTGATCTTCTAATGTAGGGGACATAAGGAGAGGGAGTATCTGATTGAATAATGGTCCCGCGCCAAATTCTCTCGCTTTGTCAGTAATTTGTCTTAGAGCCGCTTTCCTCATCGGCGGTGTACCATTTTTAATTTTCAAAAGCAATTTCATGATTTTTCTTTCCTTTTGTTCTTCAGGGCTAAGAGTTTCTTCGTCAACGTCGACCAGTAATTTATCAAAATATTGTGCGTCCTCTGGCTTCATAAAAGGCAAATTTCCTTTCGGTTGATTGTCTACAAATTTCGCCGTTTTATCTTCGGTTTGGATGAAGAATCCTTGCGGTGTACCCGCGATTGGCGTTGGCGTAGCAGTGAGTTTCCTTGCAGGCGTACGAATCGGGATATACCCTGTAATAAAAATATATATAATTAAATATTCGCTATCGAGTACTTTTTATTACGACGTTTATATTATTTACCCGCAGGTTGCTGCAAAACTTTGTATCCAGGTGGGAACAAAGCGTCTAATTCATCGTCTGAAAGTGGTCTATTTCTTTCATCGATTTCTCGTTCCCAGCGGTATGCTTGAAGCTGTTCCGGTGTCATCGACATCAAATGTCCAGGCGTTGGAGTAGCTAGTCCCATAGCTTTCGGTCCCGTTGGCGTCACTCCACTAGGTGTTAAAATAGAAGTCTGATGAGGCGTTGTCAGAGGAGTTGCTGGAGTTTGCGGTGTCATGGATCCAGGTGTCTGGTTCGACGGTGTTTCGTCCCATCGACTTCGACGCTTGCTAGCAGACGGTGTAGGTGTTTCTTGAATTAAATCGCCCGCAACCCGATCGGTTCTTGGAGTCTCGGCCCAACCGCTACTGTGCCCAGGTGTTTCTATTTTTTATAAATATAATAGTAATTCCTAATTAGTTCAGAGACAATTGTGATAAAATGCTCGAATATCGAAGTTGAAATATAAACTCACCGCGTTCAGTTTTCGGCGTCTCATCCCAACGATTTCTACGGCTCGAAACAGTTTTCTCGTGAGATGGTGTCTCTCTGCCAGGAGTTGCCGCGCCAGGTGTTGCGTGTCCTGGAGTTGCATCCCACATTCTCGTACTTACGCCCGGCGTTGCACCAGGAGTTTCACCACCCTTACCATGACCCGGCGTCTCATCCCATCTGATCGCAGCTGGGGTTACCTGATTGGATTTAAGAAATAAATGATCGAATCTATCGTCCTTTCCGCATTGAAAGTAATATCGAGAGTATTTCACTGCTTACATCCGCGTTATCCCAGGATGTCGGTGTCGCGCTAGAACCAGTCAATTTTTTTGGTGTTGGAGCATCATCTGTTTGATCCCAACGACCTCTTTTCTTAGGCGCAGGCTTGGGCTCACCGTTTGCTTTCAAAGTCCCGTCTTTGGCTTTTTCGGCTAGTTTCTTTCTTAACTGCGAGTAAACGGAAAAATAATTATACAAATGTTTGTATTATTTTGACAAATGGTTATTAAAGAAAACTTAAGTAAAAGTTAAACGTACCTCAGTTTCTTCTCCTTTGAGTAATTGTTCTCGCATAATCTCAGTGTATGTCCTAGAACCGATGTCGGGAGTCTTACCACCTGTAATCAAGAATCAAAAGTCACGCAAAGCGCAACTATTAGATCATTGTTCGAAAAATGCTCAAACTTTCAAAAACTTCCGAACATACCTAGTCATTTTATTATAATATATATTATTATTAAAATGCCCTTAGAATATTTTGGTATATTCTAAGTAAACTACTGAATTCACTCTCATTTCCACGTTGCATATATCATCAAATCAAATGATAATAAAGCAGTTTTATAAAGGTAGATAAAAAGGACAAGTCATAAGTAAGATATCACATTAATTGCACAATGGATTTGAGGAGAGCTGCAACAGTAGATGGCATATAGCATACGTACGTGAAAGTTTGATGCCATAGGGAGCACTGTCCTGCTCAAGTCTTCCACATCGAAAAATACTTTAGCCATCTAAAAATCAACTCATTCTTGTTATTAATAATATTTGCACACCAATCACTCATACTATTTTTCAATATTTACGATCTCACGAAAAACGTATGATACAATGAGAATTTAATGACATATACGTATAGCTCTAAATTAAAGTGGTGAACAAAAAAGTCTATTAAAACAGAGATGAGCGAAAGTATAGGAACTGAAAGTATGATATGGAAAGTCTCATTGTATCATTTATAGGACGCGACTGTAATGCTGTGACAATTCAATCTCGCTTAACCTTCGACATAGTATCCTCGGTAAGCAGATGATTCCAAATGTGCAGACCGTCACTAAGATTGGAAAAAAATGTTTACATTAGTATGTATTTGAAAGAATCCCATTCACTCTCTTCACTCAAGCCAGTTTTTTCTACTTCACATTGCTTCCACAATCTGAGTACAAAGAAATCTTAAATCTATTAACTACTAACAACTGAGGTGTTATCCGAAAGTATTCTTTCGCGTCTATTAAATGAAAATTGTACGATTTTACGTACACCTCGTTAAAATTAGCTAACAAAATTATGTAAATCGTTGCATTTTTTTTCCTCAGTTATTGTAGCCAGTAATATTACAGCGATATAGAAATGTATGAATTACTTAAACACTTATATGAAAATGAAGCGTCAATGGCATAAATTATTTAATTTTACATTTTTAAATATTAAAAGTATTTTGTATGTGCTGTAGTATCAACATAATATCTTTACTCGATATATACATAGGCTTATTTAAGTAACATACAATTTTATATGGGTCAATGTGTACAGGTTTTGATTTCATGAAAACATTTAAGCAATTAAGGATGTCAAAGATGCAATGCATGATATATAAATTAAACTATACTGTAACTAATTTTAAAGAAATCTTGACGCTAAGTGTTTATTCATGAATTATCGAGAAAATTAAGAAAACGCGATGTTATCGAAAAAACAAAATTTGGTATATTTATAATCTTGCTTTTTTGACAAAACTTGGTGTTTTACATTACAAAAATGAATCGAGGAAAAAATAATAGTGAATTATAGGAAAGAATAATTAAATGAAAATATCATTTAATTATTAAAATTTTCATGTTTTAATCACAGATGGAGTGTTATTATCTGACACGAAAAAGTCAACTTAATTTATTTTTAATACATACATTGACCCCTATTGTGCTGTACACCACTTTGCAAAAAAACTATGCATAAAATTTGAGTTTTGTTATCTTAAAATCAGGTTGACTTTTTCTTTTGCGCAATATTGTAATACGTTTAATACGAGTTTATTTTCTTATAAAACGTAGTGATATAAGCTTCGTTGTGCATATATTTTGTTACAATGTAACCAATACATAATTACAAGCCATATTTAAGAATTTCAATTGGAGCAGTTCAAAATAAATATTACAATATAAGATTATTGTAAAATTTATTATTTTTACATAAGAAAAGTTGGGAGCAAAGGCTGTAGTGATTCATTACATTGCTCCAAAATATCAACAAGAATAATAATATGGAAACACACTTAATATCTAATTACCTGTTCTGGTTTCATAACTCTTAACTTAGAAGGAAAAAAAATACCAACCTTCTGCGAAGGGATCAACGCGCTCAGGTGATATAATCATTCTGCGCCTTTTTTGTCTATATTCATCTTCCCTATCCGCTATGGTGGGTCGTCGTCGGTCCGCAAACGGATCGTAGTCTTTCTCGCTCTGATTATTATAAATTAAATAGGTGTTATTAATAGTAATGTTATAACTAATTTTAACAATATATTCTCTCTTAAATTTATTACCTGCGCAACATCATTGAGCAATGCTGCCGGTGCATTATAACCTGGTCTCTTATTGGTACTAAATGTTGTTGGTTCATAATCTTCGTCCTTAAAGAATTACAGCAGATTGAATTAAAGCCAATTATAACATTCTGTTTAGTTATAATTTAAAAATACTAATAAGGAGAAATTACCTCAATTTCATCGTTAGCTGCAATGGATGTCACATAGCCTTCGTATTTATTATTACTTCCATCATAAATGTCTTGATCGTAAAACCCAGTTTTCCCTAGACCAACTTGATCTTTCTCCGCCGATGCATTTTGAATTTCTTTTTTCTTTGATTGTATTTCTCTTATTTGTGCTTCGATATCTACAAATTATGTATAGATATGAATAGCAACAATTTATTACATCCTAATAAGATTAACAGCATACCGCGAATCACTGATAAGAGAACGAAGACGCTCGAGAATATTTTGCCGTGTTACAAAACATTTCAAATAAAAGTTGTTACATATCGGAGCTTTCAAATATACACAGCAAACGAATAAATGAATAATTACAATGACATTTAGCATTTTAACATAATACACTATTCTTGTTTCGAATAGCCGAAGAATTTACTCCATAACAAACCTTCGTGCGTTCTGGGAATGGAATCCATCGTGAGCGTTGAAACCTAGTAGTAGGTTACACTCGAGAATCCTGTCAGAATTTCACCCAACTTTATTTTTGGTAATCGAGGACAAGTATTATCTTTATATCATCACGTAAGGGTTGCCCATGCACATCGACGATAACATTCGATTAAGTGTGAAAATAATAGCAGCGGACTAAATTCCGTTCCTTACCAATCTTTACATTGACATGGCAACAACGCAAGATGGCATACTACAAAATATTTTTAAACTATAAAGGTATATTCCCATAAAAGTCGCATTTACAGTTAGGGTTCGTATTTGTAATGCTATGAAAATATATTTAAAGACTGGGAAGACGCGAATTAATATATTTCAGATATCGATATATAATTTTGAGCAACGATACAAGAAAAATGCTTTGTAATATCGTTAAAAATTGTCACGAGAAGAAAATATGATAATATCACCATCTGGTAGCGAAACGTTCATGTTTGTAGTGAAATAGTTTCTAGTTTTCGCTATTAGATGACGTCACTGAGCCAGAATTATCGACAATTAATATTCATCCTGTTTTAGTAGATAAGCCAAAGATTAAGAGCTTGGAGGATGGAGTATTACGTTTAGGATCGTGTAAAATTGTGTTTATATATATAGAAAAGCGGAATACATAAATAATAATTAGTGTGTACTTGTAGGAAAATTCGAAATTTCACTGAACTCGATAGCCATCTAGTGGTGAAGACAGAACTAATCTCAGAGTTTGATCAGCGCCTCTATCAGGAAAACGCTCAAGTTTGTTGCCGAAAAAGTTCCTACTTTTATTGCTAGATGGCGCCACTTACAGTGTTTTGTGGTTTTTTTTACCGACTTGTCGGTACATCGCCATGATATCGAAACAACACATCGAGAAATGTTCCGTTGATGTTACAGTCGGTCTTATGTTCGCCTATACAGAGTACAATCACAACGAGTCGTTATCAATTGTCCACTTCCGCGGTAGTGGCTTATCAGTGGAACATTTAAGGGGGTTAAAAATAGAATATACATTTTTTATACCGTTATATGGCCCGATCTTATCTGTTCGGAAAGCTCGAGATCATCGACAGATATTAGGAGATCTTATACACTGCATCATCTTACTTTCTCCACCCACACATGAAGCAAAACAATGGTTGATCCAAGGATAAAATGAAGATGAATAGGAGAAGAGCAACTCGGAAGAAAATAAACATATCGTGCAATGGGGTGGAAGAAATCTTCTCAAGGTACTTAGTTTTTATTAAGAAACTCCTATTTAACTGTCATAAACCAAAAAGTTTACTGTCATCAGCCACTATTAGAAACAAATAGTCGAAGAAACACCGACAACGAGTTAGCGACTGTCGAAACACATGAAAATAAAAATAACGACCGACTGATAGCATTTCTTTCAACCATAATAATAAAAATGACTGATAATTAATATAGATATAACGTCTTCTTGAAACTGTATCGATAACATCGATTCGTCTTGCATAATAGGATATTACAACTTTTTCTAAAAATAAACTTCGAGGAATCATTGTCGCCGTTGATCTAATCAATTTTCAATCGATCTCTCTAGTTGCGTTACTTTGACAGGGAACGTGTATGTTAACGAGTCGCGTTCGTTGACGAAAGAAAGATGAAGGAAGGAGACTCGCAATGAATAATCTTATGTACGCGCATCTACGTGATCGTTGTATCGAGTAAAATATCAGCGTTGATTATCGATACCTTACCAATTAGGGGGTTCCCGTTTATGGTCAGCAACGCATTAACCAATAAACAAACAACGCAATAAACATTTAACTAGCGTCTTCGTTAAAAAATCTTAACGCGCCACTGTTTATCTAGGCGCATTGAGCTCTATCCTAACTGGAGTGTGAACTGCGAGAGAGAGAGAGAGAGAGAGAGAGAGAGAGAGAAGCCGGTCCGAGAGAGATGCAAGATGAGTGATTCCGGTGGTACTATCCTATAGCAAATTTATGTGTGGAGGGAGAACAGACTCCTCTTTGTTTGAATTTCGCGGCACTCTAGGAATTATTTACAGATTAATTATGCACAGATTTAATTATGTACAGAAACATTAATAATAATGACATAATAATGAAATAGTATAGATAATTTACATACCATAATTTGGATCATACAAATATATACAATTTGGTATAGAGCTAAATTTGATTATTTGTCACAATTCAATTTATATTGTATTTATCGAATTTTATGCGGAAAAGAATCTGAAAGTAACTCACTCGACAATGCTGAGCGATGCTCGGGCAGGTTATGTTACGGCGTACGTTTGTTCCCAATAAATTTGCTATAGGATAATATCGGAACCACCTATTTTGCATTTCTCTCAGACCTCCGTCGCCTCTACTTCTTCCTACAGTTGCTCACACTCCAGTTAGGATAGAGCTTAATGCCTAGACGTTACTATCCAACAGAATTTGATAATACGAAACGTGTTCATTTTTTGCATAAACAAGTATCGTGATTAACATCAGCTAACAATGTTTTCCTTAAATTAAAAATTTGTATAGGAAATGCGCGATATTACAGGAGGTAACACCATACGATGTTAAACGATGTTATACGTTTCGCTAACCTCCAAATAAGTAGCCGCAATGTCGACTGTGATTAAACCCCGTTGATCATCGGAGACGATCGATCGATCGATCAAGCTGCCTCGACAAAACATGCAGATAAACATTTTACTTTTAATAATACATTCCGATAAAATAATACGATATCTATTAATTGGCTTATCGTCGAGAGTAGCGTGTTTTACCAATTTCCAATGAAATTATCGCAAATAAGAAAGAGGCGTCGGACTTCTCGTCCGTTTCCACGCTATCGGGGTTTCGAGCCACACGAGCGATAAAGAGATTTTGATTAATCGCGAGATTTATTTTCAGAGATCTGTTATTTTTAGGGCACGCATTTCTGCGTTATTATTAATCTGATACGTGCGACGGGTGGCATACGGGTCACTCGTAACAGAAACGTTAATCGACGATTAGCATTGTGTATTTGACCAGATGACTGTGCTCGTTACACTTTGCGTGTTGCATACATTTATCGCGATCGATATCGTTGTCGATCAAAATTAGCGTCAGCGAATTCAACGTCGGTCATTTCCACGGGACCGTCTGCGTTTCCTCGACAGCCGTCTTCCTCGTCACATCGTCTTATGTTCGTTGGACCGCGTATTTCAATCCCGATTCACAACGTTTTATCATGCTAATTCCGTCACGGAAACGTTTTCATCTCGCACAATGCTCACGTACACCGTCTAAATCAGTTGTTTGCCGCGCTCCACGCGAAACCATCTACGTACCTCCTGCACCGTACACATCCGATCATTAACAATAACTTATGCAACCGTCGGATGAGTAGCGGCACGTTAATGGTGTACCTTTCCCGGAAACGCTGCGAGAGATTGCTTGTTTTCTTGTTCGTTCTTTTTCGTCTTCCGTCGCGCTTGCATCTGTCCGCTTCGTATCGATTTTGCAATAATTTAAGGTGTCGGGTATAGAACGCGCGATAGAACTTCTCGAGTTTAATGAGAATATCGTGACATTAATTTCCGAGGATAGTCGAATTTCAAGTTTCGAGGGTTCGGTTTTGCCCGCGTAATCAACGTCGAGATGTTATTCGCCAACGAGGGAGGTAAAGAAAAAAAGAAGATCGACATCAAGATCGATTGATAAATCTAATCGACAAAAGCATCTCGAGAAGTTAGCGCGAATAGAACCTACGCCTCCCCCACTCTTGCCGCGGCTCAGCTACGCGCGATTTTGTCACCGCACGACAGCCAATTCGGACACGGTTGCCAACTCTAGAGGTTTTGACCCTAGATTTAGGGGAAAAATGTACGAGCCAGAATTTTTTTAGGGAGACTTTTGGGGGACAAGTTTTATAGAATTTTTTTTAGCAGAGATGGGCAAAACCACAGGCTTCGAATAAATCTGAAGTTTGCCGATATGTTTGTCTCGTTTTCTCCTTTGAACATTTTTCAAAGAAGGAAACGAGACAAACACATCGGCAAACTTCCCGAAAAATCCCTAGAAAAAATTCTACAAAATTTCAGAGATGGGCAAAACCCTAGGCTTCGAATAAATCTGAAGTTTGCCGATATGTTTGTCTCGTTTCCTCCTTTGAACATTTTTCAAACAAATAACATATTTCAGGGGGTTTTAAATAAAATTTTGGTGTTCTTTTAACTTGCGTCAGGGGAAATCGTTCTGTATTAGTTGGTAACACTGACTTG